CTCGTCCGCGGCCCCGTCGTCGTCGACGGCCGCCTCGACGCGCTTGGAGAGGAGCGACGCCTGGGAGCGCTTCGTCCAGGGCAGCTGGGGCTTGAGGAGCGTCGGCCGGAGGCTCGCGTCGCCGTCGTGCGCGTCGAAGCTCGCGTCGAGAAGCTTTGGGAGCCGCGCGACGTCGAAGGCTGGGGCGGCGGCGTCGGGCGCGGCGGCGGACTCCGGCCGCGGCGGCGGCGGCGCGGCCGGCCGCGGCGCGGGCGCGCTCGCCGGCGGCGGCGGCGGCGCGGCCGCCGCCTCCGGCGCGCAGTAGGACTGCATCACCGGCGCCGCGCCGCCCGCCGGGGCGGCGCCGCGGCCCGCGAACGCGGGCGCGGCGCTGCGGCAGCGGCCGCCGCCCTTGCCGAAGAGGCCGCCGCCCTTTTTCATCGTCTTCATCGACCGCGCGGGCGGGGGCTCCAGGCCGAGGTCCATGAGGTCGCAGCCACCGTCCATGAGGTCCACCGGCGTGCCGTCGGAGCCGCTCGTCGACGCTTCGGCCTCCTCGCGCAGCTGGTCGAGCTGGGACGCCGCGGCCCGCCGCGTCTTGTCCTCGAGGTCCCGCTTCGCCGCGTCGTCGACGAGGGCCTTGATCGTCTCCGCGTGCGCTTTCACGGCCGCGACCTTGGCCGATGCGGATTCGGACGCGTCGCCGTCGTAGCTGAGCAAATCCGTGGGGATGTGGTACTCGACGAAGTAGCGCATGAGCGCCTCGTTGAGCTGGATCTCCTTGGTTAGGCTGCCCGGCGGCAGGTTCAGCACGGCCTCGACCTGGGGCTTCACCTGGACGACGAGGATCCCGAAGAGCGAGCTCGCCAGCTGCATCTCGCGAAAGGCCTTGCAGAAGCCCTGCTGCTCCGGCGACAGGGACTCGATGGCGTCGCGGAAGGCCTTGGGCGCGGGCAGCGGCTCGAGGAGCAAGGGGATGAGCACCTCGTCCTTGTTCGACAATACGACGGCGCGCGCCGGTTCGAACTCGTCCGACGCGGTCACGGTGCCCAGGAGCACGACGAAGGACGAGAACTGGCGCGCGTTCAGGGCCAGCGTCAGCGGCGGAGGAGACCGGCGGCCCCAGGACCGCGCGGTGATCGCGTGCGCGTAGGTGGAGGCCTTCGCGGACAAGACCGTGGCCGCGTCGATGGGGATCCGCAGCAACCGGTCGCCAAAGTCGGGCACGGCGCGCGAGAGCGCGAGGACGGGCGTCCGGTCTTCGCGCTCGACGGCGATGCTGCCCTCGGGAAACGCCGTCGCGTCGCGGCGCACGGGCGCGCTCAGGGGCGTGGGGCGGTACGCGGCTTTAAACAGCCGCTTCTCGTGCGACGCCATGAAGTCGTCGAAGTCGCTCGCCGTGACCTCCTTGCCGCAGGCGTCCCTGAGCTGCGCGTAGAGCATGGCCTCGATGTGGTTCAGGGAGCCCCGCAGGTCGCCCGCGAGGGCCTCGAGCAAGTGGCAGCCGAACAGGAGTTTCGCGGCGCCTTCGTCGACGAGGCCGACGAGCGCGGACCCGCCCGCGGACCGCTCCTTCAAAGAGATCACCGCGGCGATCTCTTTCTGCATGGCGTCGTTGGCTGCCCTTGCCGTCTGCGCGGCGTGTTTCATGAGCGCCGCAACGTGCTCGCCGCCCGGCGCCTTCGCGTCGTCGCCGCCGTTTTCCGCCTCGACCAAGGCGCAGCAGGCCACGGGCTGGAACGTCGCGTCCACCGCGGTCCTCACGCAGCCGTCGACGTCCGTGGCGCCGGGGATGGCCGCGCGGACGGACCGCGCGAATTGCGCGAGGTCCTGAAGCCGCTTGAGCACGGCCTCGACGTCGTCGTTGCGCCGGGGCGTCTTCGCCTTTTCCCGGTCGATCTCGAAGGCGACGTGTCCGGGTGGTAGATTGAACAGCCAGTCCGCGTCCGCCAGCGTCGCGGGAGGCCGGCTCCGGACGCCCGCGGGCGGTGTATTGTTGGCCGTGACGGACTGGCAGCTGGTCTCGAGCGTAAAAACCGTCGCGATTTCCACGTCGCCGCGCTTCGCGACGAGGCTACCGCGGAAGCTGCGCGACCAGACGTGCTCCGTGACCTTGGTGACGACCTGCGTCGACTCTTCTTTCGAGGACTTGCCGCCGAGGAAGCCCGAGGATTTCGTCTGCTTGAGCACCGTCACGGTAGGGCCCTCGACGTCGCGCGTCCGCTCACCGACGTAGGTGGTGGTCACTTCGCTCTCGAAGGCGAGCGATATCTTGCCCGGGGTCTTGTCGGTCGCGATCGCGGCCCGCTCGACTTTGTCCAGAAGGTCAGCATCCCTAAGGTGTAGCAGCACACCGAACGTCAGCGCGCTCTCGAGCGCGAACTTCGTGACGCACTCGGCGACGGCGAACTTGTCGCCGTAGGCGTGGGGCGCGCTCTCCGGCCGCACGAGGCGCTCGCGCTCGAGGACGAGGCGCGTCTGCGCGAGCGCCTTGTCGAGCTTCTGGCGGAAGCGCATGTCGTAGTAGGTCGCCATGGTTGATTGCGAGGCGGTCGCGCGCTGCGTGTGTGTTTGGACGCTTGAGATTGCAAGCGTGCTTGTGCAGCGTGTGTGGCTGGTTGCAGAGGTGTGTGCGGCGAGCAGCAAGTGGTGGCGCGCGCAGCGGTGTGGTTGGTTGTCGAGAACGCGCAAGGATTGCTTCGCGGCCGCGCGCTTCGCAAGCGTCGACGTGAGTTCAAGGTGCTCTTCAACCTCTAGTCACAACTTACATCATCGCGCGGTGGTGGCGGTGGTCGACGGCGCCGACGAAGCCCTGCTTCTCGATGCGGTAGCCCGCGGCGCCGTAGGACGCGCTCGCGGACCGGGGCCGCCGCGTCGACCGCGCGGTCTTGGACGAGCCGCCGGAGCTCATGGTCCGCACGGTGAGGTCCCAGCGCATCTCGACGCCGCCGCGGCCGCAGCGCAGGCTCGGGTCCGAGTAGGAGCTCGCGCCCGCGCGGCTCTCCGCGTGGACGGACCCGGAGCGGACGGACGCGCCGCCGGCCGCGGACGCGCCGGACGCGAGGAGGCTCCGCCGCCGCGCGTTCCGGTCCCCCAGGACGTCGATTTCCGCGCTGGGGTTCGCGCCGTGGCGCCAGCGCTGGCCGAGGGGCGCGTCCACGTAGTCGCGCTTGTACTCGTCCGCGCCCTCGTTCAATTTCCCGGTCCGCGCGTTCGACGACGGCGTGAAGAAGGTCATGCCCCCCGGCGCGGCCTTGCGGCCGTCGGGCACCTTGGCCTCGGCGGATTCCACGTGGAAGCGGTCGCCGTCGTGGCGGCACCAGTGCGCGTAGGTCACGCGGCGCGTCGTGCGCTCGCGCTGGATGGCCGCGCACTCCTGCTTGACGAGCGTCTCGAAGGCCGTCTGGTCGCGGATGGACGGCGCGGACTGGGGCCGCGTCGGCGGCACGTGGGCCCGCGGCGGCACGACGAAGTCGACGCGGTCCCTGTCCGCCGCCGCGACCTTGGTCTTTTTTCTCCTCCTCCTCTTCCGGTGCTTCGCGGGCGGGTGGACGTCCTGGAGGTTCTTGCGCCGCACCTCCTTGGCCTCCCAGACCTTGCGGAAGCAGGCCTCCCACTCGTCGCTGGACAGCTTGCCGTCGCGCTTCTTCGCGCGGACCTTTTTTTCGTTCAGACGATCGATCTCTTCCTGCACGAGCAAGATGTCGACGTAGGTCGGGTGCTCGTCGCCGAGGTCCCGGAGGCAGCGGTTCATGGCCGCGCCGAAGAACTCGAGGGCCTGGGTGGTCTGGGAGAGCTTGAGCGCGCCGTCGCGCTCGAAGGTATGGTACGCGTCTTTGACCAGATTCCAGAACTCCTCCTCGTAAAGATGAATATCCCGGTCGTTCTCCGGCAGCTCCAGCGCCTTCATGTTCTTGGAGATCTCGGGCCACTCGAGCTTGCCGAACATGGCGGTCCGCTGCCGCTGGAGCTTCTCCCAGCTCGCCACGCCGAGCGTCCGCTTCTGGAGCTTCCGGTGCAGCTGGAAGAGGGGGTCCAACGAGCTCTGCGCCTTGACGACGAACCCCTCCCAGGCCGGGCAGAGGATCTTGCCGCCCTCGGCGCGCCGCAGGCGCTGGAGGTCGTCCTCGACCTTGCTCCGCACGGCCGACGCGATGCCCTCGCCGAAGACGTCCTCGCAGAAGCGGCCGATGCCCGCCTGGTCGATGCCCGCGCCCTCCTTCGAATTGAAGACCTGGAACGTGAAGCGCCCGAGGCCCGGGTAGTCGAGCGTGTTGAAGTTCCAGACCGCGAACGCGAATTCCTTGAACGACATCTGGCGGCTGTCGTCGTAGTCGAAGAGTTCGAACACCTTGCGGCTCAGGGGCGTCTTGTCGAGGTCGGCGTACATGAGGAATTCGAAGAGGTCCAGGGACCCGCTCCCGTCGCGGTCCGCTTTCGTGAAGACCTTCTTCAGCCTCTGCAGGTCCTTCTCGGAGCAGCCCAGCTTCTTCCAGACGTGGAGGCAGCCCTGGTACTGCGGGTCGCTCGCCTTCTTCTTGCCGCCGAGCAGGGCGCGCATCATCATGGCTCCGTGGACGCGGCCCGCGCCGCGAGAGCGACGTGTTACATCGAGAACGCCGTCCCCATCTACAATAAAGTTTAGTTCAATTAAGGCCTCACTCTTGACCAGGCTGCCCCATCTGGCTGCCCCCCAATCTGAGTGTGTCACATGCCCCGTTCAAAGATGGGCTGGGTGCTCCTCTGGAGATGCGCGGCGCTGGGTTTCATCGGCCGCGCGGCGGGCCAGGCCATGGGCGACGGCATCTCGAAGTACACGCTGCCCTGCGACGACCCGATCCCGCGCATCGCCTGGCTCCAGCGGTACCTGCCCGTCGTCGTCGCGCAGGACTCGTGCCTCGACGAGAGCGACGACGCGAGCGGCGCCCTCGACACGTGCACCTGCAACTCGAGCGAGTACGGCGTCTGGGAGGAGACGGAGGCGCGCGTCCAGCTCTACCACCAGAAGGGCTTCGGGATCCACCTCGTGAACAGCAGCGGCCGCGTGACGACGGGCGGCATGACCGTCGCGGCCATGGAGCGGGTCTTCCACGACAAGCTGGGCAACCTGACGGCCTTCGACGCGTTCTTGGACTACAACCTGGGCCTCCACCTGCCGCCGACGGGCAACTACAGTCTCGACGCGTTCATCCGGCGCTTCGACGACGACGGCGAGCCCTACTTCCCCTACACCTGGCAGCAGGAGGTGACGAACCAGACCTACTACGGCGTCTTCGTGCGCGCGCCCCACTCCATGCTCGTCCTCGAGCTCGTGTCCAACTTCTCGAACACGCTCGCCGCGGCCGCGCAGTTCGGCTTTTCGCTGACCCAACTGGAGCCGCGCGTGTCGAGCCACGTGCTCGACTACCTCGAGGCGACGCCGACGAACTACAGCGTGCGGCCCGTCCACGTGTCGCGCGCGGCCGCGAATCTGGCGGACGTCGACGACTTTTATACCGCGATCCGGACCGCGCGGACCGTCGAATACGCGGAGGCGAACGTGTCGAAGACGTGCTACCTCTGGGGGGGCGCGGAGGTCGAGGTCTGCTACACGCAACGTTCCTCAGACGCGACGCGCGGCGGCTTCTCCGTCGCCGACTTCGAGGACATGCTCAACGGCGTCCACGAGGACGTCATCGCGCCGAACCCGAACTGCCAGCGCGACAAGTGGAACGACTTCCACTACGCCTACGACAACGGCCAGGTCTCCGGCCAGCAGATCTACGAGTACGTGGCGCTGAAGCCCGGCGCCTACTTCGTGTGCACGGGCGCCTACGTCATGTACGTCGTCGACCCGGCGGGGTTCACCGTGCAGCTCGACATCAACGGCGACTACACGCTGTCCACGTGCGACAATTCCGACTGGGACTGGGACGTGGACCCGGACCACGGCGGCTGCGTCCTGGGCAACTGCACGCCGCTCGCCGCGAACGCGACGCTGACCGTCGTGGACCTGACGGCGCTCCTCGACGACGACGGCGGCGCGGCGGGCGGCGGCCGGAGGCGGAGCGGCGGCGGCTCGGGCTCGTCGTCGTCCGGCGGCGGCCGCGCGGTGCTCGTCGCGGCGATGGTCTTCGTCGCGGGCGTCGTCGTCTTCACGGCCTTCCGCGAGCGCAGCCAGCGGAAGGCCCTCTACCGGAAGCTCCCGGACGACGACGACGACGACGAGGACACGTCGCACCTCGAGTAATGATGAGGGTGCAACTTGGAACTTGGCGGTTTGTTGAAGGAAAGTTGCAGCGGAGAGTTTTCACTGTGATGGCCACACAGAAGCTTGCTCCGAATCCACTGTCTGTCCGCACAAACGCCCAGCTCCCAGGAATCCGAAACGCTCGCGCACCGGTTCTCGTAGCATGGCCGAGGCCGCGGCGCTGCGGCGCGCGCTCAAGGAGAGCAAGAGAAAGCAGGAGGCCGCCGGGTTCCCGGGCCTCGAGAAGCGATCCCTCGGCGGCGTCGAGTGGTATGTCCAGCCGAAGGCGACACCCGCGCTGACGTACCGATCCGACCGGCCCAGGGGCACCGTCGACCGCGACGAGCCCTTCGGCTACGCGCCGCGCGGATCCGCGAAGCGGCGGAAGCTCGACGTCGACGCCGCGGTATGGCGGCTCTCCGGCGACGCGGAGAACGACTTCCTGGGCATGCGCTGCGTGCGCGTCGCCGTGTTGAGCGGCCAGCGCCTGGAGATCGCGTGCCTCGTCGACGGCTTCCGCGACGAGGCCGACGCGGCGCTGCCGGACGGCGTCCGGCGCGTCTACCGCTGCCGCGACGCCGACGACGGCACGCTGCACCAGCTCTCCGCCGGCGAGGCGTCCCACGGCATCGCCCGAGCGGACGAAGACCTGGAGCGCCGGCGCCTCGCCGACGAGCAGGAGAAGCGCGCGGAGCGGCGCGAGGAGGCCGAGGCGCGGCGGCTCGACGCTTCGGCGGCCGCGGACGCCGCGGACGCGGCCATCGAGGCCGAGAGCCGGAGCTGGGTCGCCGACGGCGTCCCGCGAGCGCTTGTGACCAAAAGAAAACGTCACCGACGCGCTCCGTAGGTCTTCGACTGCCCCTGCGGCGTTTCCGGGCGCGACTACGACGACGGCGGGGACATGATCCAGTGCGGGTCGTGCCTCGCGTGGGCCCACGACGCGTGCGTCGTGGAGCGGCTCCGCGGCGCGCGGGGCGCGCCGAAGCTCGCGGCGCTCCGCTTCGGCGCCTACCGCTGCCGGGCCTGCGCGCCGGCGCGCTACCGCGAGGCCTTCCGGTGCTACTGCGACCCGGACGTCGCGTCCTTCGACGACGACGGCGAGGACCGCCTCCGCTGCGAGGCGTGCCTGTCCTACTGCCACGTCTTCTGCGCGCTGGAGAACCCGGACGCGGCCTGCCCGACGTGCGCGCTCGCGGCGCGCGCGCCGGCGCGCCCCGCGGGCGCGAAGCGCGTCGCCTCCGCGCGGGGCTTCCCCGTCTTCGCGCGGAGCGACGCGCGCTGCCGCGACGAGACCATCGTCCGCGAGGTCGTCGGCGACGGCGCGTACGAGCGGCCGGCCATGGGCTTCGAGGTCGTGCCCGGGGAGACGTGGCTCGACGTCGGCGCCCACATCGGCGTCTTCTCGTCGCTCTGCCTCCAGGCGGGCGCGGACGTCGTCGCCGTCGAGCCCGACGCCGACAACTTCCGGCTGCTGCTCGCGAACGGCGCCGCGAACGCCGTCCACGACGCCGGCGCGGAGTTCAAGGCGCTCAACGTCGCCGTCACGGACCGGGACGAGTCGTCCACGACGCTCTACCGCCACCCGCGCGGCATCGCGTTCCGCCACTCCACGGAGCGCCGGCTGATCTCGCGCGAGCCCGACTGGCCGCGCGCGACCGTCGCCGCGACGTCGCTCCAGCGGCTCATCGACGACCACGCCGTCGACGGCGTGAAGATCGACGCCCAGGGCGCCGAGGTCGGCGCCGTCGAGAGCGTCACGGACTGGCGGCGCGTGCGGAAGCTCGTCCTCGAGTACGACTTCGAGTACCGGCCGTCGCTGCCCAAGTTCCACGCCTTCGTGAAGCGGCTCCGGACCCACTTCCCCCGCATCTACCACTCCAAGCAGAAGCGGTCCGGCGACTTCTCGGGCTTCCCCAACGGCGTCCTCGTCTTCGCCATGCGCGAGCCCCCCGAGTAGGGTAAAAGGTGCTGGTAGAAGTCTACGTTCTCGGGCTTCCCCAACGGCGTCCTCGTCTTCGCCATGCGCGAGCCCCCGGAGTAGGGTAAAAGTAGACGTTGACTACTCGTGACGTCGTTGAGTGCATTCAAACACAGCGGCGCGATGGATGAGATGCTGCCCATGCCCGTAGTCCGACGCTGATGCTGCCATGGGCGGCCTCTGCTCGAAGAAGGGCGCGGCCGTCGAGTCGAAGAAGGAGGACGAGAAGGAGCTGCGCCTCGACAACCGCAAGCGCAACTCGCTGGTCTTCGCCGTGACGGACTGGGTCGGCACGGACTTTGGCAAAGACGCCGAGTCCCTGGCGATCCTGCTGTCGAAGCGCACGAAGGAGTCGAGCTCGAGCGGCGGCAACGACCCGCGCGGGTCGCGCGCGGCCAAGACCGCGGAGAGCATCGCGCTGGGCAACTTCCGCGAGCTCCGCGAGATTATCATCGGCCACTTCGCGCAGGTGAACAAGCGCTACGGCGCCTGGGACAACGACACGCTGCTCCACATCGTCTGCCGCGAGGGCTACCTGCGCATGGTCGAGTTCATGGTCGACCCGAAGAACGTCAGCCAGTTCGACACCGCGCCGGAAACGACCAGTGAAACGGACGCGTCAACCTCTCTAGCTCGGCCAAATCGAAGTCGATTCGGCTGATTTTCGGACGGATCGTTTTCTCTCGGTGCGTTCTTTTCGGAGAGTGAAAGAACCATGTCGAAGCCGTGCGAACACATGCACATTGAAGTCGTGTTGACTCGTTTCCCGCCCAGGTTCGACACGACGGAGATCGACTTCAACGCGGAGAACAACAAGTGGCGCACGCCGCTCCACGTCGTCTTCACGCCGCCCCAGGAGACCTACTGCGCTCGGAAGATCGGCGTCCACGACGACGGCCTCCCGAAGGGCGAGAAGCCCGAGGGCGTCACCATCGACAGCGACTGGATCCGGCCGGGCACGGAGCGGCACCGCATGCAGGTCATCGAGCTGCTCATCGACAAGGGCGCGAACATCCACCAGATGGACTACCACGACCACAGTCCGCTCCACTACGCCTGCGTCTGGGGCTGGGTCGACACCGTGGAGCTGCTGCTGGAGAAGGGCGCGGACCCGCGTCGGTTCGGGGGGGGGGGTCCCGACCGAACGTCGCGCCGCTCGGTCCCATCGACGTCGTTTCGGCTGATGTTTGGACTAGTCGTTTTCGTTCGTCGCGTGCTCGACGCTGCGTTTCAAATCGCGCAAATCATCGCGCATCGACGCTGCGTCGAACGCAGGCGCGGACCCGGAGACGTCGAACATCGCGGGGCAGAACGCGTTGATGGCCGCGACGGAGTTCAAGCACGTCGACGTCGTGGACCTGCTCTTATCCGAGACGCAGATCTCCATCGAGTCGAAGAACGTCGACGGCGAGACGGCGCTCATCTACGGCGCGCTCACGGGCGACGTCGAGACCGTGGAGTGCTTGTGCGAGTTCGGCGCGAACGTCAACGCGGAGTCCTACAGCAAGGACAGCCCGCTGAAGCGGGCGTGCCGGAACCAGGACGTGCCCATGATCCACAAGCTTCTGGACTTCGCGGCGACGCGGCGGCCGTCCGCGTTCGAGCTCCTGGAGGGCGACGCGAAGCAGGTCATTTTGGATCGCCTCGAGGCGGAGCGGCTCGAGAAGCTCGCGGAGTTCGAGGCCATCAAGAACGCCAAGGCGTCGGGCAAGAAGGGCGGCGGCCGCGGCGCCAAGGCGTCGGCCGTCGGCGAGTGGCGGCCCTACCGCGACAAGCGCGGCCGCGGCATCTTCTACTACAACCGCGTCTCCCGCGTGTCCCAGTTCGAGGTCCCCGAGGACTACGAGAAGGACCGGTCCTACATCATGAAGGACGCGACCTTCGGCATGCACTTTTACCACTAGGCCTTCTTCGTCCACGTGGCGAAGGGGGAGTAGGCGTCGCAGGCGCCGACGTCGACGTCGGCCTTGCGGTAGCAGTCCACGAGGCCGCCGTCGCCGGACGCGCGGGCGCCGACGGCCTCGCAGGCCGGCGTCGCGTCGCAGAGCGCGAGGCAGGCGGCCAGGGTCATGGCGCCCGCGGACGCGTCCGGCGGCGATTCGAGGTTCGTCGCGCCGTGGCCGTCGTAGCAGTTGGCCATCGCGTGATATTCGTAGCCTCCGCAGTCGCCGCGGCAGGGCGCCGCGCAGAGCGCGTCGTCGAGCAGGCGCACGACGTCGCCGTTGTGGGCCGGGTCGATGTCGACGCGGAGGTGGGGGCCCGCGGCGTCCGCCACGAAGTTTTCGTTCCCGGCCGCGTCGACGGCGTTCGTTCCTCGCGTCGCCGTCGAGTAGAGGCTCTCGAGGCCCGCGACGGCGTAGTAGGTCGCGATGAGGTCCCAGGACGGCCGCGACCCAAAATTCGTCCACGTCTCGTAGGCAAACTTCGCGGGGCCGGCGCCGCAGCCGTCGCCGTCGTGGAACCGCGAGCCCGTGAGCACGTCCTCGCCCGCGGGGCTGAAGACCTGCTGGACGCTCGCCGGCATGTGGTCCACGACGTACTTCGCCGCGCCCGCGCAGCCGTCCGTGGACCCGAGCCACGGCGACCAGTCGCTCCCCGCCGCGTCGCCGCAGCCGAAGTTGTAGCCGAGGTCCATGTAGACGATCTGCTTGACCTTGGCGGCGAAGAGGTCTTTGTGCGCTTGCAACGCCTCGCGCAGCGCCGTGGGCTCGCCGATGGACGCGATGACGACGGAGCCGTTGCTGCTCGCGGCGAGCAGCCGCCCGTAGGCGTCGGCGGCGCCGTCGACGTCGCCCGCGCCGGCGACGCGCGACGGCCAGCGCTCGGACATGGCGGTCGCGTACCGGTCCTGGGCCGCCTGCGCGTCGTCGGACGACGCCCAGGCGCCCTTGTAGGCGCCGTAGGCGCGCGTGTCGTTGCCGCGGCCGTAGTAGTTCATGATCGAATCGACGGCGCCGATGCCTTCGACCTAACAAGGGTGACGGGGTCGGGAAAAGGCACCCCTGTCACTCAACGCTGCCTTCGACGAAGCCCGTGTTGTGGACGACGCCGCGGAGCTCGCAGAGGCCGAGGTCCTGCAGATGGTTGGCGACGGCGATGGCGCCGGCGTCGTCGACGTCGAAGCCCAGGTCCGTGTCGATGATGAGCTCGACGACGGCGTCGGTGGTGGCGGCGAGGACGAGCAGCAGTGCGATGCGCATCATGCTTCTCGTGCTTTGGAATACCTTCGGGCAGCCGCAGAGCCCGCAGATGCAGCCCGCCGATTGGTGGAGGGTTTTGCTGAGGTTCAAGTTGCCGCTTCCGAAGCCCGATCTCAAGAATCACTGCTGAGATCGTCAAGCGCCAATTGCAGTGCTCGGCGTCGAGCGTTGCTCCGCGCCGAGCTCGGTCGCGGCGTCGCGACGCACCGTCCCGTGACCGCTGCCTCGACATTGATCGCATTGCTGCTTTAAAAGAATCATGCGCGCCGCGCCGCTGCTGCTCATCGCAGTCGATGCCCTCGTGGGCCCGCGGGCGCCGCCGCGGCCGCCGCCGCGGACGGCGCGCCTCCGCGCCGCGCCGCCGCCGCCGTCCCTCGACGGCGCGCCGCCGCCGCCGTCCTTCGACGGCGCGCCGCCGGCGCCGCTCTACCTGCCGGGGAACGACGCGTTCCGCGGCCTGCCGTCGACGCCCGGCTGGCGCGCGGGCCGCTTCAACGAGCTCACGGACTGGGCGATGAACGAGGCGTCGAACCGGCCCGTCGTCTGCGAGTACCGGCCCGACGGCGTCTGGCTCTGGACGAAGTGGCGCGGCACGGTGCTCGAGATGACCATCCTGCCCGTCGTCGTCACGATGGCGCTCGGCGCGGCCGTCGACGGCGGCGCGCACGCGCTCGCGGCGTCGGCGTGGCCCTTCTGGGGCGTGCCGCCCGTGGAGGATCCGTTGATCCGCCAGCTGTCGGGGCTGGGCGCGCTCTGGGAGTACAACCTGACGCTCTGCACGTTCATCCTCACGTTCTTCACGCAGCAGGCCTACGCGCACTACACGTCCGTGTACTTCACGACGCGGCGGCTCCAGGGCCGCATCAACGACGTCTGCCTGCTGCTGGCCGTCGGCGCGCGGCGCGGCGATGTCGCGGCCGACGGCGCGTCGTCGGGCTACGCCGACGAGGCGAAGCGGCTGGTGACGCTCGGGAGCCGCCTCGCGCGGCTGAGCCACACGTTCTTCTGGGCGTCGACGCGGACGCTGTCCAACGGCGTCGCCGACGGCGGCGTCGCCGACGGCGACGAGGTCGACGACCTGGGCTTCGCGAACAAGGAGGAGGACGCCATCGGGCCGAAGCTGCTGAGCCCGGAGGGTCTGCAGGGCCTCGTCGACGTCGGGCAGCTCACGCGGAACGAGCGCGACGCGCTCCTCGCGACGCGGCTGCCGCCGTCGCAGTACGCGTTCATCCTCCTCGAGTGGGTCGGCCAGTACGCCATGGCGGGCCTCGAGGCGGGCACGCTCCGCGGGGGCCCGGGCTTCGAGGCCGAGCTCTTCAAGCAGCTCACGCAGGTCCGCGCGGAGCTCTTCTCCATCAGCGACTTCGCGGCCGGGCGCATGCCGTTGGCCTACGTCCAGCTCGTCCAGGTGCTCGTCGACTCGCTCGTGCTGCTGGCGCCGCTGGCGCTCTACGCGCAGCTCGGGCGGCTCGCGATCCCGCTCTGCGGGTTGCTCACGCTCTTCTTCAAGGGCCTCCTCGAGCTCTCGAAGTCGTTCCTCGACCCCTTCGGCAACGAGGGCTTCCCGGGCCAGAACATCCGCGTCGACGTCCTCGTCTCCGAGCTCAACTTCGGCGCGCAGAGCCGCTGGTCCGCGGCGGGCGCCGTGCTCCCGACGCGCGACGCCGACGGGCCCCGCCCGACGGACACGGGCATCCGCTACCAGTCCGACCTCTGCGCGGCCTGGCCCGAGGTCGACGAGTGCCGCGCGGCGTAAGGAGGCCTATGTTGAACGCCATGCTATAGAGCCGCGATTCGGGAGTCGGGGAGACTTGGGGAGACTTTCGGGGAGGGTATCGCCTCGGGCGCCGCATGTTGAACTTCAAGCTGCGGTAGTGGAGGCCATAAATCCGCGGCGAGCATGTTGGCCTCGGAACCGCGCCGTCGAGCCATGCTCGCGCTGCTGGTCGTCGGCGCCGACGCGCTCTCGGCGACGGCGACGACGACGTCGCGCGCGGCCATCGGCGACCTGCTGCGGCGGACGCCGGGCGTCGGTCCGGACTGCGCCTACGACGCGACGCCGCTCCAGTCCGGTTTTTGCAACGACGTGTTCCGCGTCGACGTGGAGCACCGCCCGCAGCCCCTCGTCGTCAAGCTCTTCTCGGACCTGGCGCGGGCGCGCTGCGCGCCCGCGTGCCGCGGCGTCGTCGACGTCGCGGCGGGCGCCGCGGGTCTGGGCCCGCGAGTGCTCGTGCGCACGGACGACGCGCTCGTCCAGGAGTTCTCCCCCGGCGCGGAGCTCGCGGCGCCGGCCGTGCGCGCCGACGGCTCGCGGCTCGCGGCGGCGGCCATCGCGCCGCGGCTCGCGGCGCTGCACGCGCTGCCGTGCCCCGGTCCGCTGCCCGCGGCGCCCGCGGCGCTCTGGGTCGGCGTCGACGCCATGCTCGGGGACCGCGGCGGCGCCGGCGCCGGCGCCCTCGACGCGGGAGCCCTCGCGCGCGAGGCGCGGCGCATGCGCGCGGCCGTCGACGGCGTCGCGCGCAGGGCAGGACAAGAGAGCGAAATTCCCAACTTCAAAGGCTCCGATCTCGGCCGCTTTCCACTCGTTTTGGCTAATTTTTGGACGAGCGATCATCTCTTGGAACGGTCTCGAAGCGTGGATGCTTTTTCCGGGACGCGCGCGCGCGGAACACTCACGTTGAAGCGACGTTGAATCACTCTTGTGCTGCCCAGGTCGCGCGCGCGGACGTGCTCGGCCACGGCGACTTCAAGCCGTCGAACGTGCTCCTCCACGACGGCGCCGCGGTCTTCATCGACTTCGAGCTCGCGGGGCCCAACTACCGCGGCTACGACATCTTCAAGCTCTTCCGCACGAACGAGATGGCGCCCGCGTCCGACGCCGAGCTCCTCCGCTTCATCGCCGTCTACCTCGCCGAGGGCGGCGCCGACTCCGGAGACGCCGAGGCGGCGCGATGCCTCGCGGAGTCGAAGCTCTTCGAGCCCCTGACCTGGCTCGAGGCCGCGATCTTCTTCGAGTTCGCGGCCGCGCGGCTGCCGGAGAAGCGCGACGAGATGCGCGACCTCGCGCGGGACCGCTGGGCCGCCTACGAGGCCGTCGCCGGCGCCGACTTCGACCGGAGCGTCGCCGACCTCCGACGGCTCCTCTAGGCCGCCCCCCCGGGCCGCCCTAACCTCGTCGCTCGCCGAAGCCGAAGCCGAAGCGGAAGCTCTCGTGAACTGGTGAGGCCGGAGCGGCGCATGGGCCGCAACATACTCAACCCTTAGCGAGGCGCGGGCTTAGCGACACGCGACGATGGCGCAGATGGCGCAGGCGCTGCCGGCGACCTCGCTGCCGGCGACCTTCAAGATGACGCAGGCGCCGAACAACCCGCTGACGATGACCATGACGCAGGCGCCGAACAACCCGCTGACGATGACCATGGTCGCCCTGAAACCGCCGGCGCCGCCCGCGGAGCCGAAACCCCCCGCGGCGGCCTGCGCGGCGGCGGCGTCGCGCGTGTCGACGCCGGAGCCCGCGGCGCCGACGGCCGTCGTCACCGCCGGCAAGGACCGCGACGCCGTGCGCGCCTGCCTCGCGCGGTGCGTCGACGACGTCGCGGCGGCCGCCGCGCCGCGCGCGGCCGCGGCGCCGCGGCGCGCGGCCTCCGCGCCGCACGCGACGGCGCGGCTCGAGCTCGCGGCGGAGTTCCTGGGCGTCCTCGCGTCCATCCCCGGCGGCGCCGCGCGCGAGGCCGCGTTCTCCGCGGCCATCGCCGCCGTCGAGCGCGCCGTCGCGGACCCCTCCGCGCTCGCGTCGAGCCGCTACGACGACATGGCCGTCGACCGGGCGCCGGTGGCCGCGGAGGAGGCGGCGCCGGCCGCCGCACACCGGGGCGCCGAGGTGCCCCGCGCGCGCGCCGCGGGCTGGGCGCTGCATCTCGTCGCGGCGCTCAACGGGGCAGGAAAAGAGCGCGACATTCCCAACTTCAAAGGCTCCTATCTCGGCCGTTTCCACTCGTTTCGGCTGACTTTTGGACGAGCGATCATCTCTTGGAATGGCCTCGAAGCGTGGATGCTTTTTCACGGAACGCGCGCGCGCGGAACACCCACGTTGAAGCGACGTTGAATCTCTCTTTTCCCGCCCAGGCGCTCAACGAGACGGGCGCCGCGCGCGCCGTCGCGCCGTCGTGCGTCAAGGGCGCGCTGGCGCCGTCGAGCGCGCTGGTCCAGTTCTTCGCCGAGGGCCCCCTGGCCTTCGTGAAGCGCGTCGTCGCCGGCGGCCGCGGCGACGTCGAGCTCGAGTCGTTCTCGCGGGGCACGACGACGTGGGCCGAGTGCCTCGACGACGAGAAGCACGCGTTCACGCCGGCGACGCCCGCGGTGGACGCCGAGCTCCACGCGCTGCTCGAGGACGCGGCCCACGGCGGCCGGTCCGCCCGGGCCGGCCCGCGGCCCGAGCCGCCGTCGGGCGGCTCGTCGCCGCGGGGCGCGCCGCCCGACAAGCTCCCGTGCCTCGCGGGCCTGCCGAAGTTCGCGCGCGACGTCTACGACGCCTACGACGACGACGCCCAGTTCCTCGTGCTCCAGCCGGGGCCCGGCGGGGACCTGCGGCCCCACGTGGACTACCTCGCGTCGGGCGTGCTGTACATGCTCCTCCACGGGCGGAAGCGGATCTCGGTCTGGGCGCCGTCCGACGCGAACCTCGCGACGCTCGCGGACGGCTACGTCGAGGACCGGGACGTCGAGGCCGACCTCGGCGGGGACCGGTGGACCATCGACGCCGAGGCGGGCGACGCGGTCTTCATCCCGCCGGGCTGCCCGCACGTCGTCCGCAACGTCCGCGGCGGCTCCGTCGCCTGGGGCCTCAACGTCGTCGCGCCGGCGAGCCACGCGCTCATCGAGGCCATCCGCGACGGAAACCTGACCGACGAGCAGAAGAAGGTCTTCGCGCACCACTACTTCCCCGTCGTGCCGCCCGACGACGGCCACCTGGGGAAGAGCGACCAGGACACGCGCGTCGCCTTCGCGTGGCTCACGCAGCGCACGGCCAAAGCGCGGCCCGCGGCGCCGCCCGCGACGGACAAGACCATCGCCAAGCGCACGGCGCGCGTCCGCAAGAGCACGGGCGAGCGCGTCTACCTCGTCGACGAGCCGCCGGCGAAGCGCAAGAAGCGCGCGTCCTCCTAGCCTTACTCGACGAGCGTCGCGCGGCCGAAGCGGGCCGGGACGTGGAAGGACGGGTCGTGCGTGGGCGACCACGCCGTGAGCTCGAAGGGCTCGTCGGGGCCGTCCGGGTAGTCGTAGCGGTAGAAGTTGAGGCGCCAGTGCGGCCAGGGATGGCCGCCGGCCGGCCGGAACTCGTCGGCGAAGATGCCCCAGGGCACGAAGAGGTCCGAGCGCCAGCCGCGCGCCGTCGCGTTCGTCGCCGCGGTCATGCCGTGCGCGAAGGCGTTCGTCCCGTTGCACGGCAGCGGGCCCGCGGCCGCGCAGCCGCGCTCGTCGACGCAGTAGGCCGTGTCGCCCTTGGAGTTGTTCGACAGGCCGCCCCACATCGTCCCGGACGGCGCCTGCGTGGAAATCAACCACTGGTTTGGGACGTCCCGACCAAACTTTGAAATTCTCTAGCTCGGTCAAATCCAAGTCGATTCGGCTGATTTTTGGACGAATCGATCGCTCTCGTCGAGATCTCGAAGCACGGTCGAAGAGTCTGGTCCTAACCGTTCGATTACGCGCACATTTAAGTCGGGTTGAAGATTTGATTTCCACACAGGACGGCGCGGCGTCGAGCTCGAAGTACCACGTGGGATCGTCGCGCTCGTCCCGCACGGGCGCGATGAAGACCTCGAGCGCGTCGCTTTTGACGAACACGGGGCTGTCGCACGCCGTCGCGGCGCCGGAGAAGACGTCGTCGTCGTCGGCGGCCGTCGAGAGGTGGAGCCCGGCGTCGTCGTAGCAGGCGGTGCCCGACGTGGCCTGCCGCGGAGCGACGGACCCGGCGGCGTTCGAGACCGCGAAGGCGCCGAACGTCGCGGCGCCGGCGCCGCACGCCGGGATCGCCAGCGACGGTAGATCGCTCGCCGGGATCGCCGGCGCCGGGAGATCGCGCGCGAGCCCGCTCTCGCAGTAGCCCTCGCACGCGTCGAAGATGGCCACGGCGATGACGGGCATGGCGGCGATGGCCGCGTAGAGCGCCGCCTGGATGACCTCGACGCACGCCGCTTCCGAGAGGCTCGCGCACGAGCACACTTCGCAGGCGACGTCCGCGAGGCCAAAGTTGGCGACCGCGAGGTCGAGGAACGCGCGCTCGACGATGCAGCCCACGCACTCGAAGGGCTCGTTGCGCACGACGGCCGCGCGCAGGGACGCCGGGGACGCGGCCGCGAGCGCGTCCGCGAGCGCGTCGGCGTCGGCGCCGTCCGCGGCCGCGGCCGCGACGTCGACGCGGATCGCCGAGGCCGACGCGTCGACGGTGATGCTCGCGTCGCGCGCGCCGGGGACGACCTCGACGGAGAACGCCAACGCCTTGAGCCGCGCGTCGACGAGGGCGCCGAGGCGGCCGAGGGCGGCGCCGTGCAGCCCGGGCGCGCGCGCCGCGACGGTGCCACTTTTCGCCATCGACGCGTTTTTCGGCGGGTGGAAGAGGTCGCAGACGTCGATGCGATACGGGAGCGGCTGCCCCGTGCAGTTCGAGGCCGCCGCCCCAGCAGTCGTCGCGAGCAGGGCGAGGAGGAAGCTCGCCATCCTCGAGCACCGTTTAATGTTGAAGTTGCAGTTGTCGAGGCTGCCCAAGCGCCCTCTTCCGCGCGCGCTCTCCCGCATCGTTCGTTCGTGCGCATCCTGCGGATCCGCAGACATCGGCAGCCTCACGTGCCGCGTAGACCTACGAAAACGGAGCGACGGCGGTCCGGCCGCCGACCGAACACGAAGCGATCCCCGCCCGAGCATGAAGCGCAGCAATCGCGACGCCTTCCGCGTCATCAACGACGACCCCTTCCCCGAGCCCCTCGAGCTGCCCCTCGACGAGGCGCTGCTCTGGGCGGGCCCGCCCCCGTCGCCCCGGGCCTGCGACGTGCGCACCTGCCGGAGCTGCAACACGAAGAAGGTCGAGGCCGACTTCATCCACCCGACGAAAGGCACCGTCGGCCGCACGTGCGCCGCGTGCATCATGAAGCGGTCCGGCGCCGCGGCGCGGGGCGTCCAGGACCTCGAGGTGTCGCGGACCCTGGCGGACCACGAGGCGCGCCTCGCGTCCCTCGAGGGCGGCGGCGTCGCCGCGTGGCGGAGCGACCGCAGAGCGGACCTGGCCGAGTGGCTGCGCCTCGCGGATCCGGACGAGCCCGTGGGCTCCGGCGACTTGGTCGAGTGCCTCGGGCGCTGCATCTCGCGCCGGATCACGGGCCGGGGCGCGCTCTTCGTCGTGAGCAGCGAGCCCTTCTTCACGGGCAACATGCCCGACGACGACCGCCTCCTCGACGGCCGCGCGGTCGCGATGGTGGGCCAGGTGCCCGTGCGCGTCCGCGGGCCCTGCGCCGCCGACACAACTCTGGCGCCGTCGGGCCTCGACGACGGCACGGCCGTCGCGGCGCCGGGCTGCGGGTCGCGCGTCGTCGCCATGGAAACCGCGCCCGGCGGCGGCGGCGTCGCGCTCGTGCGGTGCCTCGTCAACGCCGGCGGCGGCGTCGACGACGGCTTCGTGCGCGTCGACGGCGGCGACGGCGCGGCCCTCGCAATCGAGCGCGCGGAGCTCCGCGCGGCGCTCGCCCGCGTCGCCCGCGACGTCGCCTTCCTCCCGGGCGTCGACGCGTCCGGCGCCCTCCGCGTCCACTTCCGCGGCTGGACCGACGGCCACGACGCGGCGGTCGGCCCCGCGGACGTCGCGCCGCGCGGCGCCGAGGCCGCGGACTGGCGCGGTGCCCTCCGGCCCGGGGCCCTCTGCGAGCTCCGGGTCCGGCCGACCTTCTGGGCCCTCGCCCACGTCCTCGACCGCCGCGGCGGCGCCCTCCGCGTGCTGCCCGCGACGCCCCCGGGCGCGCCGCTCGCGGCGCCAGAGTGGTGCGACGCGCAGTCCGAGCGCCTCTGCCGCGTCGGCACGCACACGCACCGCGCCTAGGTGCCCGCCCCGATCTCCCCCCCGCCCCGCGCCGTCGACTACTAAGGATGTAGAAAGAGACCGCGAGACCGCGGCCGCGCGCGCGCCGCGCGGACCGCGCCGAGCCGCCTGGGGATGTCGACGCGATCAATCCGAGCGCCGCACGGGCGGGGCGACGGCCGGTCAGAGATGCTCGTTTCTCTCTGGCGCCAATGTCTATCCCGAAATTCACGCGAAATCCACTCGAGCTTGTTATTTGGCGCTTGAAATTCACGGCGAGCGAGCGACGTTCGGGGCGCCGCGGCGCGCCGCCGCCCGCGCGCGTCCGCGCTCGGCCGCCGTCCGCGCTCGGCCGCGCGAGGGCCTGCGGGCGGCGGTCGTCGGCGGGCGCCGCGCGCGCGGGCGACGGGCGACGCGCGCGCGTCGGATCCTCGGCCGGTAATTCCAAAAGGTATATCAGCATGCTTGTTAAAGGGAGGGCAACTCCCGCTCGAGACTGGTGCCAGAAATTTTGTCGTCATCGGAAGGCGACGGGGGTGTTCAAAGGGACGCGGCGTGCGCACGCGCTGCTGGAGGATGGACGGCGAGCGTGTCGACGAGGCGACGGCAGCGGCGGCGATCGCTGGGAGGTGCGCCTCGCGCGCGCGCGCGCGGCTGAGCCCCTGGCCGGCATCGCCGCGGGGGCTGAGCCACTGGGAAGGGATTCGCTGCTTGGCGGGCGCCGAGCGAGTGGCTGCCATCGCTCCAGGTGCTCGCCAAAGGTTGAGCGCCGGAGTGCGCCGGTCACCGGTGCTGGCCGCCACCTCTCCTGCGGCGCGATTAGATCTAGGTCGCCTTAGGTGGGGATGCGGGATCTAGGGGTAGAGGCCGCAGTAGGCGGCGTCCTGTGCGTCGGCGGACGACGTCGACAAGCCGCGGAGGAGGTCGCGCGCGCTCGCCAGCGACTCGGACCGCGACGTCGACGCGCCCGAGCCGAGGCGGGGGAGGTCGCGCGCGCTCGCCGACAGCGACGCCGACTCCGCCGAGCCGCGGCGGACGTAGCGGGGGGCCGGCCGCGGCTGCCCGGCCCACGGCGCGCCGAGGACGCGGTCGAGGACGGTCATGCGATTGGCGACGGCTTCGGTGAGGCTCTCGAGCGTGTGCTGCTTCGTCTCGCCGCGCCGCTGGAGCCGCTCCCGCGAGCGCCGCTCGACGAGGGCCAGGGGGTGGTCGCGGAACCGCTCCGCGAGGCGCCGGTCCTCGGCGACGAGGTCCTCGTGCTTCGTGAACGGGCGGCGCGCGTCGCCCGCGGCCGGCGGCCGCGCGCGGAAGGCCCCGCGGCGGCGGCGGAAGCATTCCTGGATGTGGCGCGCGGCGCGCTCCTCGCGGAAGGCCTCGCTGCGCGCCGCGAGCTTGGGCGTCGCGCGGACCATGCCGTCGAAGAAGCGCTTCGCGATGCCAAAGTTCGTCGCGCTGCAGTGGAGGAGGAAGAAGAGCACGGAGGAGCGGTCCTTCCTGTCGACGCACTTCGCGCGGACGACGCCGCCGACGCGGCCCACGGCCGTGCCGCGGTCCACCTGCTCGACCATGAGAACGTGGATCGCGCGCGCGATGTCCGCGCGCCGCGCGTCGGAGCCCTCGAGGACGCAGTCGATGAGGCCCGGGTGGAACTTCTCGAGGCGCCGGTAGAACGCGGCCTCGTGGGAGAAGGAGTAGTTGTTCGTGAACGAGTGGTCGGCCACGAAGGGGCTCAGCGCGACGGCGAGGTCGCAGAGCTCGCGCGCGTTCACGTCCGACGCCTCCTGGAAGTCGCCGCTCGACCTGGGCGGGACGAGAGAGATTCGTTCGAGCGTTCCGCGCGCGCACGTTCCGGTAAAAGCATCCGCGCTTCGAGACCGTTCCGAGAGACGATCGCCCGTCCAAACATCGGCCGAAACGATCGGCACCCGGCCGAGAGAGGAGCCTTTGAAGTTGGGACTGTCGCGCTCTTTTCCCGCCCCGCGCTCGACACGTAGTTCGCGAGCTTGTAGCCGTGGAAGGCCGCGACGAGCTCCTCGAGGGGCTCCCTGAGGACCGCGTACTGGTTGAGGCCGAGCGAATGGCGGCGCCGCGACCGACCGGGGATGACCGCGCGCGCGAGCGCCTCGACGAGGGACACGCCCTCGTCGTGCTCGCCGGCCTCGACGGCGCGCGCCGCGTAGAGCGCGCTGTGGCCGAAGGAGTCGACGTCGGCCAGCGCGCCGTCGCGGGGCGCCTCGGCGCCGCCGGGCTCGCGGCCGTCGGACTCGTGCACGGACGCGCCGCGCGCGAGGCCCCTCCGCTGGATGATGCGGCCGAGGGCGCGCAGCGCCCGGTCGCGCGCGGTCACCTCCTTGTAGTTGACGTAGACGTTGCGCAGCCCCAGCCCGAGGTAGAGGGCCTGGATCGCGAAGAAGAGCGACACGAAGACGCGGTGCTCCGTGCCCAGCGCCGCGTTGAGCGCGCCGCCGAGCGCGCCGCGGACGCTCGCGGCGCTCGAGGCGTTCAAGCCGTCGTGCTGGTCGTCGCCGAGCTTCTCGGCCTCGAAGAGGATGCCGATGGCCAGCGTGACGATCGTCAGGCACAGGCCGCCCTGCTCGAACTGGTTCAGCTCCTTGTAGACGTAGGGCTCGAACGTCGCCTGGGCCCAGATCACGACGAGGAGCGCGACGATGCCGACGAAGCCCTGCGCGAGGGGCTTGTGCCAGAGCAGCGCGGAGGTGAAGCAGAGCACGCCCTGGCGGAAGCGCAGCACGAGGCCCCAGAGCCACGCGTTCGGCCGGAACTTGTCGTAGCAGAAGCCCCATCGCTCCAGCGTCCAGGGGTCGCAGAGCCGGTTCTCGCGCCGCAGCTTCACGAGGTAGAGGAAGAGGCACGTCGGCAGGCCGTAGACGAAGATCACCATGTAGAACATGCCGAAGACCCGCATGCCCGTGGACTCGCTCCCGCCGCAGGGCATGTCCTCGGCGAACGCGCGGACTTTCTCGCCCATGCCCACGAAGCGCCGGCACGGGAACACCTCGAGCACCGTGAGCGTCAGCGACGCCTGCGCGCCGAAGAGGAACGACGCCGACTGGCTGATCGCCGCCGTGACGTCGTCGGCGCGCCGCGGCGTGCACACGGCGACCCAGGCGAACTGGAAGAGGCAGTAGATCACGGGCATGGCGAGCATGAGGAAGTAGGTGGCATTCTGGTTCCACTGAGCGATCGAACACTTGGGCTCGATGACGTCGACGTCGAAGAGCGCGATGTTGAAGACCATGAAGAGGACGTCGAAGGACGCCGGCCAGAAGAGCCAGTAGCCGCTGACGATGCCCAGGTCCTGGTACGTGTCCAGGATGACGTCGAGGACCTGGTACTTGGGCCGGACGTGGTCGTTGATGTAGACGAAGAGCGCAAAGAGCGCGCAGTACTCGAGCACCGTCGCGAGGTCGGCGAGCGCCTGCGGCTTCGGGCACCTCACCGCGAGGGTGCTGAGGCCGAAGTAGCCCGGGCTGTCGTCGTTGGCCTTCTTCGCGTTCTTGACGTCGTCGCAGAGCGGCACGCGCTGGTTCTTGCCCTCGCCGCACCAGCCGTGTCCGTTGTGCTCCGGGGACTGGAGGCAGCTCCCCTGGTCGCCGCCCTTGCAGTCCGTGTTGTAGTAGGCCTTGTCCGCCGCGACGCAGGAAAGGTTCGCGGGGAGGGCGAAATGCCCGGTTCGCTCGGGGAAGCCGATCGCGCACTCGGCCGCGCGGTTGCCGCCCTTGCAGTCGTAGGTGTAGCGGCAGCGGTAGGCCTTGGTCTTGTTCTCCTCGCCGTCCTGGTTGCGGATCGTCGGGAGCCAGTAGTACTTGTCGGGGTAGGGCTGCGTGAGCCCGCCCTCGCATTGCGCGTGGGCCGGGCACTTCATGCACTCGTCGACGACGGGCCAGCGCCGCGAGTAGTAGCCCTTCACGCAGACGCACGCGTAGGGGCTGGACGCACCAATCGCGCCGCCGAAGAGCGCGGTTTCCTCGTGTCGCGTCGTGCTGCGTAACGGGCACCGCGTGCACGTCTCGGACCCCTCCTCGTCCGCGTACTCGTCCTCGTCGCAGTCCTGGCACGAATCCAAGCCGGAAGGGTTCCTCGGGTTTGGCTGATGCGTGCCGATTGGGCACTTGAGGAAGACGTTGTCGGCGCCCACGTAGGAGCCCGCGGGCGCGCCGGATTCGCAGGCGCAGTCGACGGCCGCTTCGTCGACGAAGCATGTTCCGTGTCTGCACTCGCCCCCGTTTAGAGAGCAAGTGGAGTCCGGGTCGGGGCAGGACCCGACGGCGTAGAGGTCCGCGACGAGGCCCGTGAGGTTCGAGTGGTCGCCGTCGTTCGCGTCCGTGCGCAGGACGACGTCGACGCGGTCGGCGACGTCGAATTCGAACGCGCGCTTGACGTTGCAGCTGCCCTCGACGCAGGCCGCGGGCTCCGCCATGAAGTCGTCGAGGTTGCAGTCGCGGTTCTCTTTGCAGGAGATTTTGGAGACGTCGAGCCGCGGCACGCCGTCCGCGTAGATCTCGAGCCGGTCGCCGTCGACGCCGTCGTCGCCGGCGTCCACGAAGGGCTCGAGCCCGAGGTGCTCGATGACGAGGCGGTACTTCCCCGCGCCGGCGTTCGACCAGGTGTAGTAAGCCATGGCCGGCGCGTTGCTCACGAGGCGGCTCGGCGCCCTCGAAGTCGCGTTGCTCGCGAGGCGGAGCTCGACGGCGCCCTCGCTCGAGAGGCCGCAGCCGTTGCCGTCGGCCGCGCACGCGTGCCCGACCTTGGCGTCCGCGGCGACGGCGGTCCCTCGGAAGCCGCTCCGGCGGCCGTAGCCGTCGCTCGAGAAGACGACGGCGACGCGCTCGCCGGCGCCGACGTCGACGACGGCCTCGAGGGTGCCCTCGCCGTCCCGGGCGACGAAGTCGACGTCGCCGGCGGCGCGCGCGTAGCCGAAGCGCGCGCCGGCCGCGGCGTCGTAGACCCGGAGCAGGTCCGCCGCGCGCGCCGCGGCGACGTCGACGCCCTCCTCGACGTCGAAGTCGACGGCCACGCGGAGCGCGGGCGACGACGTGGAGAAGATCCAGGCGCACTCCGCGTGGTTCGCGTAGAGCGACCCGGCCTCGAGCGCGTCGGCCGCGGACGCGAAGCCCGCCGCGCCGCCCGCGGCGTCGACGTCGACGAGGGTCGCGCCGACGCAGGCGTCGCGCTCGCAGTCCGCGCCGAAGTAGCCGACGTCGCAGACGCAGAAGCCGTCGGCGCCGCAGGCGCCGCGCGACGAGCAGTCGGAGCAGCCCGGCGCGTCGCCGTCGTACACCGCGGCGAAGCCGTCGCCGGCCGCGGTGCCGTAGGCCTGGGCGAGGGTGTCCGTCGTCGAGAGGCGGAGCGAGATCGCGCCGCGGCCGCGGAGCTTCGGCGGCGCGGCCACGTCGTAGCCCGAGAAGGTGCCGAGGTGCCGCGCGCCGCCGTCGGCGCCCGTCTGGGGGTCGCCGCCCTCCCAGGCGCGGAGGACGTCGCCGCTCCAGAGCCGGAACCGGTCAAAGGTCACCTCGACCAGGCTCTCCGCCGTCGCGCCCGCGATCACGAAGTCGCAGGTCGCGTTCTTCGCGTAGCGCAGGCCGTCGCGGCCGCCCGCGCCGTCGTCGAAGGACCCGGACCCCTCGAAGGTTCGGACCCCGTCGCAGGGCGACGGCGGCTCGCCCGTCCGCAGGTCCGAGAACGGCGGCCCGCCCTCCTCCAGCAGGTCGTCGACGGCCAGGCGGTCCCAGCGGGCCGGGTCGAGGAACGTCGCGTCGACGACGGTCTCGAAGTAGTCGAACTCGTCCGCGTGGGCCTCCAGGAACCTGCCGCGCGGCGCGGGCGCGACGACCTCCTTGTTCGAGTAGTGGAAGTCGGCGGTGTGCGCCGCGGCGCGCGCGGTGCCCGCCGTCGCGCCCGCCGCGCATGTTTCTTCGTCCAGCGCGAGGAACTCGCAGTCGATCTGGTCGTCGGCGCTTAGGAGGTCAAAGTCCGCGAAGTGGGTCCACGACGCGGTGCGGTCCGCCACCGTGTCGCGGGGCTTGAACGCGACGTCCGCGATGGTCGCGAGGAAGCCGTCGGCGTCCTCGGCCCCCCAGGGGCTCGCGCCCCGCTCGCTCCCGTCGGGGCAGGCCGCGCCTTCTTGCTGGCACTTCGCGGACTCGTCGAGCGCGGCCATGACGTTCGCGACGCGCGCGACGACCTCCGGGTGGGCCCGGGCGAAGGCGCCCCGGGCCGCGACGAGCTGGAACGTCGGCCGCCCCCAGCTGCCGAGGAGCTCCGAGGTCACGAGCGTCTTGCCCTCGTTGTCGAGGATGTGTTTCATCGCCTCGCCGTAGTAGAACGCGCCGTCGATGTCGCCGTCGTCGTAGGCTTGGATGACCTCCTTGGTGGACATGTCCTTGATCGTGAAGGCGCCGGCGCCGCCGACGTACTCCTGGAGGAACTTGAGGTGGTAGTGCATCGTCGACCCGACGGACGTCGCGAGCGTCTTCCCCGCGAGCTGCAGCGGCGACTCGATGGCGCTCTCGCGGACGACGAGGGCCTCCTGATTCTTGATGACGTACTGGACGTAGAAGCAGACGAGGTCCGCGCCGCGGGCGGCGAACTCGGCGAACGGCGCGGACCCGAGGACCGCGATGTCGAGGTCGCCGGCGTCGAGCTTCGACGCGAGGAGCGGGCCGGAGTCGTGGTTGTAGTAGTGGAACGTCGCGTCCCCCGTCTCGTACCAGCCGCGGCCGATGCCCACCATGAAGGGCAGCGGGTCGAAGCCGAAGTAGCTGCGAGCGCGGCCGTCGCGCGTCGCGCGGGGGACGCGGCGGCGCGCGCGCGCGCGTCGCCCGCCGCCGCGGCGCCGAGGCCCCGCGCCGGCGCGGCGACGAGCCGCCGTGCGGCGCCCGGGGGGGGGGGGGGGGGGTCTCTTTTGGGTCCGCGCGGCATTCGACTTCGGTCGAAGAAGGGGGGGCGTTCTCTCGGTTTCCGGACGCGGCGCGGCGTGCCCCATGCGCACGTCCAGGGCTCCGGCGACAGCGACGGACGCGAGGACGAGGCTGAGCTTCATCGCGCGGCGAGCGCCCGTCGCCGCGGCGATCGTGTGCTATGGAAAATGCACGGAACTCAAGCGGGTCGCTCCGATCTCGCTCCGAGCTGCCTCAGGCAATCGGCGACTCAAGACGGCGTCGCGGGTCGGCGCGTCGATCCCCGGGTCCGCAGCGCGCGAGCGATCATCCATCGTCATAAGCACATCATCGTCGTCTCGAAATGGCGCCCTTCGGAGACCTCATGTCGGGGCACCTCGATGTGCTCGGCGAGAAGCTCCTCGCCTACAGCACCGGCAACCCCTTCATGTTGTTGAGCCGGGCGACGCGCGACGCCGTGCCGCGCGGGACCATCGACGCGTCGCTGCCGGGCAAGCTCGACGCCGCGCTGGCCCGCAACGACGAGACCGCGGCGCGGCGCCTCGCCGGCGAGGCGATGCGGCGCGTCGCGCGGAACTTTCGGACGCTAAACGACCGGCTCGCCGCCAGGGGCTACCCGGTGAGACGCGCCTGTCCGTATTCACGCCGCGAGTACGCGCGCGCGGTCGACGACTACGACGCCCTCGTGGCAAACTACCAGCACCACATCCCGCTCATGCTCGAGGAATTCTGGAAATGGGTCGGCGGCTGCTCCTTGTTGAGTTTTAAGAAGCACTCGTGCAAGCACAGAAGGTGGTGGGAGCGCGAGCACCCGGACATCCTCGAGGTCAACGATCGCGCCGCTTGGGTACACCCTTACTTCAGCCTCTCTTCGACGGTTCGGGATTGCGTGCGTGACCTTCCAGCTGATGAACTCCATCAGGCGTATGTGATGGAACGATGGCCCGATGAACACTATACGGACCCTCTGCACTTGTACCACGTAGCCGATCTGATGAAAACTGATCCTCCAACGGGTCCAGTTATCCACATCGCCCCCGATTACGTTCACAAAGATGGCTATTCTGGCGGCCCGCCGTATGAAATCTTGTGCGGCCGCGACGCCGGCCTCGACCCTTTCATCTCAGATGGCATCGTGCGGCATTTGTCTCACTCTGAGTTTCACCTTGAATTCACAGCATCAGCAATCGGGCGGAAGGAAGACCCGATGCGGCCCGACATCAACGAGGTCCTGACGCGAACGTGGCTCTCCGAGAACCCTGGCCTCACCGCCGAAGAGATCAAGAAGAATTTGAACCAATACTGTTATGACCGGCGAGTGGCTCAAGTCGTACCCCGGACCCGGCGACCGCGGCCCGCTCACGCTCCTCAAGTACCTGCGCCTCGCGCTGCTGGTCCACGGCGGCTTCACGGGCCTCGACGCGGCCAACCCCAACTTCGACCCGCTGCGGCGCGCGCTCATCGCCGACCTCGAGCTGTTCTAAGGACGCGCCCGGGGCTCCAAGTTCGACTCACTTAGAGGCCGCGGCGCCTAGGTCTTCTCCGGGGCCTTGAGGCCGAAGGCCGCGAAGAGGAAGGCGCCGAGGAGGGCCCCGAAGAGGGAGAAGGGCGAGAGGCCGCCCTGGAGCTGGTTGGAGAAGAGCAGGAAGCCCGCGAGCGCCGACGCGGCCACGGCGCCGACGAGCGGCTCGTCCTCGGCGGCGTCCTCGTCGGAGACGGCGCGGAGCCGGAGCTGCGCGGCCTCGAGGCGCGCGGCGCCGTCGGCCTCGGCGGCGGCGACGTCGGCGGCCGTCGCGGCGCGGGCCGCCGCGGCCGCGTCGCGCGCGGCGGCCGCCGCGCCGCGCGCCTTCGCCGCGGCGTCCGCGCCGATCTGCGACTCGAGCGCGACGACGGTGGCGCGGATCTCGCGCTTCGCGTCGCCCTCCGCGGTCTCCGCGAGCGTCCGCGCGGCGGCGACGCGCCGCTCGTTGCTCCTCCGGGCCGCGTCCGCGGCGGCCGCGACCTCGGCTTTCTTGGCGGCCTCGGCCGCGTCGACGTCGCCCCGCGCGCGCCGCGCGTCGGCCTCGCTGGCGGCGAGCGCGGCGAGCGCGCTCGCGAGCGCGCGCTCCGCGGCGTCCGTCTCCCGCTTCGCCTCCTGCAGCTCGAGCTCGAGCGCGCGCAGCGGCGCTTCGAGCTTCGACGACGCGCCGCGCAGCGCGTCGCGCGCGTCGCCCACGAACTCGGCGCTGCTGCGCAGGCGCACGACGCGACCGGCGCCGTAGGTCGCGCTCGGCGCCCAGGAGCGCGTCGAGGCGACGAGCGCGCACAGCACGACGAGCATGGGCCTCGCCATAGCCAAGATCTTACACGAGCTCAACCTGAGCGGAGGCCGACCTTGCCCGTAGCGCGTGCTCGCGTGAGGCGCACGCCACCTACCCGTCGGCCTTTAGGAGCTTCTACTCGGGGTGGTGCGCAGCGACGCCGTACTTTGAGGCTCAGCGAGCGCGGCCGCTCCGTGGCATGGAGTGGGGCTTACACGCGTGCGCGTGCGCCGCTGCTAGGCTACGAACGAGCTGCCACGCGACGAGCTACCTCGAGGACTCGCCACGGCCAGGGGCCCCAGTCCTGCGGATGTTTCGGCGCTGTTCCCAGCCGGAAGCGCCCGCGAGCGCCGCCACTCCAACCAGGCCCGCCGCTTTGAGACAGCCCGGCCGCGCGACTCGAGCCGCCCGCCCGCCTCGCCGCGCGCGCCGCGCGCCGCCGCGACCGCGGCCATGGATTCGCTCGGCGCCGACGACGACCTCGTGGACCTCAGCGAGGGCGAAGTGCTGCTGCAGCTCCAGGAGCTCCACCGCCAGCTCGCGGCGCGGCGCCAGACCGCCAAGCTCGAGCGCGACGCGCGCGCCCGGCGCCCGAGAGAGATGCGTTTTCGTTTCCGCGCATACGAACACGTGAAACGTCTAGGTCGCCGCGGAGCCCGAGGCGGACGCGGGCCGCGCGCCGTCGCCGTTCGGCGCGCCGCTGCTCGAACCTCCCAAAAAACTCATCGTCTGCGCCGTGTCCAAGCCCGTGGAGCTCGAGAAGCCCTTCGGCGGCGAGACCTTCGAGTACAACGAGAGCGACAGCGGCCTCGCGGCGTCGGTGCGCGCGCTCGAGCGCGCCGGCGTCCACGTGCGCTGGGTCGCGTGGCCCGGGTGCTTCGTGGAGAAGACGAGCGAGGAGGGCGTGCGCCAGCGTTTAGAAGAGGAGTACAACTGCCACCCCGTCTTCCTCGATCGCGCCGTCGAGGAGCTCTTCTACGCGCGCTTCTGCCACGGCGTGCTCTGGCCCCTGTTCCACTGCATCCCGATGATGACGTCGCTCACGAAGTTCGAGGAGGGCGAGGAGACGAGCCGCGACGCGACGCTCGTGGGCGCCCGGGCGACGGACCAGTACGAGGCTTATTTGTCCGTGAACCAGCTCTACCTCGAGGCCGTCGCCGCGGAGTACGTCGAGGGCGATTTGGTGTTGGTCCACGACTACGAGCTCATGCTCCTCCCCGCGATGCTCCGGAGCCGCTTCCCGGAGATTAGCTGCGGCTACTTCTGCAACTGCCCCTTCCCCTCGACGGAGTTCTACCGCATGCTGCCCGCGCGCGAGGCGCTGCTCCGGGGCGCGCTCGGCGCGGACCTCGTGTCGTTCAACCACTTCGACTACGTGCGCCACTTCCTCAACGCGTGCATGCGCGTGCTGGGCCTCGAGTCGCTGCCGAGTAGGCTCGAGTACAACGGCCGCCTCGTGACCGTGTCCATCTGCCCCGCGGGCATCGCGCCCGAGGCCTTTGAGGTCAACACGGACTCGGAGCTGTCCGTGGCCGTGCGGGGCCGCGCGGACCAGATGCGCGCGGGGCCCTTCCGCCACCGGAAGGTGCTCCTGTCCCTCGACGCGCTCGACATGTCCAAGGGGATTCCTCAAAGGCTCCTCGCGTTGGAGGCGCTCTTGGAGTTCCGGCCCGAGTGGCGCGGCCGCGCGATCCTCGTGCTGGCCGCGCGCGACCGGGGCCGCGTCGTCGACGCGCAGCTCCGCAAGGCCGTCGACGGTTTGGTGGGCCACGTCAACGGCCGCTTCGGCCGGGCGGACTACTGCCCCGTGCACTACCTCAAGCACACGCTCACGCGCGTCGAGAAGCTCGCGTTATATTCCCTCGCGGACGTGGCTTTAGTCGCGTCCGTGCGCGAGGGCATCAACCTGAGCGCCATGGAGTTCGTCGCCGTGCAGAACGCCTTCGCGGAGTGCGAGCGGCGCTACGACCCGGGCGTGCTCGTCTACTCGGAGTTCGCGGCTGTGCCGAAACCAACCACTGGTTTGGGTGGTCCTGACCAAACTTGAGAATTCTCTAGCTCGGTCAAATCGAAGTCGATTCGGCTGATTTTTTGGACGGATCGATCGCTCTCGTCGAGTTCTCGAAGCCCAGCCGAAGAGCTTGTGTCAAAACATTCGAATACGCTCACATTGAAGTCGGGTTGAAGATTTGGTTTCGGCACAGGTTCGCGGGCTGCGCGACGTCCTTCGAGGACGGCGCGCTCGTCGTCAACCCCCACGACACGGACGGCGTCGCCCAGTCGCTCCACGCGGCGCTGACGATGACGTCGACGACGAAGCAGGTCCGGCACCACAAGCTGGCGCGCTACGTGAACACGTACACGGCGGAGCTCTGGAGCAACCGCCTCGTCAAGGAATTAAGGCAGGCGCGGGAGAAGGCCGCGGCCTACGAGCAGCTGCTCCCCTTGGACGTCGCGCAGCTCCGGAGCTTCTACGAGCGGTCGCGGCGGCGGCTGCTCGTCTTCGAGTACGACGGCACGCTCGCGCCCCACGCGTCGCTGCCCCAGCTCGCGCAGCCCCCGCCCGCGCTCGCGGCGACGCTGGCCCAGCTCTGCGCGGACCCGCACAACACGGTCTACGTGCTGTCCGGGCGGTCGCCGAGCGATTTGGACGAGTGGCTCGGGAGCTCGTGCCCGCGGCTCGGCCTCGTCGCGGAGATGGGCTTCCGCCTGAAGCGGGCGCCGCGCTGCGCGTTGCCGTCCGTGCTGACCTTCGCGGACTCGTCGGCCGTGAGCTCGCTCAAGGGGTCGGCCCAGACGTTACCCGAAATCGCGGACGCGGAGCTCCTGGCGAACACGCGCCTCAACGCGCTCGCGGCCGACGCGCCGGTCCTCCACGACGACGACTACGGCCACCACGCGGGCCTCGACGACTCCGGCAGCGGCGACGCGGGCGACGGCCACGGCGCCGACGACGACGCGACGGACGACCGCCGGTCGGACAACGACGCGGCGCGCGACTGGGAGGACGTGAACCCGGGCGTCGACACGACCTGGGTCGTCGAGGTCGCGCCGATCCTCGAGTCCTTCACGCGCCAGACGCCGGGCTCCTTCCTCGAGGCCAACGGGTCCTGCGTGACGTGGCACTACCGCGACGCGGACCCGGATTTCGGAGACGCGCAGGCGAAGAACCTCATCTTACATCTCGAGGTCGTCGCGGAGAACCGGCCCGTCAAGTGCTCCATGTCGGCGACGAAGCGGCAGATCTCCCTCCAGCCCGCGCGCGTGTCCAAGGGCCGCGCGCTCCGGTCCGCCGTGGGCGTCGACATGGACGCGTACGATTTGGTCTTCGTCGTCGGCGGCGAGGCCGACGAGGACGTCTTCGAGCTCTTCGAGGGCTCGTCCCACTCCTTCACCGTTTCCGTGGGCCGCCACCTGAGCCGCGCGTCCTTCTTCCTCGACGACGAGGAGGTGCTGCCGACGCTACAGACGCTCGCCGCGGTTTCGAACCTGTCCATCGCGCCGAACCCGGCGTCCTTCCTCACGTCGAACACGTCCTTCGCCACGGCGCCGGACTCGCCGGCCGCCCCGTAACACCGAGCGGCCTCTTAGAACGAACCCCCCCCCTCACCGCTTGCGGCGCCGGACCTGGTCGACGATGTCCGCGAGGCGGCGCTCGTCGAGGACGCGGTTCACGAAGAGGCTGTCGTAGAGGGGCTGGTTCTGGAGGAGGTAGCGGAGCGTGTCCTCGTCGAGGCGCGTGATGGCCTCGGGCAGGCCCGTCGCCGCGGCGTGGGCCTTGGGCGGCGGCGGCGGCTGGTGGTGGCGGTTGTCGAAGTCGCCCGGGTGCGGCCGCGCGTCGCCGCCGGAGTCCGGCGGCGCGTCGGACTCGGCCGCGGGGATGCGCGCCGTCGCCGACGTGCGCCGCGTCGTCTTGTCCGGCGCGCCGAGGTCGTGGTCGTCGGGGTGGGGCGGCACGTCGCGCGGGTGGAGGTAGCGCGCCTCCATGACGCGTTTGAGTCGTTGCGCCGTCGCGTCGCCGGCCGTCGACGCGTAGTCGATGTCCGGAATGCACTCCTTGGGCACCACCGATAACGTCGGCCGCTTCCAGGGCCGCGCGGGCTTCATGGCGCGGAGCGCCGCGAGGCGCCGCTCGCGGTCCGCGCGCGCCTCCTCGAGAGCCTCCACTTTCGCTTTTTCCATCGCGGCGCGCTCCGCCTCGTGCTCCTTCTTCTTCCGGTCCTCGATGCTGAGAGACGCGTCGACGTCGTCGGACTCGTCGAAGTAGTCGTCCAGCCAGCCGGGCTCGGGCTCCTTCTCCGCGACCAACTCGGCGCCCGCGTCGTCGGCCCAGCGGATCTTGCGGCCGCCGTCGGGCGCCGCGGCCTTCTCCGCGAGCTTCTTGGCCAAATCCGCGTCGATGGTTCGGCTCGTCGGCGTCGCCGCCGGGCCGTCGTCGTCGAGCCCGCCGAAGAAGGCTTCGGTCTCCGTGTCGACGACGACCTCCTTCACGCCCGCGACGCCGCGACCCGCGCGCCGCGCCTGGATGCGCTCCTCGCGGCTCCCGTCGAGGGCCTTGGACAGGGCCTCGCCCCGCGATTTCTTCGTGAGCGCCGAGGCGAGGAGGTCGTTGGACCCCGCGCGCTTCTTCGCCATCTTGGGCTTGGGCTGCGCTTTCCGCGCGGCCTCGTCGCGGCGCTTCTCCTCGAGGGCCGCGAGCTCGGCCTCCTCGTCGGCCTGGACGGCGTCGGACTGGTTCACCTTGGCGAGCCAGCGCTGCATGAGCAGCGCGCAGGCGCCGTGGAGCGCGTCGCCGTCGACGGTGCCGCCGCCGCCGCCCTCGAACGCGGCCTCGCGCTCCTTCTTGAGGCGCTTGACGACCTTGCCGACGCTCGAGCTCTTGACGATTTTGGACGTCACCGGCAGGTCCGCGAGCGTGCGCACGCAGAGGACGGCCAGGGCCTCGTCGCCGGCCTTGGTCGCGTCCTCGAGCCACGCGCCCAAACTCGTGAGCCCCTTGAGGTTGAGGAACGTCCGGAGCGCGAGGCGCCGCGGCGGCTCGCAGTTGGCGGACCGGCGGAGCACGACGAGGAAGACGGCCTTGGCGCTCGCGCCGGCGTCCCGGAGCCGCGCCTGCGTGAGCAGCTGGTGCAGCTTTTCGCCCGCCGCCGACGTGTCGGCGACGGCGCCGGTGGCGTCGAGGTGCTGGAGGAGCCGCATCTCGATGACGTCGGGCTCGACGAGGGGCGCGTCGGCGACGTGCGGCGCGTCGCCGCCGAACTCCGCGAGGCCGCCGTCCGCGGCCGGCGGCTTCGGCTTGGGCGCGAGCGCGCTCGTCGGCGTGCCGACCGCGTCCGCGCAGCTCGCCATGGCGGCCTCGAGGCGCGCCGCCGGCGGCGTCGCGTCCGCGGGCGGCGGCGGCGGCGCATCCGCCGCGGCGGCGGGCGCGTCCGCGGGCGCGTCGACGTCCATGGGCGCGCCGCCGTTCGCGCCGGCGGCGCCGTCCGCGGCGGGCGCGTCGACGTCCATGGGCGCGCCGCCGTCCATGCTCGGCGACGGCTCGGTCGCGCCGGCCGGCGCAGCCGTCGCGCCACTCTCGCTCGCGGTCGCGGCAGGCGAGGCGACGGTCTCGACGACCTCCATGTCTCGGCGACGGCCAACTCTCGCGGCGCGCCGGCGTGCCCGGCCTCTCGCCGCCGCACCTCGTCCGCCGCAAGCCCTGCCGCACCAGGTGCCGCACGACTCGGAGTCCCTCCGTCGACGACGCCCCCGACGGCCCTCCCCCGCCGAATTCGGACGTGCTAGGGCACGATGGGCGCGAGGACGGCGCTGCCCCGCGGCTTCGGCGGCGAGTGGAGGAGGAGCCCCGGGCCGCGCCAGCTCGGCTCCGCGGGCCGCCGGTCGGCTTCGCCGTCGTCGTAGCGCGGCGTCGCCTCGGAGTCGCCGCCTGTGTGGAAACCAAATCTTCAACCCAAATTCAATGTGCGCGTAATTGAACGGATTGCGCCGGACTCTTCGACTGAGCTTCGAGAACTCGACGAGAGCAATCGATTCGTCCAAAAATCAGCCGAATCGACTTCGATTTGACCGAGCTAGAGAGGTTTGAAGTTTGGTCAGGACCCCCCAAACCAGTGGTTGAATTCCACACAGGTCGCCGCCCTCGTCGTCGCGGTGCTTGTCCGGCGAGGCCGCCGGCGTCGCGTGGTCCGGCGCGAGGAGCGCCTTGAGCGCCCGGGGCGTGCCCGTCGGGAACGCGGCCGCGCGGTCGTCGTCGTCCAAGGCGGCGATGGACCGCCGCGCGCGCGTGTTCGACTCCTCGTGGATCCGCGAGTCGGCGCCGGCCTTGGGCGACGGCGGCGGGCTGTCCGGGCAGAGCAGCGCCTTCAAGAGGAGGTGCGTCCGCAGGGGCACGCCGTCGGGCGGCGGCGACGCGTCCGCCGCGGCGCCGTCCGGTTCGTCGCCGCGGCCGTCGTCGGGCGGCGGCGCCGCGGGCGCGGCGGGCGGCGCCGGCGCGACGGCGAGGGACGCCCGCCTGAAACCCTCCTTGGCCGTCGACGCGACGGACGAGAAGATGGACCGCCGCTGCGCCGGCGCGGACGCGCGGCGCAGGTTGAGCTCGGGCGCGACGGTCCGACCGGGGGCCTGCGCTCCGAGATCCAGGACCGCGGCGAAGCCCGGGTCCGTGCGCTTCCAGTCCCGGAGCCGCGACATGCCCACCTCGAGGGCGAGCGGCCGCTGGCTCCCGAGGCACGCGGCGTAGCTCGGCCGATCCCGGAGCCTCCGCCAGTACGCGGCGACGCGCGGCCGCCGGTCGACGAGCGACCCCCAGTCCGCCACGACCAGGCGGTCCAGCGTCGCCGTGAGGCTCACGTCCGCCAGCGTGTAGTCGGGCCCGCAGGCCCAGGGCCGCCCGTCGCCGAGGTCCGTTTCTAGAGAGTCCAAATGCCGCCTTGCCTGTTCCAACGCCGTCTTCAGCGCCATCATCAGATTGGGCATCTTCGCGACGAAGTTGGGCCCCCAGCGTTTGAGGGATAATAGCAACAAGGGCCAGCGCCGCCGCCCCTGGAAGAGGCCCCGCCGCAGCGCGTTCGCGCCCACGTCCTGCGCCAGCGCCGCTTCGAGCGGCGCGCCGAGCGTCATCGCGCAGCTCCCGAGGCTCCTCGTCGCCGACTCCGGCGAGAAGTCGCCGTGGCCCTCGACGGCGCAGCGGTCGCACCAGGCGCCGACGGCCTCGGCGACGGCCCGGGGCACGAGGCTCTTGCCGGGCATGACCTCGTCGACGTAGTCGAGGCACTTCCGGCTCTCGTAGACGGGCCGCCCCTCGTGGACGAGCGTCGGCACGATGCCGCCCGGGTTCACGCGCAGGTAGGCCCGCCGCAGATTCCCGAAGTCGCCGTCGGGCACGACGAGGCGCACGCCGTGGAACTTGAAGGCCACGTGCTTCTCGTAGAGGCAGAGCCGGACCGCGTTGCTGCAGGGGCAGAGCGCGTTCCCGTAGAGCTCGACGACGTCCGTCGACGCGACCTTCTTCGACGGGTGGACGCCGCCGCGCATGGTCTTGCGCGGCATGGTCGCGAGGCGTGTTTGGGCCGCGCGAGGTGCGGCGCTTTCCGGCGCGCCGGGGCGGCGCCGCGCGCGGCGCTCGTGGGTTTCTCGGAGCGCCTCGCGCGACGCGGTGGCTTCGCGCTGCGGCGCGGTGAGCGCCTCGGGAGGCGGCGCCGGCGGCGCCCGACGCGGCGGGCGCACCCCAGGCGGCGGCCGCCAGGGGCAGGCCTCGGAGAGGGGCAGGCCTCGGATGCAAAACCGAGGCGAGGTGAAATCTGCGCTTCACTTTACCGACGTTTTCCTCGATGCTGCCCCAGCTCCGAGCCCCCTCAAAAAAAAAATAAGGGCTGCGCCGACGCGCCGCGATGGTCCGCGTCGCGGCGCGCGCTGCGCTCTGGCTGCTGCTGGTCCGCGGCGGGTCGTGCATCGAGTTCCCGGAGTCGTGGCAGCGCGAGCACTGCGTCGGCGCGCCGCTGCGCGGCGCCGGCGGCGGCACGGTCGTGGCGCTGGCGACGGACAGCACGAACCAGCTGCCCGTCATGGGCGTCATCAACTCGACGCTGGCGAACGCGCGGCGGCCCGACGCCGTCCGCTTCGTCGTCGTGACGCGCCACGTCCACGCGCTCAAGGAGCTGCTCGACGCGTTCCTGCCGGCGAGCCGCGTGAGCATCTGCGGCGGCATGGCCGAGGCGCTGCTGCAGCGGCCGGCGCTGCGGGACCTCATGCGCCTGGGCAACAGCTCGCGCGTGAAGCGCAAGGAGCTGCTGTCGCCCTTCAACTTCGCCGCCTTCTACCTGCCCCACGCGCTCGACCACGCGGAGAAAATCCTCTACCTGGACACGGACGTCGTCGTCCGCGGGGACGTGGGCGAGCTCGCGGCCATCGACATGGAGGGCTTCGCGGCGGCGGCCGTCGAGGACTGCAGCCAGCAGGTCGCCAAGTACGTGAACCTCGAGCTGCTCGCGGACGTGGACGCGTGGGGGCTGGGGGCACGCGTGCGCGAACACGGCGGCGCGTGCGTCTTCAACCGGGGCGTCGTCCTCTTCGACCCGGCGCGCTGGCGCAACCTGAGATTGACGGAGACCATCGAGGAGCTCGTCGCCGCCTTCACGAAGAGCTCCGCGCGGCTCTGGCGCGGCGGCATCTCGCAGCCGCCGTTCCTATTAGCCCTCGCGGGCCGCTACCTCAAGCTCGACATCTCCTGGAACGTGCGGGGGCTGGGGCGCATGGACATCGGGCGCGGCGAGTGGCTCCTCCTGGCCGAGGACGCGCGGAGCCGCTACGGTCTAGAGACGTCCACGTTCGACCGCCACGTGGCGCCGTCGGGGCCCTTCAAGCGGACGTTCAACCCCTTCTTCCAGCCGCTCGCCGCGCGCGCGAAGATCCTGCACTTCAACGGCGAGCTCAAGCCCTGGTCCATGGACCCGAAGGACGTGCTCCACTGGCAGCTGCTGGGCATGCGCGTCGAAGTCGATTTGGACGGCGTCGCGCGGTTCTCGGGCACGTGCAAGCTGAGGACGTGCGCGACGGCCGTGAACGTGACGACGGGCCGGCGCCTCCGGTCCGCCTGCGAGCAGTGGTCGTCGACGGCGACGCTGGCCAAGAGCTCGAAGCGCTGGGACCAGCAGCACTTCTCCCTCGACGGCGAGCGGTGGAGCTCGAAGAGTTTGGGGTCCGTCGGCGAGTACTACGCGTCCGGGTGCATCGCGCGGCCGCCGCTCTGCACGTGCCTCAGCGACCTCAGCGACGACTGCGTCACGTCCTGCGCGGGCCACTGGCACGCCTACGTCAACGCCGACGTCCTCGCGCACCACGCGCGCATGGACGCGCGGCCGCCGCCGGCCGCGCCCGAGCCGACGCCGCCGCCGCCGCCCGAGCCCGCGCCGGCGCGCGCGCCGCGGAAGCGGAAGCGGGGGTGGTTCGGCTAACATCGAGCCGCGCGAGACCCGTCGACCCCTCCGACGGAGCCATGCTATTACAGCTCGCCCTCGACGCCGAGGCGCCAGTGGCGCATGTTGTCGACGACGAGCGCGCGCGCGTTGTCGCCCTCGACGTTGCGGTGCTCCGTCTCCGCGTGCTTGGAGCCGTTGTCGCGGAGGTACTTGAGCGCGCGGAGCGCCTGGGCGCGCGCGGCCTTGATCATGGGCGTCTCGGCGTAGGCGCAGCGCGCCTCGAGGTCGCAGCCGACCTTGTGGAGGAACGTGAGCGCCGCGGGGCTGTCGAAGAGCGCCGCGCAGTGGGCCTGGGCAGGAAAAGAGAGATTCAACGCCGCTTCAACGTGAGTGTTCCGCGCGCGCGCGTTCCGGAAAAAGCATCCACGCTTCGAGACCGTTCCAAGAGATGATCGGTCGTCCAAAAGTCAGCCAAAACGAGTGGAAAATGGCCGAGATATGAGCCTTTGAAGTTGGGAATTTCGCTCTCTTTTCCCGCCCCTGCGTGCGCGGGCGTGTTGCCGTTGTTCATGCGGCCCTCGAGCACGTCCGTGTTGCCCGTGGACGCGAGGGACTCGCCGTCGGGGCTCGGCTGGCACTTGTGGATCATCATGAGCACCTCGACGTTGTCCGCCTGGGCCGCGTAGTGCGCGGGCGTCGCGCCCGTGTTGTCGCGCTCGTTGACGGACGCGCCGTTCTCGTAGAGCGTCAGGAAGATTTGCGAGTGGCCGCCGACGGTGGCCGCGTGGGCCGCCGTCCAGCCCTTGTTGTTGCGCACGGACGTGTCCGCGCCGTGCTCGAGGAGCACGTCGACGAAGCCGCTGTAACCGCGCTCGCACGCGAGCACGAGGCACGTGTTGCCCCAGCGGTCCTTGGCGTCGATGTCCTCCGTGAGCAAAAAGTGCATCAAGCCGCTCAGGTTGTTCGTCTCGGCGCACTTGTGCATGGACGTGAACTGCGTCGCGAAGATCATGGCGCCCTTCTCGTACTGCTTGCGCTCCAGGTCCTCGACGCGGTCCTGGATGGTCCGCGGCTTCTTCGGGTCGTAGTTGCCGATGCCCTTCTTGAGGCGCGTCCGCTCCTTCTGCTCCTTGAGCAGGTTGTTCATGGTCGGCAGGCAGCCCTAGATCACGGGACGTCCATGCCCGATCGGCCGATGCGCTGTGAGCCAATTGCTGTTTGCGACATTCGGGGTGTTGTCGCTCGGGTGCTGCTCGTGAAAGCGCGTGCCCGGGAGACGGCCGCGCGGTCGCGGCTGACGGAGAAGTAAGCGCGTCCCACGGCGCGGGAGTCGACGCGGGCCGAGTTCCCCCGGCCTCCTCGTCGGAAGCCCCTGCGCCCGGCCGCGGTCTTGGAAGTTGAAAGCAGCTGAGATCACGAGTATACAAGAGAATTCGTGGGAGAGACACGAAGGCACAGGTGGGCAGGCTTGGTGGGGGCGCGGCGGTGTGTTCGTTCGTCGCGGTCGCGCCTTCCGGTTTCGCCCCGCGGCCGCGCTCGCGCGCGGCCGAGCGCGCGTTCAGGTCTCGCCGGTGATGCCGGCGTCGTGCTTGGCGAGGCCGGGTGCGTAGGGGGGCGTCGGGGACTGGGGGAGGGGCGGCGGCGCGAGGTCCGTTTGCGCGGCGTCGCCGGGCGCGACCTCGGCGGCGGCGCCGTCGATCGCGTGCTTCTTGCCGAAGATGTTGAAGTGGCTGCGGGAGCCGAGGTCGAAGTCGTCGCCGCCGTCGAGGTCGCGGGGCTCCTCGAGGGAGTTGAGGTCGCGGCTCAGCGGCGGCGGCGGCGGCGCGGCGGTCTGGAGGTCGCGGTCGCGCTTGAACTCGGAGAACCCGGCCGGGAAGCGGTCGCTGCCCGTGAGCTGGCTCAGGAGGCTCGGCGCGATGGCGCCCGAGTCGGACGCCTCGAGGAAGGACAACAGCAGGCCCGACTCGTAGGCGTCGTGCATGGCCGTCTCGTTGCCCATGAGCGCGTCCGTCGGCACGACGGGTCCGCCGCCGATGGGGAAGGGCCGCGCGGTCTCGTAACCGGTAAAGGCCTCGAGGTGGCGGCTCGGCCGGTGCGGCGGCAGCTCGTCGGGCACGTAGGCGCGGCTCCGCGAGCCGCCGCCGAGGAACGCGGCCTTGGGCTCGCCGTCGCGCGTCGCCGCGCCGAAGCGGTCGCCGCCGTCGTAGCGCGCGCGCTTCGCGTCGGGCAGGCCGTACTGGTGGCTCGGCGCGCCGTAGGTGCTCGACGGCTGCGACGGCGCGCCCTGGTTGCCGCCGGCGCTGACGCTCACGGTGGGCTTGCGGCGGATGCGGAGGAGAGAGTCGGGCGGCGCGCCGATGAGGTCGTCGTGCATGTACATGCAGGGCGCGAGCTTGCCCTTGCCCTCGACCTTGCGGAACCCGAAGTTGTTCAGCTGCCGCTGGAACGAGCTGAAGTTCGAGTGCCTGTTTTTTGGGGGGGGGTTCCGAGTCGTTCGCGCGCCGTTCGAAGGGACGCGGCGCGCGCGCCGGAAGTAGGCGCTCATCTTGCGCTCGAGCGCCAGGGGGTCGTGGATGAACAGCTTGCCCGCGTTGAAGTTGATGAGGTCCGGGTCCTCCTCCTGGACCTGGGGCGCGCGGATGACGGGCGGCCGCGCGGCGGTATTCCCCCGGGGCCGGCGGAGGGGATCCGCGTCGCGCGCGGCCCGGGGTCCTCGACGGGGCGCGCGCGCGCGGCGGCCGCGTCCCCCGCGGGCCGGGCGGGCGTGCGGACCGCGGCGGCGCTGCCCGGCCCGCCGCTTTTGAAGCGCGCGGCGGTTTCCGAGGCGCCTCGGCGCGCGTCGAGATCCGGCGAATCTAACCCCCCCCCACGTCGCAATGCAGAAGCGGCGCCGGCGCGCGCCATGGTCAGCAGCTTGACGAGGAAGTCCGGCGGGTTCGTCGCGCGCCGCGCCGAGGGATCCATGGCGCGGCCGAGCCCTCCGCCGACGCGGCCGAGCGCGCGATCGGCGATTGTGCTTTTTCGGGTCGCCCTGGCAAGCGCGATGCGGTGGTACGGTTTCGGCGCGTCTCAGGCGGTCCGGCGCGACGGCGGCGGGGTGCGCGGGTCGTTTTCCAGGCGGTGAACGCTGCTGTGTCCGGCCTCTTAGGTGTCGGGCCTGCTGCTGATTTTGGCACCTCGATGAGGTGGTTCGCAAAAGGGGGGCAACTTTGGCCTGACTGAGCGTGAAGGATCCGCGCAAAATCGACTTCGGAAGAAGTCGGAAGAATCCGCAGCCCAAACCGAATTTACCCGCCCTCCGGCGGCCGGTAGATGTTCCACCCCGTCCACGCGACGCCCGCCGCCGTGCGCACGTCGCGGAAGCAGCTCGCCCAGGCCGCCGTGACGTCGGCGCAAAAGTCCGCGGGCGATCGCCCGAGGCCGGCGCGCGTGTAGTTCGCCACGACTCCCTGCCGGTCCAGCAGGAAGCGCCGGAAGACCCCCCGGTCGCGCACGGCGCGCTCGTAGGCCGCCCAGGCCTTGGCCGGGACGACGCCGTTCCAGTCGTTCTCCGCCAGACCGCCGCGGTCGCCCAGGTACGGCTTCGCGTCGAAGGGGAAGAACAGCGTCTCGAAGTGGGCGTCGACGAAGGCCGCCGCGTCGCGGCCCGCCACGGGCGGCGCCGCGGGGCACGCGCCGAGCTTGTGCGACGCCATGGCCATGACCGGGCGGTGCGCGTTCGGTACGATTTGGAAGTCGTAGCGGTCGCGCCAGGCCGGGTGGCCCAGGGCGAAGCCCATCAAGTTCGAGTACTCGCTCGGCCGCCAGCCCCGGGCCAGCAGCAGGCGGAACGCGGCCCAGAACCGCGCGACGTCGCCGACGTCGCGCTCGCCTAAAACGGTCTCGACGACGTGCGCGCGGAACGCCGCGAGGTGGCCCCGGTGGAAGACCACGGGGAAGTCGACCTACGATACGTGCCTCGAGTTCCCGGCGCGTTTCGACGACTCGCGCACCATGAAGTTGACGTCCGAGTCGACGCCTATCGCGCCGTTCGACGCCTCGTGCTTCGTCGGCTTCCCCGGCCGCCGCTCGAAGCGCACGCCGCGCACGACGAGCCGGCCGTCGCAGGCGGCGAGGTCGCCGCGCGGGAGCACGACGTCCTGGAGGCAGCTGTCGTCGTCGAGGACCGCGAGGTACTCGGCGTCCGATAGCAGATCCAGCACGTACTTCCAGGCCTGCATCTGCACGTCGTCGAGCGCCGTGAAGTTCGCGTTGACGGCGGCCGCCGCGCCGGCGACCTTGTGCGGCGCGCGCGTCGCCTGGGAGACGTCGTAGGACGCGACCGCGACCGCGGGCTCGGCGCACGCGGCGCCGAGGCAACCCACCAGCCGGCCGACGACGGCGGCCGTCTTCGCGTCGTCCTCGGCGTAGACGACGAGGCGCCCGAGCCGCGCGGGCCAGTAGCGCAGCCAGCTGTTGTAGAAGTCGCGGGCGAAGAGGCTGTAGCCGCCCCTGCCGTCGTCCATGGACCGGAAGGACGTGAAGACGTCGAGGCGCCCGTCGAGCGGCCGGTCCCAGCACCGCAGGTACTCGGCGGCGAGCCGCTCGTTGCTCCAGCCGTTCGCGATGGCGAGCCACGCGAGCAGCCAGGGGCTGCGTCGCGGCCGAGCCATCGTGATCAGTGTGCAAGGAGGAGTTCAACGACGAGTGCTTGGCGAAGGTGCAGTGGAGAGCATGGACGCCTCCGCCGCTTACACGGAGCGATTGGTGAAGCTGCCGATGGAGAGCTCGGTTTCGCAAAGCGGCGCTACTGCCTCCTCCTCGAGGTCCGCGCGCCGGCGCAAGGCGCCCTCGCAGCAGCTCAACGCCGAGTCCCAGGCCGCCGCCGTCGCGGAGACGGACGCCGCGCTGCTGCAGCACCTCGTGGTGCGCCTGGGCCTCGAGCCGCCGACCTTCCTCGCCCGCGGCCAGCGCGGCGTCGTCTTCGTCGCGTCCTACGCCGGCGGCGCGTCGCGCGACGTCGCCGTCAAGCTCGCGCGCACGAAGAAGCGGCCGCGCGACGGCGCGGCGCCCGACGAGTCGCGCGCCGCGGAGCGGGAGGCCGCGTGGCTAAAACGGTGCAACGGCTTCGGCGTCGGCCCGGCGCTCCTCGCCGTCGAGGGGTCCGCCGTGGCCATGGCCTTCGCCGAGGGCGACACCATCGGCGGCGCGCTGGAGAAGGCGACGGCCGGCGACGGCGACGCGCTCGCGACCGCGCTCGCGGACCTCCTGGGCCAATGCCGCGCGCTGGACGAGCGCGGCATCGACAAGAAGGAGATGGGCCGCTGCGCGCGCCACGTCGTCGTGCGCGACGGGCGGTGCGTGCTTCTGGACTTCGAGCGCTGCGCCGAGTCGGCGAAGCCGCAGACAGGGCAGGAAAAGGGTGATTCAACGTCGATTCAACGTGATTGTTCCGCGCGCGCGCGTTTCGGAAATAGCACCCACGCTTCGAGAGCGCTCCGAGAGATGATCGCTCGTCCAAAAATCAGCCGAAACGAGCGGAAAACGACCGAGATAGGAGCCTTTGAAGTTGGGAATTTCGCACTCTTTTCCTGCCCAGGCCCCAGAACGTCACCGGCGTCGCGCAGTACCTCTCGCAGTCGTGGGCGTCGGCGCAGCTCGCGCGCGCGGGCATCGCCGTCGACGTCGCCGGCGTCCGCGCGGCTTCGAAGGCGTACAAGGACGCGCGCTCCGAGGAGGCGTTCCTCGCGCTGGAGCGGGCGCTCGGGCTGCGGCGCGGCGGCGGGGACGAGGACCCGCCGCGGGAGCGGACGGGGTCGTAACAGTTTTTTGCAGTCTTTTACAGGAAGCTCAGCCGTACGAACTGGGGGATGTAGGACGCCTCCGCGCCCGGCGCGAAGACGTCCGCGAGCGTCCGCCCGTTGCAGACGTAGGTGAAGACGAGGTCCGGCGGCGGCGAGGACGGGTCCCGGGGCAGGCTCGCGACGTCGTGCTGCATCGTCGCGTAGCAGAAAAATTTCGTCGTGTCGTTCTGCGGCGGCGGGATGTCGTAGACCTTGCGCGGGTCCGTCCAGGGCCCCTCGGGCGCGGGCGCCGCGCGGAGCTCCACGCGCGTGGAACCGAAGGGGATCGTCAGCGCGACGTAGGAGCCCGTTTTGTCGCACCACTGGGGCTGCATCTCGGCAACCTGGGGGCTCCAGAGCGTCGCGAGCGCCTCCGGCAGGTCGTCGCCCCAGCCGCGCCGCCACGCGCCCGTCCAGTACTCCTGCGCTGAAAAATTCCTCTCCCGCAAGTCCGCCCAGGGGATTCTGCTCAGCACTTCCCGGCCGCCGGTAGCTGCCGTGCGCACATTGCCGTAGAGGTAGAGCCAGGGCCCGACGAGGAGCGCGCCCCGCGCGAAGTCGACGAAGCCGCCCGTACTCAGGTTGCCCGTGTGTGGGAGCGAAAAGTAGTCCAGTTCCCAGCTCGCCGGGTCGTCGGGCCGGTCCGCCGCCCCGTCGATCGTAAAGATGAAGGACTCGTTCGTCCGGAAGCCCATCGGCCCGCCCTCGCCGGTGTACAAGACCCGGTTGCCGAGCACCAGCACGCGGCCGTCGACGAGTCGCGGCGCCGTCACCGCCGCCCAGAACGCCTCCTTCGAGCTCTCCCAGGACGGCCGGAAGAAGGACGCGTTGCCCGGGCCCCAGCGCCACGTCATCGCGTCGCGGGGCGCCGCGCCGAGGTCCCAGACGCCCACGGAGCTGTGCGGCATCGCGGCGCCCTCGCTCACCCGTCGCTTCCCGTCCCAGTGGCCGATGAGCGTGTCCCCGAAGACCCACAGCGTGCGCGTCGGCGTCAGCGCGCAGGACGCACCGACGTCGCCGCCGGTCCAGGCGCGCGACGTTGTGTTGCGGGTCCAGGGCTCAAAGGCCGCCTGGAGGAAGCCGTCGGGCGCAGCGGCGATGGCGCCGTCGAAGCCGGCGGCGCTTTGGAGAAGTAGCAGGAGTGTGGAGATCCAGTGAAGCAGCACGACTTTGGAGCTCCAGCTCATTCTTCGAAAGCGCGTCGTCTCATGCTTCGGGCAGCCCCATGCTCTGCGACGGCAACCGGGGGCTAGGCTAGGAGAGATTACAGCTAGAGCGTCGTCTCATTCTTCGGGCAGCCCCGCGATTGCGACGGCAACATGGGGAAAAGCGACCCTCGCGAACTTCGCGCTGTCGCTCGACGCCGTCTTCGAGCCCGTCGACGAGGCGACGTTCCGCGCGCTCCGACGCGACTACGGCGGCTGGAGCGAGACCGCGAGCGCCGTGAAATGGCGGCGGGGCGAGCCCTTCACGCTCCTCGACCTGCTGCCGCCGCTCTTCCAGGCGACGAGCGGCCGCCACTTCCGCACGGGCGCGCGGCGATTTCGCGGCGGGGAGGCGACGCGCGGCTTCAACTGCTGGGGCCTCGCGTGGGCCGCTGTGCCGAATTCAAATCTTCAACTCGACTTCAATGTGAGCGTACGCGACAGTTTCGACGAAATCTCTTCGGCCGTGCTTCGAGAACTCGACCAGAGCAATCGATTCGTCCAAAAATCAGCCGAATCGACTTCGATTTGACCGAGCTATAGAATTCTCAAGTTTGGTCAGGACCACCCAAAACCAGTGGTTGAATTCGGCACAGGTGGGCCGCGCTCGAGGCCGCGGCGGCGCCGCGGGAGACGCTGACCGTCTCCTGCGGCGCGGGCGAGGCGGCGTGGTGCGCGCTGCGCGAGGCGACGGCCGAGGTGCAGTCGACGTCGGCGAACGGCCGCGGCTTGCTGGAGGACGAAGTCACGAGGAACGCGGATCTCGCGCCCGGCGACGTGCTGCTGGTCTGGCACGACAACGGCGGCGGCCAGGGCCTGTTTCTGGACCACGTGGCCATCTACGTCGACGACGATCTGTACTTCGAGAAGGCCGGCGCGGGCGACGCGACGCCGTTCCGCGTGACCGATTGGGCGAATCTCGCGGCGTCGTGGCCTCCCGCCGTCTTCGAGTGGGACTGGCGGCGGCGCACGGCCGACGTCGTGCCGTCGGCGGCGGAGGTCTTCGGGCTGCGGTTCCACGCGCCCCGGTTCCCCGAGCTCGCGGCGTTCGGGGCGTCCCTCGCGGACGCGCTGTCGTTCTCGCCCGCGCTCGATTCGGGCGACGTCGTCGGCCGCGCCTACAGCTGGATCAAGGAGCTCGAGGCGCCCCTGGGGCGCGACGCGCGCGGGCGCGCCGTGCTGCCGCCGGAGGACTTCGACGACGCGGCCTACCGCGTCGAGACGGGCGACGCGTGGCGGCGGGAAGAGGCGAAGCCCGCGCCGTTAGGCCGCGTGCCCGCGGCGACGTGCGTCGCCGGCGGCGCTTTATACGTCTTCGGGGGCGAGACGGACGACGCGGCGGGCGTCGTCCCGAACCGCTACCTCAACGACGTCTGGCGGCTGGACCTCGCGACGGGCGCCTGGGAGGAGCTGTCGCCGGACGGCGCACCGGGCGCGCCGGCGCCGCGCGTCTGCTCGTCGGCGGTGTGCCGCGAGGGGAAGCTCGTGCTCTACGGGGGCATCGCGCGCGGGGCTGATGATGTGTTCGACCATTGCCAAATGGGGGATTTGTGGACCTTCGACGTCGAGGCGAAGGTTTGGTCTCCTCGGAACGCGTCCGGCGCCGCGCCCGGGCCCCTCGCGGGCCACACGGCGACGCTGCTCGGCGACGCCATGCTGATCTTCGGCGGGTCCCGCGAGGACTCGACGCTCTCGGACGAGCTTCGGACGCTGGATCTGGCGACGGGAAAATGGGCCGCGGCGGCGCCGGCGGGCCCGCGGCCGGCGCCGCGCGATTTCCACGTCGCCGCGGAGCGGGGCGGCAAGCTCCTGGTCTGGGGCGGCGTCGACGACGGGTCCGTCTGGACCTACGACGGGTTGGCGTGGGCGTCGGAGGCGACGGAGCTGCCCTACCTGAGCGGCCGCGCGGGGGCGGTGTTGCCCGATGGGACGCTATTGTCCGTCGGCGGCTTCAAGGTCGTCGGCGGCGTCGCGGCCTACGACGCGGACGTCATGGTCTGTTCCGGCGGCGGCTGGGCCGACGCGACGCCCGCGTCCGCGGGGCCGAAAGGTCGCTGCTTCGCGACGCTCGCGCCCGTCGGCGACGCCGTCTTCGTCTGGGCGGGCTACCGCCGCGTCGACGGCGAGGCCGACGAGCGCCTCGGCGACCTCTGGCGGCTGGACCTCGCCGCGCCGGAGGGGCACGAGGACGCGGGGGAACTGTATTAAGAGGGCGGTGTCGTTACCTCGGCGCGCCGCGCTTGTAATCGCCGGTTTCTGCGTTTTGGACCCCCGGCGGGGCACGCGATGCGCTGGCCGATTTTATGACTCGAATTCTCGAGCAGGCATCAACCAGCGCCACGACCATCGTCGCGAAGCAAAGCACCAAGCACCCACCGCCACCGTCGCAACCATGCTCAAGTCCATCGCCCTCACGTCGCTCTTCGCCACCGGCGGCGCCTTCGTCGCGCCCGCGGCCACGACGTCCTCGTCGGCCCTCCGCGCCGACGTCTTCGGCATCGAGCAGGAGGAGGCCCTGCTCAACGCCAAGCGCGAGGGCCAGGACAGCTGGGGCGCGGCCGTCGACGTCAAGGAGAACGACGTCTTCGGGTTCGTCGACGAGGAGAAGACGCGCATCACGCAGCTCGGCAAGTCGCAGACCTTCGCGTCCGCGGACCCCTTCGGCTACGACTCCGAGCCGGCGCAGTCGCTGCCCGTGTCCTACTCGACCCAGGAGCTCCGCGCGGCGTCCGTGGCCCTGCCCTTCGCCGAGCGGCCCGCGGTGCTCGACGAGCTCGCGCTGCCCGGCGACTTCGGCTTCGACCCGCTGGGCCTCGCGGGCGACTCCGCGGAGAGTCTGCTGACGATGCGCGACGCGGAGATCCGCCACGCGCGCCTCGCCATGCTCGCGGCCGTCGGCTGGCCCCTGTCGGAGCTCGTCCACCCGACGCTCGCGTCGAGCCTCAACGAGCCGTCGCTCGTCTTCAAGCTCGGCGGCGACGTCCCGTCCGTTCTTAACGGCGGCCTCGGCGACGTGCCGGTGGTCTTCTGGATCTCGGCCGTCGCCGTCGCCGTCGCCGCCGAGCTCGCGGGCATCCAGGCCAAGGAGAGCGGCAAGATGTCCGGCGACCTCGGCTTCCGCTTCGGCGCCGACGCCGCGGCGAACGTCCTCGGCTCGCCGGCGAAGGTCGCCGAGGCGGAGATCGTCAACGGCCGCGTCGCCATGCTCGCCGTGACGGCCTACGTCGTCCAGGAGTTCGCCGCGCGGCTCTCGGGCATCCCCGTGCCCGTCGTCTCCTCGTCCTACGGCCTCTTCCACCCCTTCTTCTAGAACGCGGCCCCTCGAGGGGACCCGCGTCGATAAGAACGTGCCTGTGCAGTCACAGTGGGGCGATCCGCCAAACACCCACCTTTTTCACACTGGGCCACACGAGCATCCCTCTTTTTTACCCCCCCGTGTCGCACAGCTCCATGACGCGGAGGCGCGACGCGCGCCTCGTGTCGTCGCCGCCCGGCTCGTCGTCGATGAGGTGGTACGAGTCGCCGATGTAGTCGTGGCCGCCGCCGGCGAAGCCGTCGTCGTGCGCGTAGGACGCGGTCCGGAGCCGGTTCTCGAGGTCGCGCCGGTTCCGGTAGAGCGCGACGTCGTCCGCGGTCTGGAGCGCCGCCGGGACGACGAGCAGCCCCACGAAGAGCCCCAGGGAGATGATCATGAGCGACATGGCGAAGAACAGGCGGATGACGTACGACTGCGAGAACGCCATGGGCAGGACCGCCAGGAGCGTCGACCCGCCGGCCTTGAGGATCGGCGGCAGCATGCGCGCGAGCGCCGATGACGCGCTCTCGGCGTGGAAGTAGGCGTGGGTCACGTGGGCGCTGAAGTCGACCGCGAGGCCGATGGCCAGCGTCAGGATGACCGCCGTGATCATGTTGCAGTACTCGCCGATCCAGTAGAGCGCGCCGATGAGCACGACGTCGACGAAGGCCATGACCCCGAGCATGAGCGCCGCCGCGCTCGCGCGGCCCAATAGCAGCAAGCACGTGAGGAACACGGTCAAAGCGACGTAGCCCACGGATTTCACGGTCTGGGGCCACGTGAGCGCCAGCGCTTCTAAAACAGCGCTCCGCTGGACAAATAACCCCAGCTCCTCGGCGCCGTGGGCGTCGAGCAGCGCCTGCGCCTCGTCGAGCCGCCGCATCTGCGTCGACTTCTCGTTGACCTTCTTCCAGGACATGGGGATCTTCGACGCGCAGACGGAGTCCGTGCCGTTCGCGCCGTCGCGGAAGCTCAGGATCGTGCAGGCCGCCGTCCGCGCGCCGCCGGGCATGAGCACGCCGCCGCCCCCGTTCTCGTAGGCCACGAGTTCCCGGCCGTAGTGGCCCGCGTGGTGCGCCCGGAAGTCGCGGATCGCCGCGTCGAAGCCCGCCTCGTCGGACCACGACGCGTTGAAGGCCGTTCGGTACGCGTCGAACTCGGCGACCCAGCTCTTCGTCAGGCCGTTGAACTTCAGCGCGTCGAGCTTGCGCAGCGCGGCGACGTAGGACTCGTAGTGGTCGTAGAGCGCCGAGGGCGAGGCGTGGCGGGAGTAGGCGTCGACGAACCAGACGTTCGACGTCAGAAAGTACTGCTCCTCGACGGCGTAGGCGCGGCGCGCCGACGAGTCGTCCGGCGCCATCCACTGCGTCTCGTACTCCATCTCGAGCTTCGACGCGCCCGCGACGCCCAGGGCGAGGAGGACGACCACGAGACCCGCCACCACGAGCCGGCACTCGCGCCGCGTCACGAATTGCGCGACCGCCGCGCACGGCCCCTTCGCCGCCCCCCGCGCCCGGAGCGGCGCGGCAGCGCCGAAACGCCGCTTCCGCGCGATGCCCCGCCGCACGTCCAACGCCAGCAGCGCGGCGAAGAAGGTCACCTGCAACAAAAAGTCGCAGGCGACGCAGAGGGCCGCGACGCCTGTGTGCGAAACAACCAGTGGAACGCCCCGTCCAGCAAAAACTTCAAACCTCTCTAGCTCGGTCAAATCGAAGTCGTTTCGGCTGATTTTTGGACTGATCGTTTTCTCTCGGTGAGTTCTTTTTCAAACGATCAAAAGAGTATGTCGAAACCGTGCGAATAAATGAATATTGAAGTCGTGTTGAATATTTTTGTTTCCTGCCCAGCGCGACGCCGCAGAACGACGTCACGGCCGGGATGTTCGACGTCGCCGCGCAGGCCGCGAAGGCCGCGGCGTCCGTGCACGACGTCAGCAGAATCGACGCCCCCGCCGTGCGCAGGCCCTCGCCGAGCTTGTTCGCCGCGGCCTCCTCGACGCTCAGGTCGTCGTCGTCGTCGTCGACCGCGTCGACCGCGTCGACGACGACGAAGGCGTCGTCGACGCCGAGGCCGAGCGTCATGAAGATGGCCGCGGCCATCAGGTTCTGGAAGTAGCCCCCGAAGGCCATCCAGAGGCCGAACGCGGCCGCGAGCGCCAGGAGCACGGACGCGAGCGCGGCGCCGCCGAGGAGCGCGCGCGGTCCGACGGCGTCGCCGCGCGTCCTCGCGTCGACGCCGAAGCAGACCGACGCGAACGCGACGAGGAGCGCCAGCGACGCGAGCACCAACGTCAGGTCGTGCTTGAGGGCGTCCAGCACGGCGTCGCGGTACGAGGTGTGGGAGTGGACGAAGACGTCGAGGACCCCCCGCGCGGGGCTCGCCGCCTCCACGGCGGCGTCGCCGGCGCGGCTCACGCTGTCCGGGCAGTCGCCGACGAGCTTGGCCATGAACTGGATCGCCGACGCGGACACCATCGCGCCGTCGACGATCTCGAAATCGCCGAGCACGCGCGTCAGCGGCGTCTCCTGGGGTTTCACCTTCCCGTCGTTCACGGACGTGATGCCGTACCAGTCGACGGCGCGCGGCCGCGCGAGCGTCCCGCGCCAGTCGTCGTCGGCCTCGAAGGCGTCGCGCGAGTAGTTCCAGTAGCCGAGCGGCCCGAGCCAGACCTGGGCAGGAAAAGGGTGCGAAATTCCCAACTTCAAAGGCTCCTATCTCGGCCGTTTTCCACTCGTTTCGGCTAATTTTTGGACGAGCGATCATCTCTCGGAGCGCTCTCGACGCGTGAATGCTTTTTTCCGGAACGCGCGCGCGCGGAACACTCATGTTGAAGCGAACTTGAATCACTCTTTTCCTGCCCCGAGCCAGACCTTGTTGCCGTAGTGGTTCGTGACGCCGCAGTCGTAGAGCGTCCGCCCGTGGCCGTCCTCGGCCGCCACGATCTTCTCGTGGACGCCGAAGAGGGCGCGCAGGGCCTCGCGGTCCCGGAGCACGTTCTTGTGCGCCGCGCCCGTGCCGAAGACGTAGAACGTCGACGACTTCTCCGTCTTGGCGCGTACGAACGTGCGGCCGATCCAGCCGTTGCGCTCGATGGACGGGGCGTCCTCGGGCAGGTAGAGCGTGTCGTCGTTGGAGTTGATCGTGAAGCGGCTCAGGCCGACGCTACACAGCAAGACGGCGCACACGGAGACGGCGAGCACCTTCTTCGGCCGGCGCGCGCAGAGGGCGCCGAGCGCCGCGAAGAAGTCCGCGATCTTCCCGTCGACGAAGCGCGTCGCGGCCTCGAGGGACCAGCGCGGCGCCTCGGCGCCGTCGTCGCCCAATTCCATGGATGGCACCCACATTTGCTGGAACGACGCCGAAGGTGGATGCGGGCGGGCTGCCCTTCCAGGAGGTCCTGGCCGGCCGAGGGATCCAGAGATTCGAAACTTCAAAAACGCATTTGAGTGAAGAAGCTCGCGGAATACACGATGGCTGCCCCGCCGAGAATCCTCCTCGCTCTCGCCGCCTACGCGACGGCGGCACACTTCGAGTTCACGAACCCGAAGATCAGCCAGTGCGCCATCGACGGCAAGCGCAGCGGCGTGCCCTGGCTCACGAAGAACGACGCCCACTACATCTGCACCGACGCCAACTGGGACGCCCTCTACGACCCGGCGTCGAGCATCGCCTACGCGTCCATGAACCCGGGCGACGGGCCCATCGAACTGAAGTGCCCAGTGTTTTTTCGCGTGAATTTCGCCTGAAGATGTGAAGAAATCCGACCCCGTCGCACTTGGTAGGCGCGAGGGCGCCTGCGGCGCCGGCGGCGACGGCTTCTGCGACTGCTGCCCGGACTGCCTCGACTGCGTCCACCCGAAGAACGAGAGCGCGTCGCTCGTCGCGAACCGCTTCTGCGACTGCCGGAGGGGTCTGGAGGTGTCGCCGGACTACGCGCCCTGCTGGAACAGCTGCCTCGACTGCCTCGGCGACGACGGCCAGGTCCAGCGTCGAGCGACAGGAGTGTTTTTTCGCGTGAATTTCGCCTGAAGATGTGAAGAAATCCGACCCCGTCGCACTTGGTAGGCCAGGTCGCCTACATGCCCGGGGACGTCGCCGCGGCGTGCCTCGGGTCGTCCGCCTGCTACCCCTGGGCCAAGCCCGACGCGCCGACGGCGGGCTACAACTCGTGGTACTCGTGCGCGTCCCCCGACGCGGCCTCGTGCCAGCCGTCCTACGAGCAGCAGGCGAGCGCGCAGATCCCGCCCATGTCGAAGATGAAGATGGCGGCGCTCTGCGGCTAGGACCTTGTTAAGCGCGCTTCGCGAAGCGGTCCGCGGCCTCGCGGTGGAGCTTCATGGCGTACTTCTGCCGCTCGAAGGACAGCCCGAAGACGACGGTTCTTTTTAAGCGCGCTTCGCGAAGCGGTCCGCGGCCTCGCGGTGGAGCTTCATGGCGTACTTCTGCCGCTCGAAGGACAGCCCGAAGACGACGGTGCCGAAGACGAGGCGCGCCGCGAGGGGCGCCGCCGGCAGCGACAGGTAGTAGACGGCCATGCCGCAGGCGACGACGTGGCTCGCCGTCATCGTGAAGACGTGGACTTTGTCCATGAGCTGTGACTCGGCGAAGATGAGGTGCAGCGTCTGCGACGCTCCGCCGAACTCCATGGCCGAGCCCCCGACGAGGAAGATGGCGCAGAGATCCGTGTAGAAGAAGTTGAAGACCGTCGCCCAGCAGACGACGTGGTGCGCCCAGTACATGGCGTCCATGCCGCCGCCGACGGCGTAGAGCGCGCAGTCCTTGAAGAGGTAGCCCCACATGAGGAGCAGGTAGGCGCGCTCCCAGGTGCCGTCCATGGCGCTCCACGGCGCCGCGACCCAGTCGACGGCGCCGCCGTCGAAGCTCCCGACGGCGAGGGAGACGACGAGCGGGAAGCCGACCAACTGGATCGGCAGGCAGCTCAGCCAGTTGTAGAGCGGCGACCCGTGGAACTCGCGCCGCGGGAGGAAAGCGTGGCAAATGAAGGTGTAGACGCAGGCGACGGCGCTCGCGGCGCCGAGCTGCGCGAGCACCTCCGGCGTCTCGAGGCCCGCGGCGGGCGTCATGCTCCGAGCTCAAGGTGGGAATCTTCATCATGATCTCAAGTTGAACTTCAAGCCACTCGATCGAGCCTGCTCTGGGCTGCTCTCCGTGACGATGGCTCGCGCGAGGTCGGCGTTGCTGCTCGCGTGCGTCGCGTGCGCGACGGTCGCCACCGTCGCGGCGGACGGCGAGGACGAAGGCTTGGGCAGCGCCATCGCAAAAATCGACAAGCTCCACCTGGGCTTCGGCGGCGCCTGCGGCTACGCCGGCGGCAAGCTCGTCAAGGGCGTCGCTCTCAGCATATTCAAAACGGGGCTGGCGCTCTACGTCGCGGCCCACCTGCCCGCGCTGCTCACGCACCTCGGCCAGAAGAAGCTCGCCAGCGTCGTCGCCGAGAAGGAACGAAAGCTCATCGCCGCGGAGCGCGAGCTCGAGGGCCGTTTGCAGCAGCTCTTCCGCGACTACGTGGAGCCCCACCTCGGCGCGCGCGGGCGCCGGGAGGCCGCGGGCGTCGCGCGGGACGTCAAGCCCTGGGTCGAGAAGCACACGGCCCTCAGCGGGGGCTTCGCCGCGGGCTTCGTCGCCGCGATCTACACCTAGGCGCGCGAGCGCGCGCCTGCCGCTTCGCCGCCGCCGGAGGCCCGACGCGTCCGGGTAGTGCGCCAGCGGCAGCGCGGCGTGCCAGAGGCTGCTACCGAGGTGCGCGCCGCGCTTCCGGATGACGACGAGCTCGCGGCCGTCGTGTAATGTGTGCGCGCGGCGCGCGGCCTCGGTCGTCTTCCCTCGGGCCCGAACATGTCAGGATGATGGCGTCGTCGGCGTATTCGTCGACGTAGTTGTGGCCTGCGAAGGCCATGGGCTCGAGCCCCGAGCCCAGGCCCGAGCCCGTGGTCGAGGACGACTCGGCCAGGCCGGGCATGGAGTCATCGCCCTCCTCGCGCGAGCTGTCGTTTCCCACGGAGAGCCAGTTCAACAGCCTTCGGAAAGTCAAACTTGTATCCGGCGCTAACCCACCTGGCGCGGACGGGTAGCAGTCGTCCGCGACGCCCACGCACCAATCTCACCAGCAGGCAACTTTCTAGACCATGGCCGCGACCGTCGACAGCGCGATGGTCAAGGTGACGCCGACGCAGGACGTCTCCGGCCACAAGCAGATGCGCGCCGCCCGCGCACGCCCCACGAAACCCCGCGCAACCCCCGCAGCAATGCGGCCGCCTCGCCGAAAGTCCTTTCCCTCCTAGGTCCGACGCGGCCCTGCACAAGCGCACGCGCATCATCTGCACGCTCGGCCCGTCGTCCTGGGACGTCGACATGCTCGGCGTGCTCCTCGACGAGGGCATGAACGTCGCGCGGCTCAACTTCAGCCACGGCGACCACGAGACGCACAAGCGGACCATCGGCCGCCTCAAGGAGGCCCTCGCAATTCGGCCCGGCCGCCACTGCGCCATCATGCTCGACACGAAGGGCCCCGAGATCCGCACGGGCTTCTTCGCGGCGCCCAACGACGGCGGCAAGCTCAAGTTCGCCAAGGGCGACCCGCTCATATTGACGACGGACTACGACCACAAGTCCGACGGCACGAAGCTGGGCTGCACCTACAAGAAGCTGCCCACGTCCGTCAAGCCCGGCGGCCAGATCCTCGTCGCCGACGGGTCCCTCGTCCTGGAAGTCGTCTCCACGGACGGCACCGCCGAAGTCACCTGCAAGATCATGAACGACTGCGCGATCGGCGAGCGCAAGAACATGAACCTGCCCGGCGTTTTGGTGGACCTGCCCGTGCTCCAGGACAAGGACACGAAGGATTTGGTGGAGTTCGCCTGCCCCATGGGCGTCGACTTTGTGGCCGTGTCCTTCGTGCAGTCCGCGGCGGACGTGCGCACGGTCCGCAAGACCTTGGACGGCGCGGGCGGCACGAAAATCAAGATCATCTCGAAGATCGAGAACCAGGAGGGTTTGGACAACTTCGCGTCCATCGTCGACGAGACCGACTCCGTCATGGTCGCGCGCGGCGACCTCGGCATGGAGATCCCGCCCGAGCGCGTCTTCCGCGCGCAAAAGTCCATGATCGCGACGTGCAACGGCGCGGGCAAGCCCGTCATCGTCGCGACGCAGATGTTGGAATCCATGGTGTCGAACCCGCGGCCCACGCGCGCGGAGTGCTCCGACGTCGCGAACGCCGTCCTCGACGGCGCGGACGCGGTCATGCTCTCCGGCGAGACGGCCGGCGGCTCCTTCCCCAAGGAGGCCGTGGCCATCATGGCGCGGACCTGCGTCCAGGCCGAGGGCGAGTTCGACTTCGACGCCGCCTACCAGAAGGAGCTCGCGACGATGCGCGAGTCAGGGCAGGACAAGGGTGATTCAACGTCGCTTCAACGTGAGTGTTCCGCTCGCGCGCGTTCCAGAACAAGCACCCACGCTTCGAGACCATTCCGAGAGATGATCGCTCGTCCAAAAATCAGCCGAAACGAGTGGAAAATGGCCGAGAGAGGAGCCTTTCAAGTTGGGAATTTCGCACTCTTGTCCTGCCCAGGCGCGAGTGGGCCAAGGGCCGCATCTCCCGCTCCGCGTCGCTGTCCGTCGTCGAGTCGACGGTTTCCGCTGCTACCCAAGCGTCGCGCGACGCGGCGGCCAAGGCCATCGTCGTCCTCGCGGCGTCCGGCGCGACGACCCAGCTCTTCGCCAAGTACAAGTGCGGCATCCCGCTCATCGTCGTGACCGCGCACGACTCCGTCGCGCGCTACGCGCAGGCGCTCATCCCCGGCGCCTACGTGCTCCACGTGCCGGACCTCGTCAAGTACGGCTACGCCGACGACACGGGCGACGACGAGCCGAAGATGGTCGCCGAGGGCACGAAGTTCGCCTGCTCGCTCGGCCTCGTGACGTCCGGCGACGACTTCCTCTGCGCGGTCCACTCCTACCGCGTCAACAAGCAGAAGAACATCGCCATGCGCTTCTTCCACGCGAGCTCCGTGCTCTAGGCGCGCGCACGTCGCAGCCGCCGCGAACATCCCGGCGGCTTCCCCTCCCCCCGGCCGTGATCCTAAAGAACTCTAGTCGAAGCTGTCCTGGGGCATGAGGCGGCTCCGGTCGAGCTTCGCGACGGGCCAGATGGCCGTCGCCATGGCGAGCGCGGCGACGGCGCTCAGGTAGAAGGCGCCGCCCGCGCGGAAGTCCGCGCGCGTCTCCGGGGACCCGTGGGCCGCGGACGTCTTGAGCTGGATCCAGAGGAGCTGGCCCGCGGCGAGGCCCAGCGCCACGGCGAAGCCGCCGACGAGCTGGAGCGCCGCGGCGAGCTTGCCCTGGTGCTCGGGCGCCACGCAGGCCTGGATCGCCAAAAATTGCACGACGGCCGCGAAAGGCACGCCCGCGATGACGAGCGCCGCGAGCGCGCCCTCGACGTAGTTGCACAACCCCATGATCAGCAGCGCCAAACACAGCGCCAGCGCCGCCACGTGCAGACAGAAGGGCCCGCCCAGCGCGTCCCGGGCCCACCAGACGTAGCCCGCCAAACCCACTCCGAAAGCGATGAGCGGCGTCAGCTGGAACTCCAGATAGACCGTGTCCGACATGTCGAACTTCCACAGCAAATAGTAGGGCGCCTGCGTCGCGATGGCGCCCACGGCCAGGCAGGCGCAGACGTAGGCGCCCACGTAGGCGCCGAGCTCGACGTCGCCCGGCTCGCCGCGGAGCACCTCCAGCAGCGCCGCGGGCGACGTGAAGGCCCGCGCGGGCGGCGCGGGCGTGTCCGGCGGCAGCGTCTCGCGCAGCGTCGCCGCGCCGATAAACAGCGACGCCAGGTAGGTCGCCGACGCGATGACGAGGCACGCGGGGATGGACCAGACGATCGCGATCGCCGTGCCGACGCCCACGCCGAGCGCGCCGCCGAGCGCGAAGGCCGCGATCTCCGCGACGACGACGTCCACCAGATAGACGACGAACTGGCGCGACCCCGTGGGCGCCGGGCTCGCCGGCGCGCCCGGCGCGAAGACGCCGCCGAAGACGGGCCGCCAGAACGACTCGCGCGCCGTCGCGCCCGCGGCGACGCAGTCCACGGGGATGACGATGGACATGGTCGACGTGAAGCAGCCCGCGAGCGCCGTCGCGCCCAAGAAGCCGTCGATGCTGTCGGGCCAGACGGCCATGATGAGCATCTGCACCGCCGCGACCGCGCTGTTTAATAAAAGGAGCGGCTTCCGCCCGACGCGCGGATTGTCCGCGCAGGGCGGCACGAAGTTCGCGCCGACGACGGACGCGATCGTCGCGACGACGGCCTCGCGCAGCGCGAGATTCGACCCGGAGACGGGGTTGTCGCCGGCGATGCGCGTCACGTAGAGCGACCGCACCACATAATAAGTCATGACGGCGACGCCGTTGAGCGCCTGCCAGAGGAGGAAGCGCCGCAGCCGGTCGTTGGCCTCCTCGACGTCCGTCGGCGCGAGCAGCTTGCTCCGCAGGGTCGGCAGCATGGCCTCCTTCTGCTCCTCCAGATCCTCCTTGCGCCGCATGGCCGTCGTCATGCTGGGCTGCCTTGGGCGAATGTGATGGAAATCACAGCATGCTGCCGTTCAAGAACCCTCGTTTTCGCCACAGCTGAAGCATGGCTTGCAATTCATGCGTCGGCTAGCAGGCCTGCAGCGGCCATAGCCGTAGCAGCCGCGAAGGCAGCAGCAGCGCAGCGCCGACCTGCTTCCGGCGCGTCCAGCGCGCTGACGGACGCCTGCCGCGCCGCCTGCCGCGCCGCCTCCGGCGCGCCGCCTCCGGCGCGCCGCCCGACGACGCATGACCGACGCCGGTGCCTCCGCCGCCGCCGCGACGACTGCATCGCGCTGGGTCGACCACAGCGCGCTGGCCGACGTCGTGGAGGCGTCGAAGAACTACCGGGGCCTCCACGTCGTCCGCGGCGAGCCGCCGACGCCGCTCACGGTCTTCCGCGCGCGCGACGGCCGCCTCTTCTGCGTCGAGACGGGCTGCCCCCACGCGGGCCACCGGCTCTCGAACGGCCACTGCCTGGACCCCGGCGACATCGAGGACCTCGCGCCCGCGGGCGCGCTCGGCGTCCTCGTGAGCTGCCCCGCGCACTCGTACGTCTACGACACGGCGTCGGGCGAGTGCGTGAGCGCCTTCGGCGGCGGGCCGGGCCGCGCCGTCGTCCACGCGACGCGCGTCGTCGACGGCGTCGTCCAGGTCGACCTCGAGCCCGCCGCGGGCGCCCGCGCGCTCGCGCTGGACACGGAGACGCGGAACGAGATCGGCATGCGCTGCGTCGAGCAGGCGCTCGAGCTTAAGTTCGGGGATTGACTGACAGAAGCGGCCATCATGATTCCTCCGAGTCGCGAGCACCGTGCTGTGGGATGCCAGCGAGAAGAGGCCCGACGTCGCGTCGACCTCGACGAACGTGGAGCCGTCCAGCGACGTCACGCGCAACGAAGCGGCGAAGGCGGGTGTGCAAAGCAGCAGCGCGACGAGGCTGCCCAAGCGCTGAGAAGCCATGCGACCGCCTCTTCGCCAACTACGGCTTCGTGCAGCGCGACAACGCGGACGACGAGTACGTCCTCGAGGAAGACCTCAGTCCTGCGGCGTCGCGTTCTGCGGCGGGCGGCGTCATGCAAAAGTTGATGAAGCTTTCTTAGAGGAGATTTTGAGGCGCAAAGCCGAGTCGAGCCGCATCGGCGTGCACCCCGGGGTGAGGAAAAATCTCGCGCAGCGGCGGCGCGCGCGACCGAAAAACTGCCGGTGTCGGCCATGAGCAGCGGCAGGAAGCGCCCCCGCGACGCCGCGGCGGAGAAGACGCCCCGCGACCCGAAGAAGACGCGCCCCCTCGCGCTGCCGCGGCGGAGCCCGCGGCGCAAGAGCGCCCTCACGGAGGGCCTCTACTCGATCCTCGACGTCGTCCTGGGCCGGGGCACGGACCGCGCGTCTTTAGGCGCCATGCGGTCGACGTGCCGCGCCATCCGGTCCGTCCTCGCCGCGCCGCGGCTGAGCGCGCTCCGTTTGAAAGACGGCTGCGCGCACGTCGTGAGAACCTTACCCGCGCTCGACCGCCTCGTGCGCGTCACGGCGGTCCTCGCGGACAACGGCCATCTGCAGCTCGACGAGGGCGTCGCCGACGTGGCGTCGCTGACGGGCTCCTGGGACCAGTACGTCGTCAACGAAAAGAATTGGCGCGCGCGGTGGCCCGCGTGCCGCGGGCAAACGTTGGAGCTCGGCGGCGGCGCCTTCGCCGCGGCGCGGAGCGCGTTGAGCACGCGCTGGGCGGGCATCCACGACATCGAGACCCACGCGGGGCAATTGTACGTGGACGAGGGCGCGGCCGTCCGCTTCGAGTACGAGATCCCCGACTCGGCGGCGGGCGCGCTCGTGTCCGTGGAGCTCCTGAGCTCGCGCTGGACCCTGAGCCCGGAGATGCGCGAGGACCGCGACATCCGCACGCTGCGCGACCTGGATTCCTCCGAGGCGCCCGTCTTCCGGTTGTACCACGCGGACGCGACGCCTCGAGGCCCGGGCCGCGCGGAGAGCTCCGCGGCGCCGCCCGAGGCGAGGAGCCTCGAGCTGCTGCCGGGGGAGACGACGGTCGACGTGCACCGCGCGTCCATCTCGGCCCACGGCTTCCGGAGCCGGTCGCCTGAGCTCGCGACGCACGACAACTACCTCGACGAGTGGACGCTCGTCTACAAGGTCGTCCACACGCTCGCCGTGCCCCGGTCCCTCGCGGGCCGCCGCGTCCTCGTCGAGATCGACTGCCGCGACCACGACTGCAACGCCGCCATCCACAACATCTTCTTCAACCTCGCGTTCTGAGCGCGCGGCGGCGGCGGCTCTCTCTAATCGTGTGTGCATAATCGTGAGACGAGACGAGGACCGCCCTTTCCTGGCATCCCCAGGTTCGGGCGCGCCCCGGGGTGGCGGGGCGGGGGCACCATGGGTACCAAGTTCGAGACCCTCCCCCGGTAGGGCTCCCGGCACCACAAACGCACGACGTCAACGCTGCCCCGAATACGCACGTGACACCTGAGGAGCTGCATCGTTCTAATGGAGCACCTCAGAATTCAATCGGATCGCGAGCTTGTAGTCGGAACACAGTCGGAGCGCGCTACAAACCACCCGCACAGTACACTTACCACCACACGTGCGCGCGCGCGGGCCTTCCCCCGCCTCCGCAGCCCCCGCGCGCCTCCCCGCGCCTCCCCGCCGCCCCGCGCGACCGCCGCCCCGAGCCGCATCCCGAACGGCCGCTCCCGGGCTGCCCTTGAAGTCTGGCGCACGCGATCCCCCGCAGCTGCACCATGAAGCTCGTCCTCGCCCTCGCCATGCTCTTCGGGTCCGCGTCCGCGGGCAAGTACGACAGCGACCTCACGGCGCGCAAGGCCGCGTCCCGCATCCACCCGCGGCCGCGACCCCGGCGGCCGCGCGGGTAGGTCTTTCGAAACGCCGCGAACGCCTTTGGAGACGCCTTTTCCACCCTCGACGGCACCGTCCAGGTCAACGTCAAGGACACGGCCGTGTCGTCCATCGAGGCCGTGAACCTCGGCGGCTCCATCGAGACGCAGCTGAGCAACGAGCTCCGCGTCGGCGGCGAATACGACCAGAACCTCGCGTCGTTCCGGCCCCGGTCCCTCTTCGCCAAGTGGACGGCCAAGGGCGCCAACCCCCTCGAGGTCACGGCGACCTACAACGTCGCGGCCAACTCCGCCGAGGTCGACGTCGACTACGAGAACTCGGGCACGCGCGTCCAGGCCGCGCTCGATTCCGCGCGGAAGACGATCCTCAACACCGTCGAGCTCAGCCGCACCTTCAACGTCGAGGGCCGCGACCTCGAGGTGAGCCCCGCCTACGACCTCTCCACCAAGGTCGCGTCCGTGAAGAACCGCCTCAACCTCAACGCCGACACGACGCTCGAGCTGAACCTCCGGTCCGACGACGTCTCGAACCGCGACGCGCTCGACGCGCGCATGACCGTGGAGCACGCCATCGACGCCCAGAACTCCATCAAGCCCTCGTTCTCGCTCAAGTCGGGCGACGTCGACTACGAGTACACGCGCGCGCTCGGAGGCGACGCGGAGCTCAACGTCAAGGCGACGCCGGGCAAGGACGTCAACCTCCAGTGGGAGGACCCGGGCTCCCGCGGCGTCTGGACGACGAACGTCAAGATGCCCTGGGGCCAGCCCTCCGGCGCCTCCGTCTCCTTCAAGCGCAAGTTCAACCTCTAGGCCGCTGGCCCGGAGGGAGGAACCCGGCCGACGAACCGACCGCGGTGGGAGCTCCCACGAAGCCGAGGGCCGCCGCGGCGCGCACGCGCGGAGACAAGTCCGCGCTGCTGCACCGGCCGACGTCGCATGTCAGTCAAATAATTCCGTGCTCGTTTGTAACTCGCGTCGCCGCGACGCGCGTTACGTCCCGAGCTTCCCCGGCGGCGCTTACGTCCCCGCGGTCCCGCGCCCGCCTACGCCGCGGGCTTCTTGGCCGTGATCTCGACGTAGGTCGTCGGGACGGCGGCGAAGGTCTCGTAGAAGATGTGGTCCCGCTTGATCTCCGTGAGCTCGCGGACGGCCTTGACCTCGGACGCGACGACGTTGAGGAACTTGGCGAACTTGTCGTCGTCGCCCGTGAAGTGGGGCTTGGCCGTGGCGCCCCAGACGTCGCGGAGGTAGGCCTCCATGTCGTCGCGCTTGGGCATGCCGGTGAGGTCGTGGAACTGGCGGACCTTGACGTCGACGAAGCCCGCGGACGCCAGCGCCGCGCGCCAGGCGTCGACGGACGACAGGGTCATGCGCGTGGCGCAGGCGCCGTAGTCGAAGTCCGCGGGGAAGCAGTCCTTGAAGGCCTTGCGCTTCGGGATCGCGCGGAGCGCGTCCGTCACGGGCTCGGAGCTCCCGGCGCCGAAGACGCCGCCGGCGAAGACGCCCCCGGGCTTGAGCTCGTCGAAGACGAGCTTCATCGTCGGCGCCTGGTCCTTCTCGGGCATGAAGTGGAGGCTCAGGAACGCCGTCGCCGCGTCGAAGCCGCCGCCGCCGCCGAGCGACGCGGGGCCGGCGTCGCCGGGCCCGCCGAGGTCCACGGTCGTCACGCGCGGGTACCACTCGCGCACGCCCGGCAGCTTCGTCGGGAAGCCGCAGACCAGGGCCGCCGACGCGTCGCTCGACAGGTCGAGCACCGTCGACGCGCCCTTGATGGTGTCGCAGAAGGCGTCGTCGGCGACGATGGGCGTGCCGTAGGGGGGCTCGATGCGCCGCTTCACCTTGGTCTTCTTGCTGCCTCCTAAATCCTTGATCATGCGGTAGATCGCCGCTTCGGCGTAGCCCCCGTATGCTGCCATGCTGGAGTCGGAAAGCACGAGGGGGCTGCACCTCCTTCAAGCACAAACCGCAACGAAAGAACTTTTAGACGGCCAGGGCGACCTCGAGGAGCGCCGCGTAGTCCGGCGTGCCGAAGCCCGACGCCGGGTCCCAGCCCTCCAGCGCGCGGAAGCCGTCGGTGCCGCACTTGCCGTTGTTGCCCAGCAGCACGTCGTCGAAGGCCGCGCGGTACTTGTAGATGAGCGGGTTGAGGAAGCCGAGCTTGGGCTTGCCCGCGCTCAGGCGCGCGTCGTTGAGCAGCGCGACGACGCCCGCGAAGGTCGGCGCGGAGCACGACGTCCCCGACACGTAGACCGCCTCGCGGTCGTAAATAATCGCAAAGTCCTCGCCCGCGGCGGCGACGTCGGGGAACGCGCGGCCGCTGCGGTTGAAGAGGTCCGCGGGCAGGCGCCCGTGGGCCACGTAGGGCACGAGCACGTCGCGCGCGTCCGACAGGTACGTCTCCACCGCCGCGCGCTGGTAGTCCGGCCGCGCCCAGCGGTTCGAGAAGCCGCCGGAGGAGAAGTCCGCGACCTGCGTCTTGGCCCCGAAGCCCACGGTCGCGCCGACGGCCGTCACGTAGGGCGACGCCGCGGGCCACTGGGCGTAGAAGTGGTCGCAGGAGCCCCAGGTGGACGCGACGCCCGAGTCGCCCGCGGCGAAGATCAGCGACATGCCCCGCAGCGCCGCCAACCCGAACTCGTACTGGACGCGCACGGCGTAGGCGTCGGACGTCGACCCCTCGTCCTCGCCGTAGGACGTGGAGACGACGGACGGCGCGTGGTCGACGCCGTTCATGTAGAGCACGAACTCCAAGAAGGGTTCGTTGATCGCGGGCCGGTCGGGCGACATGCCCGCGAAGGACCACACCTCCAGCGGCACGCCGCCGGAGACCGCCGACGCGTACTGGACGTCCAAATTCGCCTCGGCGCCGGGCCGGTTCCCGCGGTTCGGGCCCTCGATCGTCGGCGCGTAGCCCGAAGACGCGAGGTCCGGCGCGTAGTCACTGTAGAACTTTTGCGCGTCCGCCGGCGACGCGAACTCGCCGTCGAAGGCCGTCACGACGACGTAGTGCTCGGACCGGTTCGTGAGGGACGGGTACGCGCCGCTGAGGCCGTACTCGTCGCGCAGGATGCCCGGCGTGACGCCGTACTTGCCGTCCGTCGCCAGGGGCGCGCCGGGCGCGGACTTCCGGCGCAGGTTCGGGAAGCGGCTCGTGGGCTCGACGAAGGCCGCCGCGGACCGGAGGTTCTCCGGTAGAGAGCAGCCGACGCACCGCGTCGCCGTCTGGCCGTCTGTTCGCGCGAACTCGTAGTACTCGCCGCCGAGGAGCTCCTCCGCCGACGCGACGGACACCTCGGCGCGCAGGAAGCCGCGGCGCGCGGCCTCGTCCGCGGAGCCGTAGGCGACGGCCTCGCCGAACTGCTTCCCGTGGACGTCGAGGTAGGATAGAATACGGCTCGCGTGCGTCGCCCACTCCGGGTGCGCCTGTGTGGATTCCAAATCTTCAACCCGACTTCAATGTGATCATATGCGACCGTTTCGACGCGAGTTCTTCTGTCGTGCTTCAAGAACTAGACAAGAGCAATCGATTCGTCCAAAAATCAGCCGAATCGACTTCGATTTGACCGAGATAGAGAGTTCTGAAGTTTGGTTGGGATAACCCAGCTCACTGTTTGATTTCCACACAGGGGTGCGCGTCCGCGCGGTAGGCGTCGAGCTCCGCGACGCTCCGGTGCCGGCCGTAGCGTTTCGACGCCGGGTCGCTCACGGCGGCGACCTCGGCCTCGAGGGCCGCGACGTGGTCGTCGCCGACCGGCAGCGCGAAGACGAGCGACAGCGTCGCGTCGGCCGCGGCGCGCGACGACCGCACCCAGTCGCAGGAGCTCTCCCAGCTCCGCACGCAGGACGACGACGCCGCGCACCAGGAGTAGCCCGCGTCGGTGTAGCAGCCCTCGGCGTCCGTGTCGCCGCCGAAGGCCGCGGAGAGCGCGGCGGCGGTCTCCTTGGGCTGGGACGCCGCGGAGAGCGCGACGACGGCGTCCTTCGGCTGGGACGCGACGCGGCTCAAGGCCAGCGCCCCGAGCACGCAGGCCCCGGCGACGGCCGCGAGGGCCCGGGTGCGCCGCGGGGCTGCCGCCTCCATTGTTGTCATCCGATTTCGAAGGCAACGTTTTATATTGAACCAAAGGTGAAGGCTCACTAGCACGCCCGCCGACTGGCTCGACGTGTTGCAGACGCGCTGCCCGACGCCGCCAGCATCGCGGAGACTCGACGGCTTGCACCGCCGGCAGCGCAGAGACTCGGCTTGCACCGACGCCATGCGCCTGAGCCTTCTTCTTGCACTGGCGTGCGGCGCCGACGCGCTGCGGCCGACGCGGCGCGTCTTGCTGCAGGGCGCCGTCGGCGCCGCCGCGGCGCCGCTGGCGGCCTCCGCGGCGCCCGGCGCGCCGGCGATCGTCGGCACCTGGGCCGTGGACGTCGCCGTCGCCGACAAGTTCCAGGCGTCGGGCGGCGGCACGCTCACGTTCCAGCGCGACGGCGAGGTTGAGTTAAAGCGCGGCGACGGCAGCGTGGTCCCGGGCGGCAGCGACTTCACCATCGAGGTCAAGGGCAAGGAGCGCACGGTGCGGTGGCTGCTCGAGTACGCGAGCGGCAACACGCTCAAGTTCGTCGGCCGGATCAACGACGAGGCCGCGCCCGGCGTCATGGCCGGCGACGTCCTCGAGCTGCTCGAGAGCAACGCCGAGGTCCGCGTGGGCTCCTTCGACGCGAAGCAGTCCGGCGCCGTCGAGGGCACGCAGCAAAAGTACTTCGCGAAGCCCGAGGAGGGCAAGCTGAAGCCCGGGCTCGAGCTCAACGGCCGGCCGCGGTGGCAGGTCGAGAAGGAGCTCGCGAAGAAGGCGGCGAGCGACACGGCCGCGTCGAACCGCGAGAAGAACGAGGCGCTCATGGCCAAGTACGGCTGCACGGACCAGGCGTCCTGCGTCGAGGCCCTCAAGAAGGACCGGGGGCTGTAAAAAAGTTACGGGTCGCCGCGCTTCTCCTCGGCGTAGCCGCCGTCGGCGGGCAGCGACGACGAGGAGCAGGTCCGCGGCAGCGACGCCGCGCTCGCGCTCCGGGGCGCGGGCGTCGTGCAGGGCCGGCAGAACTGGGGCTTCGGCGGCTCGCGCGGCGCGGGGTAGGCCATCGCCGCGTAGGACGCCGCCGAGATGGGCCGCAGCGTCGCCGCGTCGTCGCCCAGGCCCGCGCGCGCCGCCGCGCGGCGCCGCGCGCGCGCGTAGGCCGCGGCGAGCTCGAGCGCGAAGGCCTTGCAGTGGTTCTCGTCGCCGAAGTGGTCGATCTCGCATTCCACGAAGAACTCGAGCGCGGCCGCCGCGGCGTCGGCGTCCTCCGCGGCGTCGCCGCGCGCGTCAAAGTCCGTCAGCAGCGTCCGGCGGCCGTCCATCTCCACGTAGGCGAGGCCTGTGCCGAATTCAACCACTGGTTTGGGTGGTCCTGACCAAACTTCAGAATTCTCTAGCTCGGTCAAATCGAAGTCGATTCGGCTGATTTTTGGACGAATCGATTGCTCCCGTCGAGTTCTCGAAGCGAAGCCAAAGAAGTTGCGTCGAAACTGTCGCATAAGCTCACATTGAAGTCGGGTTGAAGATTTGAATTCCACACAGGGCGAGGCTCGGCGCGCCGCCGAAGCTCGAGAGCACCATCTCCGACGCGGCCGGGCACAGGCGCCCGATGGTCGCGTGCTGGAGCGCCTCCAGGGACACGTTGCGCCGCACGGCGAATTCCAGCGCGGCGAAGAATTTGACCTTCGACGCGAAGCCCAGGAGCGCGTCGCTGGCGACCTGCCGCTCCTCGGACCGCCAGGCGACGTCGAGGGCGTGGTCCAGCGACGGCGCGAAGGCCGCGCGGACGTCGTCGACGCCGCGCGCCAGGAAGTCCATGCGCGCGCCGTCGATGCTCGACAGGGCCTGGCCCATTGGCCGTCGTTCGCGGGCTGCTTCGCGCAGATCTTCGACGCGGTGGAGGCGGCCCGGGGCTGCCTTTTCGCGTAGATTGAACTTCTTCCTTGATGCTTTGTTGCCGCTCGACCTTGGACGACCTGGGCCCCCGCAGCTGGCGGCGCAGCTGCACCATTGTCTGTGGTGACCAGCGCAGCGCAGAGAACGCAAGCACAACGCGGCGCCGACAAGCGCAGCATAGAAACCAGCGCAGCGTAGAGGACAATTAGCACAACGCAGAGTCGCATACGCTTTTCATCGGTGATGCGCCTGCTCCTCCTCCTCGGTGCACCCGCGGCGCTCGCCCTCACCTTCGGCGTCTGCGGCGGGAACATGTGCACGCAGAAGTACGAGGCATGGAGGAAGCGAAAGGTGCCGGGCAAGGGCTTCGAGCAGGGCCGCGTGTCCGGATCGTGGACGCCGGGCGACGACTACTGCACGCTGCTCGAGGTCGTCGAGGCGAGCGGCCGCGACGATTTGTTCGTCGAGACCGTCGGCTGCCGCGGGTCCTGCGAGCGCGGCCCGAACGCCGTCGCGCTCGACGACGAGACCGGCGAGCAGGTCGAGCTCGAGGAGATGTGCCTGACGACGGGCCGCATCACGCTCTTCGAGCTCCGGTCGCGCGCGCGCATGGACGACGTCGTCGCCAAGGCCATCCGCCACCTCGATAATTCGTGAGTTTTTTTTTTTACGTGGGCTTGTTGCCCCCCGGGCCGAACATGCGGAGGAGCCCGTCGAGGTGCTGGCCCTGGAACTTGAGCGCCTCGATCTCGTCGCGGTTGATCTTCTCCTGGATGGCCCGCAGCTCCGCCGCGCGCTTCTCCTCGACGTCGGCCTTCTTGTAGAGCTCCATGATGTGGTCGACGATCGTCGACGATTCGGCTTCCAACGCGGCGATCTTCACGATGAGCTCCTCCATGCCCGGCTCCGCCGCGATGAGCTTCTCCATGCCAAAGTCGACGCCCGCGAGGTGGACCCAGGACGTGGCGTCGTTGACCATGCGCTGCTGGTCCCGGATCCGCAGCAACATCAACCCGAGGAAGGGCTGGTCGAGCGTGACCTGGCGGATGAGTTCGTCGAAGGTCTGGGAGAAGAGGGCCTGGCGCACGGGGCAGATGCCCTTGGGCCGCGCCTGGCGGTCCCGGAGGAGCCCGTCGAGCTCGTTGCTCAGCGCGACGAGGTCGTCGCGCGTCGCGGGCGTCTTGGAAACGAACTGGCACCACGTGCCCGTGAGCTGCGTCCACTGGCGCGGCGGCAGCATGGCGTTGACCATGTCGTCCAAATCCGGCGCGCAGGTGCGCTCCTTGACGCCCATGTCCCCGATGAGCTCGTCGTCGCCGTCGACGCCGACGAACAGGGGCGCGTCGTACCTCAGGAGCGACTGCGGCGGGTCCGCGTCGGGCGGCGGGTCGAAGTGGCCCGGCTCCGCCTTGACGAGGGGCTTGAGCTTCTTCGGGCCGCTGGGGCCGGGCCGCCGCTTGCCGCCCCGGGGGTGCATGCCGGGCTTGCGGATCGGGGCGCCGTCATTTGTCGGGCGCGGCAGCGCCGACGTGCTCCGGCTCATGGCCAGGTCCTCGGCGTCGAAGGGCGACTCGAGCGCCGGCAGCGCGCGGAGCGACGTCGCCGCCATCGTTGCCGCGTTTTCGCCTCCGCGCGTCGCGCCGCGCCCGGCGGCGTTGGTGCGAGGGCAGCACCGGCGGGACGAAGCCTCAGCGCCGGGGCTGCACCGGTCGGATACCTGCGTTCAAAGTCGCGATGTTTACCCTCTTGGGCTGCCGGAGCGTCTGTGCGATCCTGCGTCTGGGGCCGCCCGCGCCGAGCTGCGCGTGGGGCTCCTGCTCTCGTGATGGCAAGCCCCGCCGCCGACGACTATGAGATGGACGTGACGCTCCTCTGCTCGTGGAATCGCCGCCAGCGATGGGCGCTCCTCGAGAATCGCTTTTCTCCGGCATCGCTCGAGCTGCAGATGCGAGCGGCCGCGCGGGAGACCGGCTCGGCCCGGCTGAACGTGGATCGCGTCCTCGAGGTGCTCGTGAAGCAGCGCGACCCGGGGCAGAACTTCAACCACGTCTGCGGGTACGTCCTCATGTTGTACGAGACGGAGCTGGGGCTGCCGCGGCACGTCGTCGACGGACAGCTTCGGTCTCCGGCGACCGGGAGCGTCGGCATCGCCGGCGTCAAGGTCTGCCAGGAGGACCACGCGCTCGCGACGGGCGAACTCGCGACGGTCGAGAACGCTGAGCAGATCGCGCACGCGATCCTGCCGGCGGTGCGGGATCGCGTCGTGACGCCGTTCCTCGCCGGCCGGCCGCTCGACGCGAGGGTCCAAGCGGCCGTCGACAGGATGAAGGATACCGCAGGGAATTCTGCCGAGGACCGCGCGATGGCCGTGGGGAAGCTCGCTCTCATGTCGCTGCTGAACGCGCAGTTTAGCCTCGCGCCCTTCGTCGTCCGCGACGACGTCGCCGCCGTCGCGAAGACGACCGCCGAGTACCTCTACGCCCTGGAGATCGGCGCCGCGGACGTTGCGAAGCGCGCGAAGCGGAGGCTCGCTGCGAACTACCGCGGCGTGGACCACGTCGTGAGCGCGCACCTCTTCGCGCCCTACGTATTTCCGGCCGGCCCGGCCGTCCGAAGCCTCCTCGAGCCCGTCGCCGAGGCCGCCGGCGCGACCTGGACGACCATCGTCGAGCGGCTGGACGGCGCCGACCGCGGCGACCTCGCGCTGGCGCGCTGTCGGGAGAAAGCCCACGCGTTCCGCGCCCAGATCCTCGCGCGGCGCGCGAACCTCGCGGGGTCCTCGGCCGCCGTCGACGCCGCGCGAGCGATGCGCGCGAGCCTCGACCGCATGACCATCGTCCAACGAGGCGCCTACTACTGCTCCGTGGTCCAGTACGTGGACGTGGACTGCGAGGGCATCGACCAGAACGCGCCGGGCAGCGAGGGGGTGGACCACATGAACGACCGCGTGCTCGCGATCGACGTCCACCCGATCCTGACGGCGTTCCGCAGCGCTCTGAAGTCGTTTGCGGAGCTCGTGGACTTTGGGAGGACCGGCGCGCTCCGCGACCTCGACGCCTGGCCGGTGGCCGCGCTCGTCCGCCTCGCCGGGGACGCATCTCATCTCGACGCGGCGGCCCTCGCGGATCCGGCGACGGGCAGCACGGTGGACCGCTGGTTGTGCGGCGTGCCGCTGGAGGAGGCCGAGCTCGAGCGCGTCCGAACGAACGGCGCGCATACCGTGGCGCTGCTCCGGTGGGCCCACGGCCTCCTCGGACCCCTCGCGTGCGCCTTTGAGGCCATCTCCGCGGCCCTCCTCCAGGAGATCAAGACTACCATCGAGGGCGTGGCTCCCAGGCCGGGCTACGCCACCGCCGAGCCGATCGTGCCGCCGCCGAGCGCCTGGGATCGCGGCGCGCCCTTTGAGACCATCGCTCTCCGCGCGCTCTTCCAGGGGATCGGCAAGGGCGTATTTCCCCTCGAATTCGCGCCGACGACGATCAAAGGCGTGGCCGCGTTCCGCGTCGCGCTCGTGCGCTGCGGCGGCACTCGCTGGGCACCCGAGACCCTCAGCGAGATGCGGACCGACGACTGTGCGGTCTGTCTCGAGTCGCAGACAAACAGTGACATGCGTGCATTTCGGCCCTGCGGCCACGCCGTCTGCAAGCGCTGCGCGACGCGGCTCCACGAGTGCCCGATCTGCCGCAGCGCCATCGCGTCCGTCGAGACGGCGAGCTATGGAGATATTGAGCATCGGATGCCGGACGAGGGCAAAAAGCAAATGTTCGAAATGATGGCGGATCTCATGACGCACGGCGGCGCCGCCGAAATCGTCCGGGCGGCCCGTCGACGGAGCGCGACCGCCTCCGGCTGGCCCGCGATCGAGGACGCGCGCCTCATCGAGCTGGCGATCGAGGGGCCCAATGGGCTCACGCACCGCATCATCGCCGACCTGGACACGATCGACGAGGCGAACCGGGGAAACTCCAAGTCGGTGCCCGTCAAGGCATCGGCCGTGGGCGGCAGGGCGATATGCTGCATGGTGGCCTGCGGCAAGACCGAGGGCGACACGACCTCGTTCTCGCGCTGCTCGCGCTGCAAGCTCGCCGTCTATTGCAGCAAAGAGTGCCAGAGAAAGCACTGGAGCATGCATAAGCTCGCCTGCGGACGGCTCCACGCCGCCTTCGCCGCGGCGTCGCCCGGCGAGCCGTCTAAGTAGCGTCACAAGCTCAAGTTACTTCCGACTCGCTCAGTGGGCCTTCTTCGCGGCGCGGGGCGGGTTCCGCCGCGGCGTGGGGAGGCTGCCGTCCTTGTTCGGCGTCGGCCGGGCCTTCGCGGGCGCGGCCGCGCCGCGGTTCCGCCACGCGCCCTTGGCCATGAAGGCCCGGAACTGGGCGTCCGTGGAGAAGGCCCAGTCCCAGAAGGGGAAGAAGGAGCCGTAGCAGCCCTGGTTGTGGCTGTGGTGGAACTCGTGGCGCTCGCTCGGCCGCGTGTAGCTCCAGGGGCTCCACGGCAGGCCGTAGCCGCTGTGCGCGTCGACGATCTCGTGGACGCGGACCACGACCCAGAGCAGGAGCGTGGCGAAGTGGACGCGGAAGAGGAGGGGCCCCGCGAGGAAGGGGATCACGTTCATGACGTCCTCCGCCGGGTGGAAGTGCTCCGCGGCGGGCGCGACGTTCTGCTTGAACTCGTGGTGCGTCTTGTGGACGTACTTGTAGATGCTCTTGTGGTGGAGCGTGCGGTGGATCCAGTAGAAGAGGCAGTCCTCCACGAGGATGCAGCCCAGCAGGTGCGCGGCGGTCTCGGACGCCGACGGCGCGGCGCCGGACACGGCGACGAAGCCCTTGGCTATTGGGTAGAGCAGCAAAGCGAACACGGGGTACGTCACCGCGGAGTTGAAGAAGAGGCCGCGGAAGGCCTGCCTGAAGAGGGCCTCGGGCGCGCGCTTGTCCTGCAAACGGTACTTATCCATGGACGGGAAGCGGTCCAGCGCCAGGAAGCAGGCCGACGTCGATAGGAGCGTGACGCCGTGGGCGAGGCTGATGGCGACGACCCAGAAGTTCCGCTCGCTCTCGAAGAGCGCCCGCGCGGCGCCGTACAGCGCGTGGTAGGCCGCGAGCATAATGGCCGCGATTGGCTCCCAGCGATGTTCCGCGGGCTGCGTTCGTGTAAAAAAGCACCTTGTACTTCGAGGATGTGCATCGCTGACAAATTTGCCTCAGCACACGATAATAGCTGCACACGATGCGACAGCACCCGATGTCGACCGCTCTCCGCGCCGCCGTCGCGCTGAACGTCGTCGCGCGCTGCGCCGGCTTCGCGCGGCCGGCGCGTCGCGCGCTCGCGCGGCGCGCTGCGATTCGCAGCGCGGCGCCGGAGCTCATCGTCCTGGACCTCGACGACTGCGTCTGGCATCCCGAGATGTACACGCTCAACGACATGCCGTCGACGCCGATCCGCGGCGACCTCGACGCGCGCGGCGAGGGCGTCGTCGGCGTCAAGAGCGGCCTCGAGACGATCCGCCTCTTCCCCGGCGCGCTCCGGGCGCTCCAGGAGTGCCACGACGGCGCGCACGACCCGAGCCGCCTCGCCGTCGCGTCGTCCGCGGACACGCCGCTCGCCGCGTCCATCGCCCACGCGGCGCTGTCGATCCTGGAGGTCGTGCCGGGCGTCACCGTGCGCGACGTCCTGTGCCGGGGCTGGCCCGCGGGCTTCGAGGACCACATCAAGATCGGCCGCGCGCCGCCGCTGTCGAGCGACAAGTCGAAGACGCACTTCCCGCTGCTCCGGGAGGCGACGGGCGTCGACTACGACGGCATGCTCTTCTTCGACGACAGCAACTGGTCCGACCACTGCCGCATCGTCGCCCAGAACTGCCCGGGCGTCGTCACGCAGCGGACGCCGCGCGGCATGCAGCACTCCGAGTTCGTCGCGGGGCTGAAGAAGTACGCCGACGCACAGGCGGACTAATTCGGATTGCCCTGGACGCGCCGCGCGCGGTTGCCGCGGCGTCGCGGTCCGGGCTTCGCCGGGCGGCGACGCGGACCGCGGGCATGGGCACGTCGTAGCCGCCGTCGGCCGCGTGCGCTCGGATGCCGGCCGCGACGGCCGCCCGGATCGCGGCCCGCTGGCGCTCCGTCTGGCGCTCGAGGATCGCGCGCGTCCGCGCGGTGCCCGTCGCGAACATGTCGTAGAGGTCGTCGGCCGCGTTGAGCCGCGCGACGAGCGGCAGCCGCGACGACTCGGGCGCCTCGAAGCCCGCGTCCGCGAGGGCCTCCGCCGCGCTGCGCTCGTCCGCGAAGTGGAAGAAGGGCAGCACGCCGTCGCCGCCCGGGAGCTGCGACGTTCGGGTCGCCGTGGGCCGCGAGCGCCGAGAGGACGACGTCGAAGCCCTCGCCCGCCCGCGGCGCGTCCCAGACCGAGAAGCTCAGCCGTCCGCCGGGCCGCAGCACGCGGAACGCCTCGCGGAGGCAGTCCGCGGGCCGCGGCAAATGCAGCAGCCCGAAGGCGACGACGACGGCGTCGAAGGTCTCGTCGGCGAAGGGCAGCGCCTGGGCGTCGCCCTGGCGCAGCGTTAATCTGGCGTGCTTCCGCGCGAGCGGCTCCGCCAGCGCGAGCATCTCCGAGCTAAAGTCGAGCGCGACGACGTCGCAGCCGCGTTCCGCGGCGTCGTCGGCGACGAAGCCGGGGCCCGTCGCGACGTCGAGCACGCGCGCGCGCGCCGCGTCGCGCCCGCCGAGGGCCGCGTCGACGAGCGCCGGCGCGGCCTGCGACGTGAGCGGGCCGAAGCCCGCGTCGTAGGCGCTCGCGCCGCGCTGCCACATGTCGTGCTCCAGCGCCGAGAAGGCGTCGGTGGCGGCTCCATGCGTCGCAGCGCCGCGCCGCAGCGCGCGCGACGGCCAACGTGATGTGAGCGCGCGCGCCAGCCGTAGCTTCGAGTTGCAGGCCATCATCTAATAGGTCGTCAGCCGCCAAGCTCCATAGTTTTGCCACAAGCACTTTTGGGAGCTAATGTTTCCGTCAACAGCATTGACAACTGCCCTGCGCTAAGCAACGCCTTGGGAGAGCCCCGGGCGTCCCACAGCAGGGGCGCCAGCCTCTGCCGGCGGTGTCCCGAGGGTCGTCGCGGGACGCGCGGCTCCGGAGCCATGGGCCCGGCGCGCTAGCGGCGGCGCCGCGCATGGGACGCGCCTAGCGCGAAAACAACACAATGGCCAGCGGCGGCGCGTCGGACGAGGCCGCCCTCGCGCGGCAGCGGGCCTGGTGGAGTTCCGTGCGCCAGTTCGCCGAGGAGAAGGGGCTCGTCGACGGCCTGCCGGAGGAGGCCAGGGACCTCGACGACCTCGTCGCGTCCGTGCTCGGCGGGCGAACGAGGCCCCAGGGCGGCGGCCGGCGGCCGTCGACCGCGGTCGAGCTCGAGACCGTCGCGTCGCTTTTAGAGGCCATGGCCGAGTACGGCGCGTCGCTGCGCGTGCGCGAGGCGGCCTTGGAAGCCGTCGCGCGGGAGAAGGGCGAGCGCCACGGCGAGGTCGCGCGCGCGAGCTTGCGGGTCGGCGCGCTGCACCTGCGCGCCGGAGACCACGCGGCGCGGCGCGACGCGCTGGAGCGGGCGCTGGGCGTCAGCGAGGACGCCCACGGCGCCGAGAGTTTAGAAGTCGCCTCCGTGCTGACGCACCTCGCGTCGACCTACGGCGCGCTCGGCGACGCGGAGAAGCGGCGGCGATTGCTGGAGCGCGCGCTCGACGTCTACGAGGCTCAAAAGGGCGAGAACGCGCGCGAGGTCGCGCCCATCTTGGTGAACCTCGTCGACGCCATCGACGACTGCCCCGAGTCCGACGACGAGCCCGACGACGAGCGGCGCATGCTCGAACGGGCGCTGGCCATCGAGGAGCGGGAATACGGCGCGGAGCACGCGGAAGTCGCGTCGACGCTCGTCAGCTTGGGCGCGCACTACGCGTCGCGCGACGAGGCGCACAAGGCGCGGGGGCTCCTGGAGCGGGCGCTGGCCATCGAGGAGCGGGTGTTGGGCAAGACGCACGGCGATGTCGCGCCGACCCTGGGCAACCTCGGCCAGTGCTACGTCGACCTGGGGCTGCCGACGCGCGCGTCGGAGCTCTTGGAGCGCGCGCTGGCGCTGGAGGAGCGGGACCGGGGCCGCTCCGACCCGGAGGTCGCGCGGACTCTGGTCGCGCTCGGCGACTGCTACGGCGACCTCGGCGACCGGCGACGGCAGAAGGAGCTGCAGGAACGAGCGCTCGCGATCTTCGAAAAGAAGTCCGGCGACCCGAAGACGTCGCTGGACGTGGCGGCGTGCCTCGTGAGTTTAGGGGACTGCGTCGGCTGTTTGGGAGATGCGAAGCGCGGCAAGGACATGATCGAGCGCGCCCACGGCATCGAGAAGCGCGTCTACCGCTCCAAGAACTCCGTCGAGGCCGCGGCGACACTCGCCGCGCTGGGGGTGGCCTACCAGCGGCTCGGCGACTACCCGACGGCGCGCGATCTGTTGGAACGAGCGCTCAAGCTCGAGGAGCGCGAGCACGGGCCGCACCACCGCGAGGTCGCCGTGACTTTGACGAACCTCGGCAACTGCTACGGCGACCTCGGAGAGGCCGCGAAGAGCCGGGACCTGCTCGAGCGCGCGCTCGCCATCGACTACCGCGAGTACGGGCGGGACCACCGGGCGGTGGCACCGACGCTCAACAACCTGGGCATCGCCTACGGCCGCCTCGGCGACGTCGACAAGCGGCGGAGGCTCATCGACCGCGCGAACGCGATCAAGGGCGCGGGCGACGCTTCCTTCTCGGAGCGCGAGGACGCCGCGGGGCCCCTCGCGCCGCTCACGGGGGATGCGCCGCCGCCGCCCGCGTCGGGGTCCCCGGCCTGGGACCTCGCGAAGTCGCTGCGGAGCCCGGACGCGCGCGTCGTCCGCGAGGGCGCGCGGCCGCAGCTGCCGCCCCTCGCGAGCGGCGCGCCGCTGGCGCCCCTGACGGGCATGGCGCCGCCGCCGCCCGTCGACGGGTCGCCCGGGGCGCGGCTGCCCCTCGTCTCCCCGGGCCGCGGCATCGGCACGCAGCTGCTCTCGGCGTCCGGCGGGGATCGGCGTGGCGAGCGGCACCTGCGGGACCGCGAGGACGAGCAGCACCGCCTGAAGACGCTGCAAAAAAGGCGCGACGACCTCGAGGAGGCCTTGAAGCACGAGCAGCGGCGCCACGGCCTGCACCACCGAAGCGTCGCGTCCGTGCTCGTCGATTTGGGGGTGTGTGTGGGCGATCTGGGCGACGCGCCGGGCGCGCGCGACCACCTGGAACGCGCTTTGAACATCTACGAGGCGCTGCTCAAGGGCGGCGCGGCGGACTGCACGCTGTCCGTCGCGGAGACGTTGACGGACCTGGGCCACGCCTACGGGAAGCTCGGCGAGCCGCTGAAGCGGCGCGACTTCTTCGAGCGAGCGAGGACGCTCTTCGAGAAGCACTACGGCCGGCACCACCCGGACGTCGCCATCGCCCTGGTGAACCTGGGCACGGCCTACGGCCACCTCGGCGACCACCGGCGCCACCGCGAGCAGCGCGCGCTCGCCATCCTCGAGCGCGAGTACGGCCGCGACGACGCGCGCGCGCGCAACTGCCGGGCCCAGCTCCGGTCCGCGGCCCACAAGCTCGAGCGCGAGCGCGGCGTCGGCTCGTCGCTCGTGTCGCGGCTCTGCGCCTGCGTCGCCAAGCCCCGGGCCCGCGTCGTCCCGTCCTAACGACCCCTTTGTGTGATTAAGCCTGAGGGTGTGGTACTGCAACTTGATGTGGTGTTGCATAGACGTTGCAGAAGCTCTCGACGATGAGGTCAGCTCAAGCTCTTGCGTGGCTCGTCGCCTGGTCGCTCACGCACTGCGCCGCGCCCTTCAGCGCCGTCGCGCCGCGCGCCGCGGAACTGCGCTTCGACCACGTGCAGATCTTCGCCGACGAAGTCGCGCCCGTCGCCGACTACAAACGTTTGGAAGCCGAGGCCGCGGCCCTCGGCGCGCGCCTCGACGCCGGCGAGGCGCTGCCGGCGGGCGACGCCTTCGACGGCCTCAACCGCGACGTCGTGCGGCAGCTCGTTTGCGCGCTCCAGTGGCGCGTCGCCGCGTCCTGCGAGGCGCGCGACACCGCGTCCGTGCTCGTCTCCTCCGCGGCGGACGGCGCGGGCGCGAACTTCGTCGTCACGGCGCCGGCGGCGCACGACGCGGACCGCGCCGCGCCGGCCTGGGCGGGCCTCGACCGCTGGCGCGCCGCCGTCGACGCGAAGCGGGGCCGCGGGTCCTTTGGGGTGCTGGCGTTCGAGGCCCTCGGCGCGACGTCGTGCGCGGCCGTGCTCGACGCGTACCGCCGGTCGCACCGGGATTTGCTGGTCGACGACGCCGTCGTCGACCTCGGCGAGGGCGTCCGCGTCGTCGAGGCCTACGCCTATCGCGACGCCGACGGCGGGCCCGACCGGGGGACCGTGCTGCGCTTCGTCGAACGGGACGACGGCGCGCCGCTCCTGCCGGGCCTCACACCCACAACGGCGGACTTCTCCCGGACGCCCCGGGCGCGCAGCGACCACTGGGTGAGCAACGTCGACGACCGCGGCGGCTTCCTCGACACGCTGCGGGACGCGCTGGGCTACGAATCGAAGGTCGAGTTCGCGTCGGGCGTCGTCGCCGCGGGCGAGGCCGTCATCGAGTCGACGGTCGCCGGCGGCGGCGAGGCGCGCGACGGCTCCGTGGTGTTCCTGCCCGTGAACAACGCGCTGTCGCCCGCGGGGCACGTCGCGCAGTACCTCGAGCAGATGGGCCAGGGCGTGCAGCACGTCGCGAGCCGCGTCGACGACCTCGTGGCGCTCGTGGACCGCGCCAACGAGCTCCGCGACGCGACGGGCGAGGGGTTGGCGTTCCTCAACGTGCCCCGGAGCTACTACGGGGATCTCCCCGACGCGGCGACGCTCGCGCGCCGGTCCGGCGCGTCTTTAGAGGCGGCGGAGGCCGCGCTCGACGCGCTCCGGGCCGCGGGCGCCGTCGACGCGGCGGGGCTCGTGGACCTGGAGTTGGACGCGGCGCGGGCTGAGATGTTGGTGGGCGACGGGGCCGTCGCGGCGGCCGTCGCCGAGAGCCGCTACGCCAACTTGAAAGACATGCTCGGCGACGAGTTCGACGAAGCGGGCTACGTCGCCATCGTGCGCGCGAACGTGCTCGTCGACGCCCAGGGCGACGACGTGTTGCTCCAGATCTTCACGCAGCCCGTGCTTCGGCGGGCGCCGGGCGAGGAGGCGCCCTTCCTCGAGTTCATCCAAAGGGTCTGCGCGAAGCGGGACGCGCCGCGCGCGGGCTGCGGCGGCTTCGGCATCCGCAACTTCCTCGTGCTCTTCCTGTCCATCGAGCTCAACGCCGCGGCGGACGCGCTCGCGCGCGCGGACACGCCGGCGGCGGCGGCGAACGCGGCCGCGCGGCTCGGCTGCCTCCGGCGCCAGCTCGCGGCGTCGAACCCGATCCTCGCGGCCATCTCCGACGCCGCGGCGGCCGAGGCCGACGGCCTCGCCGCCGGCGACGAAACGGCCGTCGACGCCGCGCGGCGGCGCAAGGACGGCGGCCAGCGCGAGCTCCAGGCCGTCTCCGCGGCCTTCGCGGACGAGATGCGCGCGATCCGCGAGGAGGGCGCGTAAGTGTCTCGCGTGCTCGTCGCCGGGGGCGAAGGCCGCCTTCATGGTCAGGCTGTGGGAGGGAAATAAAAGATATAAATTCCTCAGGTTCGATACGCTGGTTAATACTTGATTCGCATTGTAATTGCGAAGGCGGGGGGCGGGGCGGGAAACGACGATCGGGCGGAGAAGGACGCGGCGGGGACGATCCGGCGGGGAAGGGCGCGATCCGGGCGATCGGAGCGATCCGGGACGACGGGAGCGAGCGATCGGACGACGAAACGGTCGGACGGCGACTCAGAGGGCGGTGGCGACGAGCGCTCCGTTGACGATGGCGACGTCGAGGCGCGGGTGCTCGCGCGCGGCGGTGACGAGCGGCGAGGCGAGGAAGTTGACGTTGACCGCCTCGCCGGTCACCGCGACGAAGCCGACGAGGATGTCGCGCACGCCCGCCGTGACCGCCTCGCCGGCGTGGAGGACCTTGCCCGAGTGCGCGACGAGGTCGCCGGCGGCCTCGGGCCGGAGCACGCGGCCCGACCCGACGAAGCGCGTGCCGCCGCCGACAAAGTCGTCGGGCGAGCTCATCGCGACCGAGAACGAGAGCAGCGAGGCGTCGCGGTGCGCCTCGAGCTCGGTCTGCGCGCCCGGCGCGTCCGCGTCGTAGCGCACGTAGAAGAGGTCGTCGACCTCGAGCCCCGCGCCGGCGCCCGGGTCGCCCGCGGCAAAGAAGGCCGCGCGGAGCGCCGGCAGCACGACGGCCGCGACGATCGGCGCGCAGACCGCCCAGATGTGCGGCGCGTCGTGCAGCGAGAAGTCCGTCGTCGGGTGGGTCGCGTGCCGCGTCGTCTGCCAGCCGCGCCGCGCCACGTGCGCGCCCGCGAGCGCGACGACCGCCGCGACCTCCGCGGGCGCGAACGCGCCGCGCCACGCGTGCGCCGAGAGCAGCCGGCTGACGGGCGCGCCGTGGCTCTCCGCGCGGATGCGCGCCTCCCAGGCGTCGTCGCTGCGCAGCGCCGCGAGCAGCCGCGCCGCGTCGCGGACGCGGGCCACGCGCTTGTCGCGGCGCCTCGTCGGCGTGCCCAGGCTACTCAAGGTCACGTACGGCACGAGCGGGGCCCCGCAGCCATCGACCGTACCCGTGCAACGATTCATCGATCGCGCAGCACCAGGGGCGTCAAGCCGCGGAATGCGTGGGCGGCGCCTGAGGTCTGCGGCTGGCTGCCACGCTGTAGACGATCTCGATGAGCTGCCGCTTACTTGAATCATGTGTGAAGCTGCGTTGAACATTATGACCCGCGCGGCTGTGGTGCGCGCGCCGGACCCGGGATCGCTCCGGGTCACCCCTGATCGCCCCGGGATCGCTCCGGGTCGCGCCGGACCGCCAGGATCGCGTCCGAGCGCGCGGGGTCGCGCCGGATCCCCGCGCCGGATCGATATCGCCGCGGATCGCCGTGGATCGCGCCGGGATCGCGCCGGATCCCCCTCGTAAAAACGAAGCGCCTTACCACGTCGTCGGCGTGCCGTCCGGGAGCGTCCACTCGCGGTCCGCCCAGGCGTGGCCCGCCACCGCGGCCGCGCGCACCGCGGCCTCGTCGATTTCCACCCCCAGCCCCGGCCCCGCGAGCGTCGCGACGTAGCCCTCGGCGTCGACGTCGAAGGCCTTCTTGTTCGCCACGTAATCCAGCAAATCCATGCCGCCCTCGCCGTTGTAGTGGATGCCCAGGGACGTCTCCTGGAAGCAGAAGTTGACGGCCGTCGCGTCGACCTGGAGGCACGCCGCGAGCGCGATGGGCCCCAGGGGGCAGTGGGGCGCGAAGGACACCTCGTAGGCCTCGGCCATGCGCGCGATGGTGTGGAGCGACGAGATGCCGCCCGCGTGGCTGCAGTCCGGCTGCAAAATATTCACCGCGCGCGTCTCCAGCAAATCGCGGAACTCCTCGACGGTGTACATGCGCTCGCCCGTCGCCAGGGGGACCGACGTGTGATGGGCGACGGTCGCGTGGAGCGCCGGGTTCTGGCCGCGCACGAGCACCTCCTCGAAGAAGAGGGGGTCGTAGGGCGCGAGCGCCTCCATGAGCTTTTTGGCCATGGGCAGCTTCACGCGGCCGTGGAAATCCAAGCCCACGCCGACGCCGGGCCCGACGGCCTCGCGCACGGCCTTGAAGCGCGCGGCGGCGGCGGCGACGGCGCCCTCCGTGTCGACGTACTCCATGCGGGAGCACGCGTTCATCTTTAGCTGCTTGTAGTTCGACGTCGCGAGGACCCGCGTCGCCTCGGCCGCCGACTCTTCCGGCGAGTTCTCGTCGCCGCCGCACCAGCGGTAGACCTTGAGCCGGTCGCGCACGGCGCCGCCGAGGAGCCGCGACACGGGCGCGTTCAAAAGTTTTGCCCGCGATGTCCCACAGCGCCTGGTCGATGCCGGCCATGGCGCTCATGAGGATGGGCCCGCCGCCGTAGAACTTCTGGCGGAAGAGCTTCTGCCAGATGTACTGGATGCGGCTCGGGTCCTGGCCGACGACGCTCCTCATGAGCTCCTCGACGGCCGTCCGCACCGTGTCGCTGAAGCCCTCGACGTTCGGCTCGCCCCAGCCGACGACGCCGCGCTGCGTCTCCACGCGCAAAAAGAGCCAGCGCGGCGGCACCTTGAAGAGCTCGTAGGAGGCCACGACGTCGCCGCTCATGGCGCGAGTTTCGGGCGCGTCGCCGACGTCGCCGGCGGGAATGCGAGAATGCGCGTTCTCAAAGAGCTCTTGGGAAGCCCGATTATTATTGCCCTGCAAGTACAGCAGTTTTTTAGCGCATGGACCATCTGCATGGACCGCGCATAACATTGTAAAGCCCCCATGGCGCTGCCCGTCGTCGCGAAGCGCGACGTCGCCGCGTCCTGGCTCGCGGAGCTGGACTGCATCGGCGGCACGCTCAAGAAGCTCGGCGGCTCCGGCGCCAGCGAGGCGCAAAAGGGGACGGCGAAGCGGCGGAGCGTCTTCTCGCGCGCGCCGCAGTGGAAGAGCCGGCTCTTCTGGGTCGAGATCGCGGCGCCCGCGGCGGGCGAGAACTACGTACTCCAATACGGCGACGCCAAGCGCAAGCCCAAGGGCGCCTTCGCCCTCGAGGGCGCGACCGTCGACGCGGTCGCGGACACGGACGGCGACTTCCGGCTCCACGCGCGCGTGGGCCGCGCGTGGGTCACGGTGACCCTGCGCGCCCCGACGGGCCGGGAGCGCGGCGTCTGGATGCGCACGCTGGCCCACGTCGCCGACGTCGCGACGCGGCGCGGCGCGGCCGAGGGGTCGACGCGCGCGGCGGAGCGCGAGAGCGCGGCGACGCCGCCGCGCGCGCGGGCGCCGAGCGACCGGTCCCCGTCGCCGCGGCCCTCGGCGAGCCCGCGGCGGTCGAGCTTCTCCGAGAGCGTGCGGAAGAGCCTGGTCGGTTTGAACAAGGAAGAGGAAGCCGCGAAGCTCTTCCGCGAATCGCTGGAAGAGGTCTTCCGCGCGATCCAGACCGACGGCCAGCTCGCCTGCGCGGAGCTCGCCGCCGTCCACTTCGACAAGGCCCTGCTCGAGCGGCTCGACGGCGACGGCGACGGGTTTTTGAGCGTGGACGAGTTCGTCCACTTCTTCGGCGACGCCGTCGAGGGCGAACGCGACGAGAAGAAGACGGCCAAGTTATTGCGCGAGGGCATCGAGCTCGTGGGCCGCGTCCTCGCCTGGCGCCAGAAGCAGAAGGACCGGCTCCACGCCGCGGCGCTGCGGGCGCATAACGCGGCGCTGGCGAAGCACGCGGCGGAGCTCGCGGCCGCGAAGAAGGAGAGCCGCGCGGCGAAGCGCGAGTCGCGCGCGCTCAAGGCGCGGCTCAGCGCCGCGCCCGGCGAAGTGTTGGAGGCCGACGACGACGAGCCGTCGGCGTCCGAGTCCGACGAGGCGGCGCCGCCCCCGACGCGCGCGGCGCCGCCGCTCCGCGAAGAGCCGCCGCCGCTCCGCGAGGCCGCGCCGGTCGCGCGCGCCAGCGCCGTCGCGCAGCGCAGGAGCGTCTTCGCGCGCATCGAGGAGGACTCGTCGGACGAGGCCGAGCCGCCGCCGCCGGCGGACACGGACTCGTACTCCGACGAGGCGGAGCCGCCGCCGGTCCTCGCGCGGCCCGCCGCGGCGCCGGGGAAGCCCGTCGCGGCGCGCGGCGTCACCCGGTCGCCGGGGAAGCACAAGCGGACGCGGGCCCACTTCGCGCCGTCGGCGTCGGAGGCGAACGTGCTCGTCGCGCCCATCGAGGCGCCGCGGCCGCCGCCGCCGGCGGCCGAGGCGGTCGAGGAGGAGGCGGCCGCGGTCGACGACGACGGAGGCGAGGCCTACGACGAGCGAGGGGAGGCCTACGATGAGGAGGAGGCCGCCACGGCGCCGCCGCTCGCCGCGGCGCCGCCCCTCGAGGACGACGCCGCCGAGGAGGCGCCGGAGCCGGCGGCGGCCGCGCGCGCGCGCGCGGCGCCGACGCGCGCCCGCGCGTCGACGGCGGCGGCCCCGCCCGCCGCGGCGCCGCCGCCCTGGGAGCTCGCGGAGCCCCGGCGGGCGCGCGCGGCGACGGCGGCGGCGCCGGAGTCGCCCGCGCTCGCGCGCGCGTCGCAGCTGCTCTCGCGGTCGCGGCTCGGGATCCTCGCGCCGGGCCCGCCGCCGGCGGCCGTCGCCGCGGGCTGCCCGCGCTGCGCGTCGCTGCGGACGCACGTCGTCACCGCGGCGGCGCCGGCCGACGCGCCGGCGCTCCTCTGCCTCGACTGCGGGAACCGCTGGGTCGCCGGCGAGTCGCGGCGGCCGCGGACGAGCGCGCCGCGCGTCCCGGCGCCCGCGACGCCCAAGACCGCGGAGCGGCGGCGGCGCGAGCGGAAGCTGGCGACGATCCAGGACGACGTCGAGGACGCGGCCTGGGCCCGGGACCCGCTCTCCTACGCGCCGAGGGCGCCCGACGCGTCGACGTTCTACGGCGCCCCACCCGCGGCGCGGAAGCGCGCGTCGACGAAACCGCCGGCGCGCGCGTCGACGAAACCGCCGAAGCGCGCGGCGCCGGCGGTCCGCGCGCCCCCGGGCGCGGCGGCGCACGCCGCGCGCGAGCGCCAGCGCGCCGACGGCGCCTACGGCCTCCGCGCGCGCGCGCGCTACGTCGCGGACCTCGAGCTCGAGGCGCGCGACGTCATCGACCGGCTCCGCGCGGCCGTCGCCGCGGAGGACGCCGCGACGCTACCGGACCTCCTCGCGCTCGTCCGCCGGCTCCACCGGCGCGCGACGGCGAACCGCGAGGAGGCCGTCCGCCGGCCTGGCGTCGCCGCGCGGACGCGCTGGATCTGCGCGGGCGTCGAGCAGCAGTGCGCGCTCGAGGAGCGGCGCCTCGCGGCGGCGCTGCCCGCGCCGGCGGTCGCGGCGGCGGGCGACGAGGAGAACGTCCCCGCGGCCCACGCGCCGAAGACGCCGCGGCTGGGATGTGGGGGAAGGGACGCGCCCTGGTCGCTGCTGTAAAAAATTAAAATTAGGCCGCGCTTTCCTCCCCCGCGTCGGCCCGGATGGGGTTGTCCACCGCGAGGAGCGTGGCGTCGTCCTCCTCCTCGTCGGACGCGGAGAAGGACGCGCCCCGGAGCTCGACGTCCCCCGGCGGCGGCGCCCGGCGCCCGCAGCACGCCGCGAGGGGCATGGCCTCGAAGTCCGCGCGGACCGCCTCCGGCGACTTGCCCCGCGTCTCCGGGAACGCCAACGCGTTGAACGCGAGGCCCAGCGCCGCGACGACCGCGTGAGCGCCGAAGAGCCCCCCGAGGCCGTCCTCCGCGAGCGCGAGCGCGAAGGCGTACTGCGACGCGAACTTGAAGGCCGCCGCGGGCAGCTGCTGGAGCGCGACGAGGCGGCCCTTGAGCCGCGGGGGAAAGACCTCGCCGAGGAGCAAAAAATTCAGCGTGCCGAAGCCCACCTGGAACGCGGCCGTGTAGAGCAGGCACGCGACGACGACCACGGGCCCCGCGCCGTCGGGGTCCGTCCCGAAGATCGCCGCGAGCGCCGCCGCGAGGACCACCGTCGCCGCGAGCGACCCCAAAAGGAGCGGCCGCCGCGCGAGGCCGTCGATCTTCAGGATCATCGCCAGCGTCGTCGCGAACTTGACGAGGCCCAGGGCCAGCGTCATGCGCCGCGCGCTCGCGTCGCCGAGCCCCGCCGCGCGGTAGACCGCGACGACGTAGAGCCGGAGGTTGAAGCCCCCGGAGAAAAACGTGAGGAACGTCAAACCAACAAAAACGCCGCTCGGCCAGCGCCAGCGGTGCAGGTCCGCCCGCAGCGACGACCGGTCCCTGAGCGCGTCCTCCTTGAGCAGGGACGCGATGTCGTCGACGGGCGCGGCGGCGCCGTCGCCGCCGAAGCGCGCGTAGCAGTTCGCGAGTTCCGCCTTCGCCGCGTCCTCGCCCCGCGCCGTCGCGAGCCACCGCGGGCTCTCCGGCGCGACCTTCGAGACCACGAGCAGCAGCTGAAACGCCGCGGGGCCCGCGGGCAGCGCGAAGAGGCCGCGCCAGTCCACGAGCTCCGCCGCGAACGCCGCGAACGTCGCGACGTAGCCCAGACTGATGCTCAGCTCGAAGACCGTCGTCAGGCCGCCGACGCGGTGCTTCGGCGCGAGCTCCGACGCCCAGGCGAGCTGCGCGACGTAGGACGCGCCGGCGCCGACGCCGCAGACGACGCGCGCGGCCAGCAGCGCGTTCAGCGTCGGCGCGGCGGCCGCCGCGAGCGACCCGACCACGACGAGCGCGGCCGCGACGACGAGGGCGGCGCGGCGGCCGAGCGCGTCGCCGACGACGCCGCCCGCGGCGCTGCCCACGAGCTCGCCGGGCCCCATGAGCGCGACGACGAGCCCCGTCTCCCGCGCGGAGAGGTCGAAGGCTTTCGCCGCGCCGGAGAGCGCGCCGGAGACCGCGCCGAGCATGAGGCCCCAGGCGAAGCCGCCGATGCCCACGAAGCACCCGGCGGCGCAGAGCACGCGCCACTCCGCGCGGGACTGCGCCTTGGCTCGCGCGCGCGCGTCGGGCTCGTCGCGCAGGCTGATCTCCTCCATGGGGCTCGCTTGGCCTCGATGGGCCTCGTCGATCGGCGCTCGCTGCGAGCGCCGTCGAGGAGAAGCGCTCGCTGGACGAGCAGCTCCCGCACCTCACGGGCGACGCCGACGCGTACGTCGCGGCAGCAGTGCTCAATAGGTCACCATGCTGCCTGCGGCAAAAATGTTTCGCGATCGCTTCAAGGACCACTTCAGCATTGCGCTCCACGTGCCTGCACTCGTACGTCTACGACACGGTGTCGGGCGAGTGCGTGAGCGCCTTCGGCGGCGGGCCGGGCCGCGCCGTCGTCCACGCGACGCGCGTAATCGACGGCGTCGTCCAGGTCGACCTCGAGCCAGCCCGCCGCGGACGCGGGCGAGCTCGCGCTGGACACGGAGACGCGGAACGAGCTCGGCATGCGCTGCGTCGAGCAGGCGCTCGAGCTTAAGTTCGGGGACTAGCTAGACGGCGCCGGGTCGGCGGTGCTAGCGCTCCTCGCGACCCTCCTCGCGATCATGGTGCTGGTAAAAGCCTGATACCTCGTCTTTTGGTGCATGTCGAGGGTGAAGGCCTCCATGGGTAGCGAGCCGAAGAGTCCACTGACAACATTGACGACGTATGGCGTCAAAGTGGGTCCAAAGATCGTCTCGGGGCAGATACGTCGCGCACGATGAAAGAGGTAGGCGATATGGAGTAGGAGATATCGCTGTACTAAGTCATCCGCGAGAGGGTCAAACTGTTCGAGGTTCGGAGAGGGCGTCATGCCCGTTTCGGCTGCGTGTAAGACTACCCGCACCTCACTGAGGAACCATAGAAGGGGCACAGCGTGGCAGTGGCGGACGCTATCCTCGAGAAGCGATACCATGGCACGGGCGACATAAGTGAGTGGGAGTGGCCGCGGGTCCCATTGAACGGCAGCCGTGGCAGTGGTTCCCTCGTCGTGGTCTCGAAACACGTTCGCCAAATCGACAAGTTCAAAGATTGAGTGTTGCATCCTCAACTGGACGAATCTTTCAACCTCCGGATGCCAAGCTGCGATGCCAGAGTGACGTGCCATTTTTTCGACGAAGCGATTGACCGAGCCTATGAAGCGATTGACCTGGGCCCGCGACGACTGCACCGGCGGCTTTGAAAAGGTGTTCAAGTTCTCGGGTAACAAGGCGATGCTCGCCAGGTTAGAGTCGGCCTCGCCGAGATCGAGCACGTGGACGCCGTCCCAGCGGCCGGCGGCTTCGGCCCGCGTCATCGCGTCGACGAACTCTTCCTGGCTGCGTGGGGTCCGCACCGCGAGGATACGATCGACGAGCCTGCTCTTCGGTGTGCACTGAACTGAACCATATTCGACGATGCGCAAGACTCGACATGTCCCGCAGATCGGGCAGTGGGTAGCGAGCGCGCAGCATCGACGTTCGCCAACCACCGTTCGCGGGTCAACGTCTGCACCGTCCAATTTCAGCAATTCTTTGTCGCAGTCGCCATCGCCAAAAATAAGTTTCTCACCACCGGGAACATTCAAATAGTTTTCGATGGGCAATTCCCCCATACGTATCAAATCGAGCACATCCGATCCATACTCATGCTTGATATCGGCACCAAGTTCTTTGGGACAGAGGTGCTGCCCGGCGACACTGGCCCCCAGGTATTGCAGCGCGCCTCCCACGGCCTCCGTCGTCAGACTACCGAATGCCTTGAAGTAATTGGAGAGTGCGCCTTCGACCCACGCGTACTTGGCCAAGCAGTCGTTCTCATCGTCCTCTGAGTCGTCAGATGCGGACTTGTCTTCGACCGATGCGTCGTTTGAGTCCAAGCGCCCGTGAGCATAGACGAGCGCCCGAAGCGTGGCAAGTGTCGCGTCCGCCTCGTAGAGATCACGCAGCAGAGGCGTTGAGTCGCCGCGCGCACACGCGAGCGCGGTACGGAGGAAGCCGACCATGGCGGAACAGGCGGTGTCGAACGCGTCAGGCGTCACGTACGCCGCGCCCCCGCGGAGCGCGATCCAGCGCAACGACGTACGAATGGATTTGATGTAGGCTGTTCCGTCGGCTGCCACGTCGCACCATCCCGACTCCTCGCGGAACGTCACAGATGGAGCCCGGCCGGCTTCAGGATACCGACTGGACTCGGGCAGGCTTCCGGGCGCGCGCGCCGCACGCCGTGGAACTGCCGCCTCCACGGTCCCGGCGCACGCGCAGGCCGTCGCTGCAGGCCGTCGCACGCCCGCGATGCGGTCGTCGCCGGAAAGAAACAGAGCATCCTCGACGTCGAGAGCCCAGACGCACCGGGAGCCGCGACCGATGGCCACCGTATTCGCGCCCTGGAAGAGGCGGATCAAAAAGTCCTCGGCGGCCGATCTCAACATCGCCGCCGCGTGGGGCGCGATGCGCGGCCGGACGTAGGACTCGACGAGCGCGAGTGTGTCCGGATCCAGTCGCCGATTCAGAACTTGCGACCATCGCTGCACGCCGCAGGCGCCGACGAGCAGTTCGTCGAAAGCCCGGCTGTTGATCGCGGGGAAAGAACCTGCCAGCTGGGCGCGGCCCATGAGTACTGCTTGCAGGCGATCCACTCTCTCGGCATGAGGCATTCTTGCGCTTCTCTGCCTCCGCATAAGGACAATCGTGTTTGAGGGAACTTGGGGGGCCGCGGCCGCCATGTCCGATCCTCCGCGGTCGCACGGGCGCTCGACGTGACGCGCGCTCGCGCGGACGACTCGTGTGGCTCGACGGGGGCCGACGCAAGGACGCGCGCGCGCGTCGAGGCGCGAGGCGAGGCACTGGGACGATTCCCAGCCCGAGGCCGCGGCCGGACGGCCGCGGGAGCTGCAGCATCGCGGCATCAACAGCATTAAGAATGCGCGCGGTCGCGGTCGTCCGCGCAGACATCGCGCTCCGCGACCTCGTAACCTCGCAGAGAACTATACGAGCCCCGCCTCGCCCGCCTGGGCGCCGATCTGCTCCAGGGACTTGCCGAGCGTGTCCGGCAGCGTCGCCGCGTAGAGGCCCGTGCAGGCCGCGGCGACGGCCGCGTAGGAGAAGAAGACCGCGGACGCGCCCCACGCCTGGGACAGGGGCAGGAAGGACAGGGCGACGCAGGCCGACGTGATGCGGTTCAGGAAGCAGGACAGCGCGCTCGACTTGGCCCGGTTGCGCGTCGGGACGACCTCGTTGACGAAGACCGTCGTGAACGGGCCCGGTCCCAGCGAGAACGAGAGCATGACGAGCGACAGCGCCACAATCAACGCCGCCGTGTGGCCCGGGGGCCCGCGCACGAGGACGCCGAAGGCCAATAAACCGAGCGTGACGCCGACGTTGCCGCCGACCATCATCGCGCGGCGGCCGAGCCGCGGGCTGTCGCTGAGGTACGACGCCACCACTTCCCCGCCGAACTTGGCCAGCCCGATGCCCACGTTGCCCAGGAAGGCGTCGAAGGGGTTGTGCTTCGGCAGCACCGTCGGCGCGAAGTAGAGGATGGCCTCCGTGCCCGTCGCCTGCTGCGCGACGCCCAATAACGCGGCGTACTTCCCCTCCTTCGACGCCGCGGCGCCGGCCCACGTGCCCTCGACGACGTCGTCGCCCGCGGCGTGCGCGTCGCGCTGCCGCCGCAGGGCGTCGAAGGCGTCGGAGACGGTGGCCTCCGGCGCGCCCCTTCTTCTCAGCTTCCGCACGGCGACGCGCGCCTCGTCGTCCCGCCGCCGCGCCAGCAGCCACCGCGGCGACTCGGGCAGGAACGGCGCGCAGACCACGAATAATAGCGGCGGCACGACGCTCACGCCCATGGCGACGCGCCAGGGCGCGACGCCGAACGCGCGGCCGATCGACGCGGAATCGATGACGTACGCGAGCACGTATCCGACGACGATGCCCAGGTTAATGGACACGTCGACCAGCGACACGAGCGCGCCGCGCTTGTGGCTCGGCGCGATCTCCGTCACATAAATGCCCGACGACGCCCAGGACGCGCCCACGCCGAGACCCTGCACGAAGCGGCCCGCGACGAGCGCCTCGAAGCTCCAGGCGCCGCCGACGACGCAGCCGCCTAGAATCAGCAGCCCCGCGGCCACCAGCAAAGACCCCCGCCGGCCGATGCGGTCCAGGAGCAACCCGCTCACGACGAGCGCGCCGCCCGCCGCGAAGTAGTTCAGCGCCGACGTCACCGCGCCCACTTCCAACGTCGTCAGGTGGAACGTCTTCTGGATGGGCACGAGGCACTGGGACACGGCGCCGACGTCGTAGCCGAAGGTCACCTGGTTCATGACGGCGATGACGCTGAAGAAGAAGGTCCGCGACACGCTCTGCCACGCGTCGTCGGCCGCGCCGGCCTCGCCGGTGGACGGCGCGCGGTTGCCGGGCCGCGGCGAGTCCTGGCGGAGCGAATCGTAGGCCGACGAGGCCATCGGGTTTGTTGTCTCGCCATTCACGGACACCGACATCTCGACGAGCTTGTCGCCGTCGCTCATTCAAGAGCGCGATTAATCAACAGCCCATCAGCCGCGCATCTCGCCACGCTGCTTGATTGGTTTTGTGAATTTCATCAATATTTCATCATGAGCTTGGACGCATAGCCGTCTCACTACTTGTCTCACTGCCCGACTTCGCGCGGCTTCGTGCGCACGATGTGTCCTACGATGGGCAGCCCAACATCGAAGAAGGACGAGCACACCGGCGAACAAAAAAACCAAGCACAACCAAAAACACAGGCGAAGGTCCCGCGCGAACCGCGCGCGCGCGGCGGCCTATCGCAGGGAGACCTTCTTGATGCGTATGGGCGCGTTGAGGGCGCGGCCCTTGGCGGCCTCGAGGTCCGGCGGCGACGGCTCGAAGGGGCTGGCGACGTCGAGGCGCTCGAGCTCTTCGAGCGAGACGACGGACGCCGTCGGCGCCGCGGGCCGGACCTGCGAGCCCGGCGGCGCGACGTCCGCGAGGAGGGGGTCCGGCTCCGCTCTTCCCCGGCGGCTCCGCGACCGGCCCGAGCTCGACGAGCCCTGGGAGCGGCCGCTGAGCGGCGGCACGGCGGGCCGCGACGGCTGGAGGCTCGGGAGCTGCGGCTGCCGCGGCGGCGGCGCGGAGCTCCCCGAACCGCTCAGCGCGTCGGAGAGGCCCAGCGGGTCCCGGTTGAGCTCGGCGGCGCGCTCCTCGATGGACCGCAGGCGCGACCGCTGGGACGCGTTGAGGCCGCTGACGCCCACGAGCTCGAGCACCTGCAGCGACGCCTCGAGGCTCGCCAGCGTCCGGTCGGCGACGACCGCGAGGACCGGGTGTTCGTCGCGCTCCATGGGCGGCCGCTCGCGCGAGCCGCGACGGCCGGACCGCGGCGGCGCCCAAAGAGGGCTGGCGGCAGCGTCGAGGAGGACTCCTTCTCGATGAAACTGTTTTTAAAGTTCCACGTTGAACTGCAATTAAAGAGGGGCAGCCTCCGGTTTGCGCGGCATAAAGCATGTGACGCGAAGAACAAGTGCGGCCCCGACCTCCACCGGGCAGCCCCGCGAAGCACACACGCGGCCCCCGAAGAGCGCGGGCAGCCCCGCGAAGCCGTCATGGCGGACATGATGAAGGACCTCAAGGACTTTGCGCAGGAGTACTACCTGTCGATCTTGAAGGAGATCACGCACCCGCCGCGCGTCGCCGTCGGCGCGGGCGACCTGGGCCCGTCCCTCTTCCGCGTCGCCCCGGACGCGGAGGGCTTCCGCGAGGACTGGTGCGTCGCCAACGAGCGGGGCCTGGACCTCGCGGTGTCCGTCTGGCATCTAAGGACACCGTGCCGCGGCGTCGTCCTCTACGTCCACGACGTCATGGGCAACCGCTCCGCGGCGCTGGAGCTGCTCGGCCCCTTCCTTGCCGCGGGCTGCGCCGTCGCCGCGCTCGACACGACGGGCTGCGGCGCGTCCGGCGGCAGCCACGTCACGCTCGGCTTCTTCGAGCGCTACGACGTCGCGTGCGTGGCGGCAGAAATCCGGAACCGCTACGGCGTCGGCGGCCCCGGCGAGGCGCCGCTCATCCTCTACGGCCGGGGCGCGGGCGCCGTCGCGGCCCTCCTCTTCGCGGACCGGGCCGACCACGACGCCGCGTGCGCCGCGGAGACGCCCCGCGTCCTGAGCCTCGAGTGCAAGGCGCCGGAAAAGGACCACGCCCTGGCGGGCGCCCGCTTCCAGCCGACGACGATGTTCTTCAACGTGTCCAAGCCCGCGCTCAAGGTGAAGCGGGTCGACCGCGGGTCGAACGCGGCGAGGGCGGGTTTGCTCCCGGGCGACGTCGTCTGCGGCGTCGGCGACGACATCTCGCTGCCCCACGGCCACGACGAGCTCCACGCGGACTTCGCCTGGCGCGCCGCCAAGGGCCTGGATACTACGCTGAAGGTCGCGCGGCCGCGGCCGCTCGCGCCGGACGCCGCGTTCAGAGCGACGGGCGGCGGCGCTTTTCCAAGTTTTTTGCTCCTGGACGCGCCCTGGTGCACGGTGCGCGGCCTCGTCTTCGACGGCATCGCCGCGTCCAAGTCGGAGATGACGGACATGCCCGACTGGAAGCTCCAGGCCCTCGCGACGCCCGTCGTGTCCGCGTCTTTACCGATCGTGTTGCATAGCATCCAGAAACGGACCTTGGCCGACCTCGGCGCCATCGACGGCCGGCGGACGGCGGGCCGCGTGACCGCGCCGGCGCTCGTGGTCGCGGACACGTCCCTCGCGGAGCGCGCGGCGTCGACGGCGAAGGTCGTCGACGCGCTCCGCCGCGCGGGCGACGTCGTCGTCCTAGACACCGCGACGACGCCGCGACCGGGCGACGCGTCGCTCTTCCCGACGCCCTGCTACCGCGACGACGCGCGCCTCGCCGTGCACGCGGCGCTGGAGACCTTCCTCGGCCCCGACGACGAGCCGCCGATCCCGGGCCTCGCGGCGCGAAACCGCCCGTGGTCGGATTACGACGTCGACGAGGACGAGTTGGAGTACGTCTTCGACGCGGGCGGGCCGGGCCGGCCCGAGCGCGAGCACGCCTACGCGGCGACGCCCCCGCCCTGCGTGCTGCGGAAGAAGCCGCCGCGGAAGTCCATATCGCGCCGCGTCGCGTCGAAGGCGCGGAAGATGCTCGGGAGGAAGAAGGAATGGGCGCCCGACGACTGGCGGCTCCCGCGGGACGCGCCCGCGGCGCCGCGCGCGCCGCCGCGGCCGCCGCCCGTGCCGCCGGCCTGGGTCTTCCACTACGAGTTCGCGCGCCGGGCGCTGGACGAGGACGAGGAGGAGTTCGGCGAGGACCCGCGGAGACCCGCGGAGAGCGGCGAGGACCCGCGGCGGCGATGAGCGTACTAGAATGCTACTTAGGGCCCGGGCGCGTCGAGCGGGGGGCTGGAAAATGAATTTGGGGCCGACCTAGAGGTCGAGCTCCCAGTCGAGGAGCGCGCCGCGCGTCTTCGCGTACGGGTGGACGCGGTTGCCCGGGATGTCGATGGGCGGCGTCGCGCGGTTTTCGCCGGCGGCGTCCGGCGCCTCGACCGCCTCGACCGTCGCCGGCGACTCCGGCGCCTCGACCGCCTCGACCGCCGGCGCCTCCATGGAGGCGGGGAGCTTCTCCTCCTTGTCAAAGTCGAGGAAGAAGCCCCAGGCGGCGTCGTCGCCGCCGTCGTCGACGACGTCGCAGGGCGGGTGGACGACCGTGTCGCGGTAGGGCGTCTGGACGACGAGGTAGTGGTTCTCGCGGGGCGACGCGCGCGCGAGGCTGTCGCCGTCGTCGCCGTCGAGGCTGTCGCCGTCGCTCGGCGACGACGAGTCGTCGTCGTCGTGGCCGACGCGGCGCGGCGGCCAGGGCGCCCGCGGCGCCCTCTGCCGCGGCGGCGACCCGACGACGGGCCAGGCGCCGGGTCGCGGCCGCCGCGGCGGCGACGGCGACTCATCGAAGTACTCGCCGAAGGAGCCGGAGAGGCTCGGGCCGTCGGTGGCGCCGGACCGGGACCGGAGCGTGCCGCCGCTGCGCACGGGCCAGGGCGCCGACGCCGGCGGCAGCCGCGCGAGGCACGAGGCCATCTCGTAGGGGTTCGAGCGCGACCGCGGCGGCGGGCCGGACCGGCCGTCGCGCCGCTGCCACTGGTTGAGCCCCTCGGAACGCTGGAGCGGCGACAACCCTGGCGACACGCGGATGGGACTCGTCGACATCTGCTGGTCGTGCGAGAACTGGAAGGACCGCCGCATGGTCCAGCGCATGCCGATCATGTGCAATTGCAACGCGGGCTGCCGACGACGGTGGCACGAGCGGCGAGCTCGATCCAGATCCTCGTGTCAAAGCGCGCTTACAGAATCTAAAAGTTCTTCTAGCCGCTCGGAACTTCAAGCCACGGCTTTTTATCAGTGACCCAGAACCACAAAATGACCGAAAACCTCAATCATTCGAAAAGCCAGCTGCTCTTTGTTGTAGTTTGGGGAGCTGCGGTCAAACGGATCGGAAGCAACAGGACTGCAAGCTCGTGCATAAGGACTTTGTTGAAGGACTCGCAAAACGAGGGAGGAAGCGGAGCATGCCTCCGAGATCGTGCAACATGAAATCCTGGCGCAGCATCCTCGCGCTGCTCTGCGCCGCAGCGCCGACAGCAGCGCTCAAGAACGTCGTCGTGCTCGGCTCCGGCGACCCCTGGCTCAGCCTCTGCACGGCCAAGACGGCGTCGGCCCGCGGCCTGCCGGCGACCTGCGTGTCCAACAACGAGCCCGAGGCGTTGAAGATGCTCTGGGGCAAGGGCTTCGACGGCGCGTCGCCCGTCAAGGTCGTCAACGGCCCGGACGCCATCGGCGAGGCGCTCGCGGACTGCGAGGGCCTCGTGCTCAACGGCGCCGAATTCGGCGGCCTCACGGACAGGTTCGCCGCTATCGCTTTGGACAACGGCCCCGCCCTGAAGAAGGTCGCTGTGTGCGTCGAGGCGGGCCAGTCCAAGGACGCGGTGGCCAAGACGCGGTCCATGTGCGCGGCGCGCGACATCCCGGTGTCCGTGCTCCGCGTGGGCAAGCTCAAGGGCGGCGGCCCGGGCGAGACCGACGACGGCTCCGACGACCTCGGCCTCTCGCGCCACTTCTACGACACGGACGCCGATATTCTCAACTACCAGGCGAACCAGTTCTCTGACTGCTACTGCGCGGGCGTCTCCGCGAAGGCGGGCGACGCGCCCGTGAACTTCTTCCAGAAGATCGCGGCGAAGCAGTCGCTCGAGCGCGCCGACGGCGTCTCGAACCGCGCCGTCGCCGCGAAGGCGCTCGTCGCCGCGCTCTTCGCCGACGACGTCGTCGACCTCACGCTCAACGTCGAGACGGGCCTGCCCGGTATCCTCCCGGCGGACGACGCCGCCTGGGCGGCGTTCTTCGCCGACGCGTCCGCGGGCGCCGCGACGATCACGGCGCCGACGTCATAGTAAGGAAGGCACATGGATCTTAGCTCTAGGGGGGGGGGGGGGGGCGGGGGTGGTCCCCGCCCCGCGGCGTCGGTGGTCGTCGCGCGCGGCTCCCGTCGTGTGGAACGGGTGCGCCGCGCGCGAGTCATGGCGCGAGCAGGTCGCTCGCCGACGCCGCGGGGGCGGGGGTTCGGGCGCTTCTAGCCTCAGCCGCCCGCGCCGGCGGCGGACATGCTCGACGACGAGCAGTCCTTGAGGCCCTTGACCTTGCGCGCGCCGCCGCCGGAGCCGCCGGGCCGGCCGCCGCCGCCGCCGCGGCCCGTCGCGCCGCCGGAGCTCCGCTTTGGTCGCAGGGAGTTGTGCTCGCTCTGGGGGTTGATCAGCGTGCTCACGAAGAGCCAAAAGAAGTCGACGACGCCCCAGAGGAAGTCGGGGACGATGGACAGGCGCCACATGGAGCGCTTCTCGACGACCGTGCCGTCGGCGCGGAGGTAGACCATCGTGTTGTCTCGCGTCGGGCGTCGACGACGCTGGCGGCGGCGCAGCTTCCTCGAGGTCTCAAGCTGGCCGGAGATGCTGGCCGACGGCGGCGCCAGGCCAAAGGAGCACTGCACACGCAGCCCTGGGCACACGATGGAGATGAAAAATCGCCGGCGCTGCCGCCTCGCCGCGCGACGATAGCAGCGCGCCATGCGCGCCCTGCGCCTCCTCGTCGCGTGCGTCCTCCCCGCCGTCGCGCACGCCGCGTCCGCCGTCGCCGTGCTCCTCACGACGAAACCGTCGGGCAAGAGCGACGGCTGGAACCCGCGCAGCGTGAAAGCGGCGGACTCGTCCAACGCCTGCGCCGCCGGCGTGTCGCTCTGCGCCGTGCTCGTGCTGCGCGACACGGTGCGGCGCTTCGGCAACGTGCCGGACGCCGACTTTGTGGCCATGGTCGACGCGCCGTGTCCGGAACCGCTGAAGGCGTCGCTGGAGGCGAACGCGATCGTCGCCGAGGAGATGGACTTTGGGACCTACGGGAAGCTCTTCGGCGACTACCTGTTGATGCGCAAGTTCTATGTGTTGAAGATGACGCGCTACGACAAGGTGCTGCTCCTCGACACGGACACGATCGTCGTCGGGAGCCTGCGCCACCTCCTCGCGGACGAGACGACCTACCGCTGCGGCGCCGCGCTCGCCCGGGACCCGGCGGAGCACGAGCGCTGCTGGCCGGAGACGGACGCCGGCATCTGCGAAACTGACGTCGCCATCGCGGCGCAGCAGACCGCGGGCACGCCGATCCTCACCGCGTTCATGGTCGCGCTCCCGTCGATCGACCGCTGGCGGGCCTTCGCCGCGGACCTCGAGCGCGCCTGCGGCGGCGGCGCCGTCTGCAACAAGAAGCGCGTCTACCACCTCGGCTGGGACGCGAACGCGACGACGCCGTTGCCCGAGAAGGTCTCGGAGCCGCGCAAGGATTTCGGGCCGCACGCGTGGGCCATGCGCCGGCGGCCCGGCGACGGCCGCAAGCGCATGCGCCTCACGCAGTCGCCCTGGGACCAGATGGGCGCCGGCTTCACGGACCAGGGCTTCGCCGAGTACCACTTTTCGCTCAAAACGAGGTCCGTCTACTCGCTGTCGCACCGCACGTGCAAGCTCAAGTACGTGCACTTCAACATGCCGCCGAAGCCCTGGTTCTGCCCCGGGCGGCACTGCAAGCGCCACGAGGCCTACCGCGAGGGCGACCCCGTGGACCTCCGCTGGGGCGGCCACAAGTGCGCCAAGGACTGGTGGTGGCAGTACGTCGTCAGCCGGCCGGCGCTCGCGGCGCCGCCAAAGTCCTGCGCGGCCAAGTGCCTCGGGCTGCTGGACCGGCTCCAGCGGGAGCGGGGGGCCTTCGCGGACCCGGCCATGGCCAACTACACGCCCGCGTGCAAGGACTGGAACCCGCGCTGGCCGCCGCTGGACCCCTCCCTCCGGCCGCCCGACGCGTTCCGCGCGTCGCTCTTCGCGCCCGCGTGACGTCGTAAGTGGCAGCCTTGCGTGCTCGCCCCCCCTTCCGTGCATCGCGCCCGCCGGCGCCGGGCGCCCGAGGGTGCCCAGCAGCGGCCGCAGCAGCGGAATCATCCTCCGAGTCCGAGTCGTTCGCAGCAACAACTTGAAGAGCAACCTAGCGTCGGACAGATACGAGAAGCCGCCGAAGCCGCGGGGCAGCCAGATTCTAGTGACGGCCGGCGGGTGAGAACAAGCGCGCCCACCTTCGCGCCCCGCGCCGCGCCAGACCCGCGGACACCGGAGCCGCGCGGGCGGCGAAGCGCGGGGGGGACGTGACCAGGCGCCGCGGCTTCCGCGAAAAAAAAACAGGCGCCATGCCCCTGGTGGAGATCAAGTCGAGCCACGCGCTGCCGACGGTCATCGCCGCGCCGCAGCACGGCTACAGCTCCTACACGTTCTTCGAGCCGCCGCCGGGCGAGGACGAGATCGTCTACGGCGCGCGGAAGAACAGCAAGCAGCAGGGCAGCGTCTGCTACGGGTCGTCCATCGTCCTGCTGCTCACGCTCGCGCTCATGACGGTGCTCAGCGCGTGCTTCTTCGTCCTCGACCGGAGCAGCCTGCTCCACGTCTGGGAGAAGTCGCGGGGCGAGGGCAGCGCGTCGGGCCACAGCAGACTGGGCAACCTGACGGACGCCGCGGGGAACTTCTCCGCGGCCGTCGTCGCGCCGAAGCTCTGACGAAACCGGCCCGGCCCGGCCCGTCGCTTCGCTCGCATCTCGCACTCCCGCCGCACCGCAGCTCGCTCCCGCTTCGCCGACGGCGGCGCCGCGCCGAGTCCGCCCGCGGTCTCGCGCCGCGCGCGCGCCTTCGTCGGTAACAATTATCGGAACCAGTCGATCGCCACGTCCTCGCGCGACAGGGGGAGCCGCGCCGCGACGGCCGCCGGGTCGACGCCGCGCCGCGCGAGCGCCGCGTCGATGCGCCGCACGTCCGCCGCGTGCGTCGCGACCGCGGCGTCGCGCGCGGCCGACGGCGCGTGCGACTCCTCGATGGAGCGGACCCAGTCGGACGCGTAGACCGAGCGCGCCAGGTAGCGGCGCAGGGCCGGGTCGCGGAGCGCCGCCGCCACTGGGTCGTCGCCGTCGCCGGCGGGCCGCTCGTCCCGCGGCCGCGGCGCCGCGCCCGCGCGCTCGCTCGCGTAGAACCAGAGCGTGAGGCAGAGGCGCGGCGCGGCCGACGGCAGGACGCGGTGGAGGAGATCCGGCGAGGAAAAGAGCGCCAACCGGTCGAAGCGGGGGTCGACCGTCGCCGCCGCGTAGGGGAACGGCACGAGCCGGAGCTCGCCGCCGTGGCCCGGCGCCCAGTCCGGGTTCAGGTAGACGATGCAGGTCACGACGCGGTCGTCCAGGAGCGGGTCGCTGTCGAAGTGGAGGGGGAAGCACGCGCCGCCGCCGCCGTTGACCTGCACCTTGAGCGTCTGGCGGCCTAGCGTCCGCCCGAGCAGCGCCGAGAGCCGCTCCCTGAGCGCCGCCGCGGCCCAGAGGCGCGTCAGGAAGGGCGCCTCCGCGCGCGGCGCCGTGAGCTCCGCCTCGAAGATGCGGTCCTTCTCGAGCAGGCGCGTCTCGCCGGCGGCGACGATGTGCGTCTGGTTGCGGCCCAATTGTCGCCGCTCCGCGAGCGTGATGATGTCGTCGCGCAGGCAGTGGGCCCAGGTCTCACCAAAAGCGCCATCGACGACGGCGTAACCCTGCGTGCGGAGGGCGTCGCCCGTGGCGTCGGAGAGCACAGCTTTAAAGTCCGGCAGGGCGAGGTCCGTCGGCGGCGGCGGCGCGGCGGTGCTGGTCAAGTTACTAGATGGGTTTATGAGGACTCTTTTGCCAGCGTTTGCGCGCCAAAACCGCGTTGCGCGCTGCGCATACGCCATGGCGCGCGCCGGCTTGAGGTAGACGTTTGCCACTTGTTGCCGCTGCCTCAAGCGATGATGCTGCTCAAGTTCGCAGCACTTCTGTGCGGCGCGAGCGCCCTGCTGGCCCCGCAAACCCCCTGCCGCGCCCGCCCGCGGACCCGCGTAGGAGCGTCCTTCGTGGACCTCGCGCCGGAGCTGCCCGGGTCCCTCGTCGCGGCCCTCCGGGAGCGGAACATCGTCGCGCCGACGCCGATCCAGGAGGCCGCCGTGGGCCCGCTCCTCGGCGGCGCGTCGGCCATGCTCGCCGCGGAGACGGGCAGCGGCAAGTCCGTCGCCTTCCTGCTGCCGACCGTCGCGCGGCTCGAGGCGCTCGACGCCGGCGGCGACGTCGCGGCCGCCGTGCTCGTGCTCGCGCCGACGCGCGAGCTGGCGCTGCAGCTCGCGGCGGACGCCGCGGGCATCGTCGGCGACGAGTCGAAGGTGCAGCTCCTCGTCGTCGGCGCGGCGACGACGGCCGACGCGTTGAAGGCCGCACGCGTCGTCGTCGCGACGCCGAAGGAGGCGCTCGACGCGTTCTCCGCCTACAAGGTCCTCGGCAAGAAGGCGGCGGCGTTCGGCGCCGTCGTCCTCGACGAGGTCGACGCCCTCCTGCCACCCAAAAAGAAGGACTACCGCTCCGCGGGCACGAAGAAGCGCGCCGCGCAGACGGGAAAAAAGAAGAAGCAGCTCACGGAGAAGCGCCAGGCGGCGAACTCGCCCGCGGAGGACGTCTTGCGCTTCGTCGTCAAGGCGAACCCGCGGCCCGAGCTCCAGGTCGTCGCCGCGTCGGCGACGGCGTCGCGCGCGACGCGCGACGCGCTCCGGTCCGTGCTCCGCCAGGACCCCTACGGCCGCTGGTCCGAGGCGCCCCTCGACCTCTTTCGGGTTGGCGAGGCCGAGGCGGAGCAGAAGTCGCGGTCCGTCGTCGTGCCGAGCTGCGTCGCCCACCGCTACGCGACGGTGGAGAAGGGCGCGTCGTTGGACGTGACGATGCGCCGCGTCGCGAAAGCCGCGGAGGCGCTGGCGCCCACGTCGGCGCTCGTCTTCCTCTCGGCGGCGTCGGGCTTCACGGTCAAGGACGCCGTGTCGTCCCTGGACAAGGCCGGCGTGCCCGCGGAGCCGTTGCATTCGGCGCTGAATTTGGACAAGCGCGCGGTCAAGGACGCCGCGCCGGGCCCGACGGACCTGCGGGCGGTGCTCGACGGCGGCCACGCGCGCGTCGCCGGGTCCTTCGCCGCGGCCGCGAGCGGCGCCGCGTCCGCCGCCGCGCCCGTCTTCGTGACCTTCGAGGACTCCGCGCGGGGGCTCCACTTCGACGGCGTCGACGCGGTCTTCTCCGTGGGGCTCCCGGCGACGCCGGCGTCCTACCTCCACGTCGCGGGGCGCACGGGCCGGCGCCTCGGCGGCGAGACGCGGCCGGGCACCGTCGTCACGGTCCTCCCGCCCAAGGCCGTCCCCATCCTCGAGTCCTGGTCCAACCAGCTCGGCGACGTCGCCTTCGACGAGCTCTAGCGGCGCGCTTAATGGTGTTTCGATCGTACGCTTACAACAGACAGGGGTGGGTGCTTTTCGGTGCGCGTCGGGTCGGGCGCCAGCGGAGGCGCGGGCGAAGGCGCGGCCGAGCGGACGCCGCGAAGGCGCCGCGGCGCGGCCGAGCGGCGCGAGCGAGTCGCGGCCGCGCGCCGAGCGCGCAGCGCGTCGCGTTCAGTACGCGAGGGGCTTAGGCATGTGGATGTTGCGCGGCGCCGGGTCTTGCGACGCGAGCTCTGACTTGCCGCCGCCACCGCAGACGGATAGCTTCGCGAATGAACCCTTGAGACCGACGGAGATGGCCGAGGCGGACAAAATCGACGGAGTCCAGCCGCCCGGGTGCTGCCAGACCGTCTGTCCTGTCTCCGCATTGTGGTAGTAGGGCTTGTTGTCCTTTTCACGACGGTAAAGCTTCCAGCCCGGCGGGAGCGCGGCGAGCGCCTCGCGGTGGCGCCGCGCGGCCGCCTCCCGCAGGGCGTCCTCACTATAATTGAGTCCTTGCTGCTGCTGCATTGTGGAGTCCAAGCTTGAGCACGGAGCCGAAGCTTACGAAGCGCACAGAGAGCGCGAAGCTGGACGCGCGAAGGTTCGCGCTGCTCGTTTCCGGCAAGTACACCTCAAACAACCGAATCTAGAACACCGCTTTGAGGCGATGGCTGCCCATGCTCTCGCATTCGCCCTATGGCTCGCGTCGGCGACGGCGCAGCCCATCGTCGCGCGCGGGCCGCACGTCTCGGAGAAAGGCGACGTCGGCACCGTGAGCCTCGGCGACCTCGCGGGCGTCGAGACCGTGCACCTCAACGACGACGGCAGCGTGGCCTACTCCCACGGCGCCATCGTCCCCTCGATCCCCTACCTCGCCGCGACGCCCGACGTCGGCCACCGCCTGTCGAACGCGACGGCGGCGCACGTGTTTGACGTCTACGTGTCGCCGCTCTGCGAGGACACGCGCGCGGCCCTCCCCAGGGCAGCAAAAGAGAGCGAAATTCCCAACTTCAAAGGCTCATATCTCGGCCGTTTCCCACTCGTTTCGGCTGATTTTTGGACGAGCGATCATCTCTCGGAACGGTCTCGAAGCGTGGATGCTTTTTTCGGAACGCGCGCACGCGGAACACTCACGTTGAAGCGACGTTGAATCACCCTTTTGCTGCCCAGGCCCTCCCGGCGCTTCGCGCCGTCGCGGCGCACTACGAGGGCGAGGTGGAGGTGCGCGTCCGGCTGGCGCCGCTCAGCGACATCGACGGCGACTTCGACCTGGCCTGGGGCCTGCACGCCGTGAAGCTCGCGAGCCCGGAGAAGTTCTGGGACTTTTTCTTCCTCGTCTACGACGAGCAGCCGGCGTTCAAGATGGCCTGGGCCCTGAACATGTCCGTGCGCGAGCGCGCGGCGTACCAGGCGGAGCGCTTCGCCGCGAAGGTCGGCGCGAACGTGACGGCGTTCTCGGCGCAGCTCGCGGCCGCCGGCGACGCGCACGGCATGCCCGCCGCGTTCTGGAACGCCAAGGCCGAGTGGAAGCGCACGGTCCTCAGGGGCGTCTACGGCACGCCGAGCTTCGCGTTGAACGGCATCGCCATCCCCGAGATCGGCGACGCGTCGGGCTCGGGCCTCGCGCACCTCGCGGCCGCGCACTGGATCGCCGCCATCGACCGGACCCTCGCCTTCTCGCCCTGGTGAGGGGTGCTTGGTTAAGGGGCGGGGAGAGGAGCGACGCGAGGGGCGGAGCGACCTAGGCCGACCAGTCGTAGCCGAGGTCGGAGCACCAGGGGTAGGAGAACGTGTCGTAGGTGTAGGGGAGCTTCTCGGACGTGGGCTGCATCATCTTCCAGAACTTCTTGTTCGTGTAGTAGGGCCAGGCGTCGTCCTCGCCGGAGATGAAGTCGCCGAAGGGCAGCACGTCGTTCTCGTCGTGGCCCGCGCACGTCGCCTTATTGCACGTCGGCAGCTTGAGCGTGCCCTCGACGCCCTCCCAGTGGCAGACCTCGCCGTAGTCCGACGGCGTCGAGACGTCGTGGTCGTAGCCCCAGGTCTGGTCGAAGGGCCACTTCTCCGGGGACTCCAGGGAATTGAGGATCCGCGTCCACAGGAACCGCTCCGCCGTCGTGTGGATGACGAAGAAGACGGGGTCCGCGGGCGCGCCGGACGTGAACATCTCGCCCGTCCAGCCCGGGTCGCACATGGCCTCGTAGACCGCGCCCCAGGCCTTCATCTCCTGCTCCTTGGTGTAGCCCGCGATGTGGTAGAGCTCGTCCGCCGCGTCGTAGTAGACCTTGCCGAGCGAATAGGACGACAGCCAGTGGAGGATGCCCGTCTCCGTCGTCAGGATCTCGTAGGGCGTGAAGCGCTCGAGGTACTCCGCCGGGCACGTGCACGTGCAGTCCTTGAGATCCGTCTCGCCCTCCGTACACGTGTCGTCGCAGCGCACAAAGCCGTGGCGCCAGAGCACCTTGGACATCAATAGGAAGTTCGACTCCTCGTTGGCCCAGAAGCGCTCGGCGCCCGACGAGTTCTGGTGCCACTGGCCGCCGATCATGAGGTGCACGGGCCCGTGCGTGAGCCCGTTGAGGTACGGCGTGATCGTGCTGAAGGACGTCGTCGTGAAGGCCTCGTCGAAGTCGGAGCAGCCCGGGAAGGTCGGCTGGTAGTTGCCGTCCCCCAAAATCTTCTTGTGGCGCTGGACGTAGGGCACGGGGTCCTGGTTCCAGGGGCTCCGCAGCAAACCCCACTGGTTCGTGATGTTCGAGTACTCGCGCGCGTTGGCCATGATGGGCGTGTAGGCCCAGCGGCCCGTGGCCACCGTGTGCTCCACGTTCGTCGGCGACGCCTCGCCGAAGTAGCCCTCGCCGAAGATGAAGCTGTCCTGCCACGACGTGCCGTAGATCTGCGCGTCCAAACTGTACTCCCAGTAGGGCACGGAGATGTCGGCGTTGATGGCCTGGAGCGACTGTTCTAATTCTAAAGTAAAGGCCATGTGGTGCGTCATGAGGCCCGCGTTGTCGTGCCAGTGGTCGCACTCCGTCGACGCCGCGCCGTAGAGGTGCTTGCGGATGAAGTACTCCGCGCCCTTGTACTTCGTCGAGTTGAACGCGAGCTGGCCCGTCGCCGTGTCCGTGAACCAGAGCGTGTGGAGCGCGTTGAGGAAGCGCTCGCGGTCGTGGGCGCTCAGATCGCGGATCTCGCGCCGGACCCACTTGGACATGACCGTCGTCTCGTACGCGACGCCTCGCTCGGCACGACGAGCGACACGTCGTGGAGCCCCGCGCGCTCGAAGGCGTGCTGGGCCGCGGCGCCCGCGTAGGAGGATCCGTCGATGGTCCAGAGGGCGTCGTCGCACGCGCCGCACGGCTCGCCGTCGACCAGCGCCGTGAACGTCGTCGCCCGATGGGGCTCGACGATGTGCTCCCACTTGAGGCGGCCGTCGCCGACGAGGCCGCGCGTGGCCGTGTACTCGTTGGACACGGCGAAGTGCGCCGACGGCACGGCGGCGAGCGCCGGCTTCGGCGCGGCGTAGGCCCGGGCGCCGCCGACGACGGCGACGAAGCCGCCGACGGCGGAGAGCGCGAGCGCCGCCTTCTTCAGGGACCCGGACGTCGCCGGCGCGGCGACCGCCGGGGACGCGCCGCTGAGCGGCGCCACCTCCTCCTCGAACGCCGCCGACGTCTTGTAGTCGGCCATCGTGCGAGCGGGCAGCCCACCGAGGTCACTGATTTGGGATTCCGGGCCGATGGAGCAGCCCCCGATCCAAGCTCTCCGTCCGAAAAGGTGGGGGAGCCCTCGGCCATGCCGAAGCGCTCGTCGCAGACGACGAAATCCAAGAACCCGCTGGCGGACTTGGGCGACTTCGACTTCCACGCGCTCTGGGACGACATCAACGGCGGCGGCGCGTCCAAGGAGCCGGCGGCGCCGGCCAAGGCGGCGCCGGCCACGGCGGCGCCGGCCAAGGCGAAGCGCGCGAGCCTGGGCATCAACTCGTCGCTGCGGACCCTCTTCGGCGGCTCCGCGGACAAGGGTCCGGCGGCGGCGCCGGCCCCGCCGCCGGCGGCGCGCGGCGACCCGGGCGCGCGGACCGCGGCCGAGCCCGCGGCGCGCGCCGCGGCCGACCGGCGGCCGTCGCTGGGCGTGTCGAGCTCCGTGCGGAAGCTCTTCGGCGCCCGGGAGAAGGGAACCGACGCCGCGCCGCGGCGGGGCAGCCTGTCGTCGTCGATGAAGAACCTCTTCGAGAAGCGGCCGTCGGCGGCCGACGGCCGGCCCGCGCTGAAGCGCCGCGGCTCGTCCATGCGGCGCCGGTCGTCCATGTCGGCGCTGCTGGGCACGGACACGCTCCACCACAAGTCGCAGAAGGCCGGCCACCTGAGCGCGAACCTCATCGGCGAGTACCGCGCCATCTTCGCGGCCTGCGACACGGACGGCAACGGCACGCTCGACGCCGAGGAGGTGCGCGGGGCCCTGTCGCGCGCGGGCCAGAAGTGCAGCGACGCCGAGGTCCAATCCCTCATCGGCGAGGTCGACAAGAACGGCGACGGCGTCGTCGACTTCGCGGAGTTCGTGCGCCTCCTCGCGATCCACGACGAGGCGGGCCACGAGCACCAGGACAAGGTCCAGGCGCTCGCGACGCTCGGCGAGGGCAAGCTCCGGCGCCAGTCGACGCGCGTGCTCTCCGCGGACCAGGTCGCGCACTACAGCGACCTCTTCGACTCCTTCGACATCGACGGCAACGGCGGCATCGACGTCCAGGAGCTCTTCCACGGGCTCCGGGGCCACCGCGGCGGCGTGACGCTCGCGGACTGCCGGCGCTACATGGCCAAGGTCCCGCAGGACGACGACGGCTGCATCGCGCTGCCCGAGTTCCTGCAGATCATCGCCATGCAGGAGATCGTCAAGGGCGGCGTCGGGAATTTGATCGTCGAGCAGACGAAGGCGTCGCTGAACACGCAGAAGTACCTCTCCCACGCGAAGGTCCTCGAGGTCGAGGCGCTCTTCGCGCGGGCCGACGACGACAAGAACGGGCTGCTGGAGCACCACGAGCTCCTCGACGCGCTCAACGAGAACGCGCGCGGGAAGAAGCCGTCCAAGTTCCTCAACGAGCTCCGCTTCGCCTTCGCGACGAGCGACCGCCGCGGCCCGCGTGGAACTCAAATCTTCAACCCGACTTCAATGTGCGCGTAATCGAACGATTTGGACCAGCCTCTTCAGCTCTGCTTCGAGAACTCGACGAGAGCGATCGATTCGTCCAAAAATCAGCCGAATCGACTTCGATGTGGCCGAGCTAGAGAAGTTCAAAGTTTGGTCGGGACGTCCCAGCTCACTGGTTGATTTCCACACAGGCCACGGCCACGACCTCCAGCCCATGGACAAGTTCGAGTTCGTGGACTACGCGCGGGGCCTCGTGGGCCGGAAGCGGGGCGTCACGGCGCTGAGCGAGAAGAAGAAGGACTGGCTCAAGCGGCAGCTCGGCGAGCCGATGACGCGCCACGAGAACGAGGTCGCCAAGACCGCGCCCCCCCAGCTCCGCCACCTCAAGCTCCCGCGCCACCCGCGCGACGTGCACTGGCGCCTCGTCATCCACGAGCTGCCCATCGTCGACCTCAACGGCGAGCACAAGTTCGACGCGGAGGTGCGGAAGATCGGCGTCGACGACGTCGCGCGCGACCGCACGCGCGAGGGCAACTCGCTGCTCCACTACGTCGCCGAGGTCGGCTGCGAGTGGGCCATGCGCGTGCTGCTCAAGCACACGCCCATCCGCCTCGTCGTCGCCGAGCGGAACCGCCACGGCTTCTCGCCCTACGCGCTCGCGGTGCTCAACGAGCGGGACGCGTGCGCGCTGCTCATCGAGCCCTGGATCGCCCAGTCCCTCGCGGCCCTCTCGGACAACACGAACAGCCACGACCAGCGCGAGCGGGCCATCTACAAGGCCAACATCGACATGCGCAAGTCCATCCTCGCCAACGGCGGCACCCTGCTACCCTAACTCCTTTCCGGCGGCCTTAGGCGACCGGCGACCGGCGACACCGCGCCGCTAGGTCATCAGGATGTTGTTGATGGGGATGTGGATCAGCTTGACGAAGAAGCCGACGAAACCTAGGAGCGGGGCGCGTGGGCGGTCGGGGGGGGGGGCGCGGGCTCCGACCGCGTCGCGGCGGCCGCGTCGCGGCGGTCGCCTCAGAGGCGCGCGCGCGCGCGGCCGGCCCGGGCGGCGCAGCCCGTCGAGGCGCGCCGCGCGGTCGGCGCGCCGGCCGTCTCGCGCGCGCGCCCATCCGTGCGCCCCGACACCCGCGCACATCGCAGGACGCGGCGGCGCGCCCATGATCAGGAAACCGACGCCCGTGGCCCACGCGATCCGCGTGAATTCTTTCCGGTCGGGCTTCGTGCATTTCTTCACGAGGTGTACGCTGTCCTTCACGAACTGCTTCAGGGGCTGAACGATGACCGCGTTCACGTCGGACATGTTGCTCCGCGTGTCGAGGCCTGTGTCGGCGAGGTGCAATGTTGCTGGCGCTGGACCTCAAGCGGCGGTTTTGGGCCGTGGCACGCGTCCCACCGCTCCTCAGCGGTCCCAGAAGCTCCTCCGCCAGGGCGCGTCCTAGGCTCTATCTCCCGAGAGGCCTGGACACCAAGTGGCGCGTCCAACGGCGTCGATGACGACGAGATAGGTGGGGAGGCGGCTCACCCCCGGCCACACAGCCCTAGCCGATCGGGCATGGGACAACCTGTCCTTTGACCACAGCCGCATTCCACGACCGCGCGCGCCGACCGGTCACGCAGCCACATACGGATCGTCGCATCGAACGGAAGCGCTTCGTGCGAAGGCGTCCACGCGCGAGAAGATGAAGAGCATCACGGGCAAGTTCGCGAAGAAGCAGCCCAACGTCTTCTCGACGGCCGGCGACCAGTTCAAGCGCATGATGGGCGGCGGCGACGACGACGGCGCCGTGCCGCCGAAGCCCAAGGCCAAGACGCCGACGACGCTCGAGATGCGCGCGACGCCGCGCCAGTCCATCCTCCTCGCGCAGTCGTCGCCCGGCGGGAGCCGCCGCGGCGACGGCCGCGCGTCCGCCGCGGCGCGGTCGCGGTCCCGGTCGTCGAGCTGGCGCCGGCGCCACGGCTGCTGCCAGACCGTCGCGCGGGCTTTGGTCACCGCGGGCTGGCTGTCGCCGACGGCCGAGGACGACGTCGCGCTGCTCCACAGCGGCGACATCGACATTTTGACCGAGTCGGGCTTCGAGCTCTTCCTCGAGCGCTTCGAGCTGCCCGAGGAGCACAACCCGCGGAACCTGGACGGCGCGGGCCGCCAGCGGCTGCTGCGCCTCTTCGACCACTTCGACGTCGACGGCTCCCGGGCCATCAGCCACAAGGAGCTGCGGGTCGGCCTGTCGCGGCTCCACAACGCGCCGACGGACGCCGAGGCGAAGAAGATGATCACGCAGCTGGACCTCTCGCGCGGCGGCCGGAAGAACGGCGCCGTCGACTTCGAGGAGTTCTGCATCGGCCTCCTGCACCGGCGCTGCGACCTCTACCTCGCGCTCTACGCCCAAAAAAGGCTCACGGGCGTGCCCGTCGAGCCCGAGGACCTCGCCGCGGACGAGGAGCCCGACGCGACGGCGGCGGCGAAGGGCGCGGCCGGGCTCGACTCGCGGCAGCGCCTCTCCGCGGTCATCTCCGCGTACACGGGCCGCGAGGCGAGCCCGCTCGTCTAGGTCGATAACAGGGCCGCCCGTCTCCTCGAGTTTACGGCCCGCTCGTCTCGGTCGATACGAGGGCCGCCTCCATCGTACTTCGTCTTACTCGCTCGGGGGGGGCGGGGGACGGGCGCGCCGCGGCCCTAGAGCGGCGTGGACGCGGACCGCTTCATCTTCTGGGTCGCCGTGAGGCGCTTCTGGAGCGCGTCGAGCAGCGTCTTGTCCTCCTTGACCTTGTTGAGCAGGTCGCGGTTCATCTGGCGCTCGCGGTCGTCCATCTCGACGTTCTTGGCCGCGCGCTTGACGGCCTTCATCTGCTGCGTCAGCGCTTTCTGGTGCTCGACCATCTTCGTCCGCATGAAGTCGAACTTGTTCTTCTCGTCGCGCAGGAAGTCCTCGGACTCGCGGAGGAAGCGCACGGCGAACTGGCGCTCGAGCTCGCTCTCCTCCTTCTCGCGGAGCCGCTTCGACTCGACGAGCGACTTGTTCTCGCGCGCCATCTGGATCTGCTTGTCGCGGATGGCGCGGCGGTCGCGGCGCTCGCGCTCGAGGTCCGCCTGCTCCTTCTTCCGCGCCTCCGCGAGCACGATCTCCTCCTGCTTCTGGATGAGGAGCTTCTGCTGGTAGCCCGCGCCGCCCTCGGAGCCCGACGCGTTCGTGAACTGCTCGAGGCGCTCCATGCGCTTGGCGAAGGCGTTGTTCCGGTCCATCTCCTCGCGGGCGAGCTTGGCCTTGTACTCGTGCATCATGCGCTGGTCCTCCAGGCCCTCCTCGACCTTGCGCCGCGCGCGCGCCTCGTGCTCCTTCGCCGTCTCGGCTTTTATTTCTTTGAGCCGCTGGCGGGCCTGCTCCTTCTTCTCCGCGACGCGCTGCTTGTGGGCCTCGATGGCGCTGCGGCAGTCCTCGAGCTCGCGCTCCTCGCGGACGGCCTTCTCCCGCTTCTCGCGCGCGATCTCCGCTTTACGGTACGCGATCTGCATGTCGCGGACGCGCTTCTCCTCCTGGTGCCGCTCGGCGATGGACTTCTTCGACTTGGTCATCTCGTCGCGCCACTCGTCGAGGAGCTTGGCCTGGGTCCGCGCGTACGCGTCGTCCTGCTCCTGGAGCTCCGCGGACGGGTTCTTCTCCGACTTCAATTTGACCTGCTCGTCGAGCATGGCCTTGAAGGACTCCTGCTTCTTGCGCGAGTCGGACAGCGACTTCTTCATGTGGTTCTCGTTCTGGATGGCGTGGTAGGCGTCTAAAATCTTCCACTCGGACGTGTTCGCGAGCCACGGGAGCTTGCCGTCGTCGCCGGGCCTAGCGCTCCCGGGCTGCGCGGTCACGGGCCGCGACCCGCCGCGGCTCGGCGGCAGCTTGCCCGCCAGGGACGCCGTCGCCGGCCGCGACGCGCTCTCCTCGGATTCGAGCTTCCGGATGATGCCCTTCTCGAGCGCGACGAGGTCCGGCTCCGTGATCGTCGACTTGCCGCTCATGAAACTGTCGACCTCGCCCTTGATGGCCTTGTTCGCGCCGCTGTCCCGCCCGCGGCCGTATTTCACGGTAAGCTTCTGCATGAGCATGGCGCGCAGCCGCTCGCGGTGCTGCTTCTTGTTCTCCTCCTCGCGCATCTTCTTCGCCTTGCTGATGCGCGCGTCCGTCGACGGCGCGCGGAGCGGCATCGTCGAAACTTCGCGAGGCAGACCGCGACGCGGCTATAACAGACGAGGTACCGGGGCGCTCGCCGACCCCTGCGGCGCGCGGCTGGCTCCACGGGCAGCCTCTCTCTAGCGCGACGCGAGGACGCAAGGCGCTGATTTACGGGGCGAGAGAGCCAGATATATGGGGTAATGCTGCCCTTAGCTCGCTGAAGGAGAGGTCCGCCACTGTGGTAATCAGGTGAGGCCGCCACGACCTTCGTCGCCTGGCATCGCCGTCGATTCGCCGCCGCTTGATCCACGATGGCGCCCAAGCTCGACGAGATCGTCGCCGGCGTCGAGGCCAAGGCGCAGGCCCTCCTCGACGCCGACGAGGACGGCAAATTGTCGGTGGAAGACGCGCGGAAGCTCGCCATCTCCCTCGAGGGCGCCGCCGTCGTCCTACGCGGAGGAGACCCTCCTCGCGCTCCTCGACGCCGACGGCGACGGCCGCGTGAGCTGGGACGAGGCCGAGGCCGGCGCGCGCCGCGCGCTCCACCGCGCGGAGGAGTGCGCGACGCGCGCGGTCGACCGGCTCCGGCCCTACAAGGACAGCCTCCTCGCCGGCGCGGGCTTCCTCTCCTGCTTCTACGGGTCGAACTTCAAGTACACGCTCCTCTTCGCCCAGACCTTCGCCGCCACGGGCTGGCCCGCGCTGAAGCCCGCGCTGTCGGAGCTCGGCGCGTCCTACCGCCGGGGCAAGCGCGCGTTCGTCAAGGCCGCGCCCGAGCTCAAGCGCGCCCGCGAGACGCTGGCGGAGATCCGCAGGGACGCCGCGGGCGTCGCCGCGGGCAACCCCGAGGCGCAGAAGAAGCTGCTGGGCGACGCCGCGGACGCCGCCGCGCTCTTAAAGTCCGGCGAGTCGATCTTTGCGGCCGTGGACCCCAAGAAGCTCGGCAAGGTGCTCCAGTCGGCCTACGTGGGCATCTCGTCGTCCTTCGCCGCCGTGCTGAGCGACCACGCGGCGAAACTGGGCGTCGGCGTCGGGCTCGGGACAGCCGTCGCGGACGCGATCAACGTCGTCGTCGCGCCGATCATCTCGAAGCTTTTGCGGACGCTCAAGGCGCGGGCCCTCGCGAACGGCGACGTCCGCGAGGCGTTGGACGACCTGGAGCGGAAGACCGACATCGACGACGACGCGTTGTTGGCCTGGGTCGAGTCGGCCATTTCGCTCGCTTCCACCGCCGCGGGCGTCTACGTCGCGCACCGCCTCGACGACGTCATGTACCTCTACAGCGCCTGCGTCGCCGGCGCGACGCTCTGCGCCGACAAGTGCCTGCTTTTGGCGGGGACAACGCGGGGCCCGCTCGACCGGCTCGTGCGGTCGAAGCAGGTCCGCCAGGTCGCCATCTGCTCGCTCGCGGCGTCGGGCTTCTGGTACCAGCGCGTCCTCGGCCGCGGCCAGCTCCCCTTCTTCGTCGCGCTCCCCCTCGCGCCCCTGAAGATCTCCGAGTCGATCCTCGCCTCCATGGCCGTCTCCTTCCGCGCGGCGAGCGTCGCCCCGGCTTAATGACACAGGGCCCCTCTACGCGCGGCGCTTCTTGATCCACGCCTCGACGCCGGGCAGCGCCGCGTCGACGATGCCCGGCGCCTTCTTGTTCGCGACGAAGCGCGGCACGTTGCCGCCGAGGTCCGCGCTGTAGGCGTAGCGCACGCGGCAGCCGCCGCCGTCGAGCGGCTTCACGGACCAGCCGGACATCTTGATGTTCACCAGCGCGAAGGTCGCGTCCTCGCCGACGTCGTAGAACTGGGCCTTGGCGATGGCCTCCGTGCCGTCGGAGCTCATGTAGAAGCGCAGGTCCGCCGCGTCGTCGAGCTCGGGGTAGACCGCGGCGAACGCGACGCGGTTCGACAGCGGGAACGGCGTCTTCGTCACCCAGCGGATCACGGGCGCGGCGCCGAGCTTGCCGACGACGGCGGCCTCGAGCACGTTGCAGTTCACCTCGCAGACGTTGCCGGCCCAGTCCGCAAAGTAGGGCAGGAACTCCTCCGGTTTCACGTCCATCTTCGCGACCTCGCCGGAGGCCATGAAGATGCCGCTGCCGTCGGCGTTCTCCACGGTCTTCGTGCGTATTGTGAAGTCGCCGTCCTGCTTCCAGACCTACCAAGCATGACGGTGACGATTTCTCACTGTTTTCCCATCCCAAATCTCTCGAACATCGTCACGGCCACAGGACGCTGTTCCAGACGGCCATGGAGTCGACGTCGCTCCACGCCTCCTCGAAGAAGGCGTGGGCCGCCTTGGCGTAGTCCGCGGATTCCGTGAGGGCAGCACACATGTGGCTCCTACAGGTGAGCTCAGCTCGAAACTCCAGGGTGCAACGTAAACTCGGTATCCTATCGTGGGGAGCCACAGATACACTCACGCGAGGCAGCCCGGCGATGGTCCAGAAGATTGGCGGGAAACGAGGCCGTCCGGCGAAGACGCCGAAGAAGGGGCCCTGGCGTCCGACGCCGCCCGACGGCAAGTCATTGAAAGACGTCGCGGGCACCGTCGAGGACCTGAAATGGACCACAGCAGCTTCGTCGCGGCCAAAGTCGCTGGCGCGGCGCTGGTCGCGCAGGAGAACTCGAATAAGCTCGACCGGGCGGATGCTAAGAAGCGCCGCGCCGCGGCCAAGGAGCAGCAGCAGCAGGAGAAGCAGGGCAAGGCGAAGGAGAAGCTCAAGGCGAAGCGCGACGCGGTCCGCGCCGCGGTGGAGCCCGTGCTCGAGAAGCTCGACTCGCTGGAGACGGCGACGGAGGAGGGCGCCTTGAAGAAGCTCAGCGTGCCCGAGCTGAAGGCCTACATCCAGTACCAGTCCGGCCTGCGGGCCTTCAAGTCCGCGGAGAAGAAGGGCGACCTCGTCGCGGCGGCCTTGCCGCTCTGGGGCGAAGAACCGGAACTCGTCGAGTCGAGCTCGTCCGAGGAGGAGGACGACGGCGCGTCCCCCGGCGGCACTCGCAAGGCCCAGCGGAACAAGAACACGCCGGCGACGCGCCGGGCTCGCGGCAAGAGCGACAGCCGCGCGTGGGATCCTGCCGAAGCGTTCCTCGAGCCCGATTCGCTGTCAGACGACGACGCGGACGACGAGGAGGAAGATGACGATGAAGAAGAAGGCGACGACGAAGAAGACGACGACGACGACGATGACGACGAGGAAGAGGAACAAGATGCTGAGATGTAGCTCCAGAGTGCGCGTACGGACGCGTCGACGGCGCCACGGGCCTTCGGGAGCCCCTCCAGCACCTAGCAGTGGCCCCCCGACGCTACCCCGACCGTGCCCGACGCAGCGCACGACCCCCCATGAACCCTACGACCAACCCCCCGC